ACCTCATCGACACAGAGGTGCGGGAGGCGGTGGACTCGGCGTATCGGAGAACCCTTGAGCTGATGGAGGAGCACCGCGAGGGGGTGGCGGCGGTGGCGGAGGAGCTGCTGGTGAAGGAGGTGCTGCATCAGGAGGACCTTGTGAGGCTGCTGGGGCCGCGGCCGTTTAAGAACGCAGAAATGAGTAACTATGAGCGGTTCGTGCATGGGTTCGAAGGGGGGATGACGGAGGGGGGAGAGGGGAAGAAGGAGGAGGAGGGGGAGAGTGGGGGGCTTGGGGTGGAAGGGGCGCCGGCGCTGGCGGCGGTGGGGAGAGATGGGTGCAGTGTGGAGGAGAGGAATGGTGGGAGGAGCATATCCGGTATTGGATTGTGATGATGTGAGGGGGTGAGGAGGATGGGAAGGACGGAAGAGGTGTTTTTGAATATGTGTGGGGGATAGTGTCAGTGTATGGAGCAACTCGTTTGCGTCTCAGGCATTGAACTTGGTGTATGGGAAGAACGAATGAGAGTTCGTATATCCAGGAAATGGTGGTGTTGCATTGTGGTAAGCTGTGAATACTGGAATACGGTAAGGTAGTGGTGCACTTTGCCAAGGAATACTCATGCTCTGAAATGGCTTGTCCAACATTCCACCACGCATTAGAACCACAATCATTGTTTTACCGGGCACATAGACTGGCATAAATTTAGTTGTAGCCACCTTAATATCAGTCACATCATGTGGTTGCGCACCAGCATGCACTGATAGCGAATACAACATCATGCACTGATAGCGAATACAACATTATGCACTGATAGCGAATACAACATTACAGAAGCCATGCGATGCACGCACGCTGCAGGGCGGAGTGCTGGTGAGTAGAAAAACACCGGCTGCTCCTAAGCCATGGTGGATCCCGTCTGATGCACACAACCACAACTCCTAGATGCACCAACAGTTCAAAGCATTCATATTGGCCTTATTCACAACTCATCCCTACCACCGTCACCAGCATCACCATCAGCATCACCCTCAGCATCCTCCTCTTCCTTCTCACCCACAGCACCACCCTCCGCCTCTCCTTCCCCGCCCTCCTGCCCGAGTTTCCCGGGCAGCTTCACCTTGACCGGATAATCCAGCACATGCAAATGTGGCATGATGACAGAACCCATCCACAGCTGCCCGTTCCTCTCCTCCACTTCACTGATCGCACGAACCACGATCCCCAGGCTGTCCTCTAAAACCTCCGTGATCTCTCCGTTCTCGTCCACCTCTATCAGGTACCCGTGCGGCGCCCCCACTATCAAGGCGTAGAGAATCTTCACCTCGAGCGGTAACCGCATCAGGATGCGGCGTAACCACGGGCGCGTGGCCAGGACGTCTGGAGCATGGGGATTGGGGGTGGTTGGGGAGAGGGGGGGGTGGGAAGGGAGGGAGGGGAAGACAGGGGAGGAGAGGACGCCAAAGGGTGAGGGGCGCTGCCAGAGGTAACCGCATCAGGTTGCAGCGTAACCAAGGGAGCGTGACCAGAATGTGTGCTTTAGGAGCGAGGTGAGGTGAGGTGGGGGTAAGCGAAGAGAAGAGGGAATGACAAATGGTGGCGGAAATGGGAGAACAGCACAAGGGGAGGGACAACACGGAGCGCTCACCATTACATGAGGGGAGTAGACACTGCTTACCGATGACAATGCCTCGCTTGGCGTGGAGGGCAATCCAAAAACGGCCGCGTGGGTTGAGGCGAACATTGTCCGGCAGCCCAGGCAGGTCTAGAAAGAGCTCAGTGGTGCCCGCCTTGGGGCCCTTGATCCAATAGCGCATGCACCTGCAGGCGTGGGTGGGAGATGGTTGGTGAATTGTCTGCTGTGTTGGATAGTGAGAGATTCATGATGAGGTGGATATGATACCAGATGTATGGTGTGTGTGATACAGATGAGCGAGTGCAATGTAGGATGGCTGGTGCCCCCAGCTTCCCTTCAATCGCACCGCACAGCTGCTCGCTCAACTGCGTGCTTGTGGTGCTACTGCTCGTCCTGCTGCTCGCGCTGCTGCATATGCTGCTGCTTCTGCCACAGCTTGCTGCCACTGCTGCCACTCACCTGGCCTTGGTGGTTTCACAGACGATAAGAAAGGACCGGTCCTTGGAGAGAGCAACACCATTGGCGAAGGTGCAGTTTGATTCGACTCACAATACATGTGGATATGCAGCTTGCTGCTGCCGCCATGTCGCCACTCACCTGGCCTTGGTCGTTTCACAGACGACAAGGAAGGACTGGTCTTTGGAGAGAGCAACACCGTTGGCAAAGGCAAGGTTCCGCGCCAGCACCTCCACCTCGCCCGTTGCCAGATCAACCTTCATCAGCCGCCCGTCTGACCACCCTTCCATGATCGCCACAAAGAAATTCCTGCGAGGGGGGGGGGGAGGGAGGGAGAGGGGGGAGAGTATGCAGATTGAGAAATGTTGGGTTTTTTTCATTATCTCCGAAAAGAAATTGATGCGGGCGGGAGAGCGGGGAAAAAGGAGCATGGGGATTGAGAGTGAGTCAATAAGGCGGTTACACAGCCTATTGGAATAACAGCAGTGCGTGCTTGCAACGCAGGTGACACAAGGGAGGGGGGAAGGGAAGGTGGGAAAAGGGGGATGCACAGCAGCATTGTCCGCTTCTCATCAGCGCTGCAAACGCACACCACTCTACTGTCGTATTGTACCTCTGCACCCTCCCATCTTTCCCCCCTCTCCCCACCCTCTCCCCCACCCCGCTTTTGTCTCACCAGCGTTGAAAGCGCTTGCAGGTGTCCTACCTCCCTCTATTCGCCATGCGTCTCACCGGCGGTGGAAGCGAGTGCTGGTGTCGGTGAAATAGAGGGTGCCATTTTCGTCGCTGGCGGCAATATCAAGGTCGTTGGCGAACAGCAGCGGGCGGCCGTCCACGCGCGTCACCACAGGCTGCGCCAGCCCGCCCTGCCGCCCCACCTTGAACACGCCAAAGTACGCATCCGCGAAGAACAGCTCCCCCGTCACGGGGTGAAACCGAAGCCCCAGCGGCCGCCCGCATACGTGCTCCATGGCGAGATTGGGGACTAGGGTCATGTTGAGGCCATATACGAAGGTTGATTTACCCTCCTCCAGCTCCACGGGCTTCGGATCGCAGAGTTCCGGGGTTCTGACGGGGGAAGAGACGAGCAGGAAGGGAGTGATGGAAGTGTGTAAGTGACGTAGTTAGGAGCAGCAGATATGAATGGAGCAGCGCCAGAGGGATTCGTAAGTGTAGATCCCGAGGATCGGCGCGCGGTATGCGAACACGTGAGTAATAGTTGGAATGTTATTCGCGTTTCTAAAGGAATTGCTGGCGAATTGAGCTACAAGGAGAAAAAGGAGGTACCGCAAAGGGGAGGCCCAGGCGAAAGTCTCCCACGCAGTGTTCTCGGCGTTGCGCCGCACCACGCGGCCGTCGCTGAGCCCCGCGTACGGCCCGCGCCCCTCCAGATCCCATGCCAGACTCTCCGGCCCGAAACCCTCCCCTTCGTACCTGCCGAGTCAAAACAGCATGACGTGAATTCACCGCGCACGAATCATCTGAAAACAGGAAAGGAGCTAGATCGGAGTGGATGTCGTATTCTATATCGCCATGGCACCCTTCAGGAGTCCGGATGGGGAAATTCTCGATCAGCTCTGCGCGAAAAGGCGAATCGAGAATTGAGCGAGGCGACGCGCACCTGCGCTGCGCGTAGGTGAGCTTCTCGGTGAGATCGATGATGGGCGGCCACATGCGCGGCGGCGTGTCATGCTGCACTGGCTCGAACGGCAGGTGCGCGATTGGGCTGCGCTTCAGCGGATCGGTCAGCAGGAATGTGACGAAGCATGCGAACACTCCCGCGGCGAACGCTCGCCGGACGGTGTAATTGGGCATTGCGGCGACTGGGATCCTAAGCCAGACTTCTCATTAGATTGAGAAGAGAAAGAGCGGGAATGAGCGGAGGTGCTTGTTGTTCGACTGGAAGCAGTAGAAAGAGCTTCAGGTATTCCAATCCGACGGTTGCGCTGCGAATCCTATCTGGACTGGTACTTGGACGCCCCAGATTCTTGGGTCCTGGCGAAGATTCCCAAGGTGTGGCTTGTATTTTCGAGCAGGTGACATCCGCTGCGGACGGTTCATTTATTTCCAAAAGACAGTGACGGCGAATCCTAGGCGTCCAGTCAGAATCGATCAGTTACATCCATGACTATTTCGTCATTCATGCGAGTATCATTTCGCTATCGAGTTCGCGGCTGAGTCAAACTGGTTCAGTCCTCTGCTACGCACCTCTCGCTATTATCACTGCGCGGCATTCCTCCTCCCTGCTGTTGACCCACCTCACGGATCTCTGTTCTGGAGCTTCCTCTCTCGCCCGGTGATCCTCACATCCTACCCATCCACCTCCCTCATCTCTGGAACCGAATCCAGGGTGCTGAAAGCGTGTCATCATGAAACCATACCCAACCGTTATGTAAAAAACATAAACCGTTTTTCATGCTGATACATCTTATCTCACCGCTTCAAAGTGAATGTCAGCGACACCCCTGGATCCCCTGTGTAGCAGGAGAGCTCCTTGGAATTGCCGAACGAAACGATGCTGCATTGCCATCAAAGTCTTTCCCTCACCAATCCCACCATGACATTCCAAATTCCGTAATTTCCTGGAACACCTAGATAGACAGACTTGTGCTGGTCAGAGACGGCGGAAGATCCGTCAGTGTAGCTCCGATTTCAACCCTAATTTTTGTTCTGACATCATTGTCGAAATCATTTTTTCGGACACAGCAGGCGATCGTGTTCGCTTTTCGACGTGCCTATCCGTACTGCGCGGATTAATATTGACAATTTATTAGTTTTTTTACAAGGAGCACGCATGGTGGTGAGATAGTCTCAGGTGGAGGTAATAAGTTCCACGATCTCGTCGACCTTCGCTCTTGAACGATCGATCGCAGCCGTCTCATTCGGCGCCATGTCCGGTGACGTGGCGTCGAGGGACCGCGCGGCAATGCGGCTCGATGTCGCGGAGTTTCTCGTGAAAGAGCGTTACTTCCTCGCAGCTCTAGAACTGCTGCACGAGCTGCACGAGGATCATGGCGGTCAGGACGACAATGACGCGTCGGAAGTGGCTCGTTTTCTTGAGCGCGTTTTCGCGGACGAGCAGCGATTTCCGCGCGACAAGATTGCAGCTGTCGCAGCGGCCGCAGCGGCTGCGAAACCACCAGGTTGGACAAGATTCCGAGTTTGCTTCGTTTGAAAAAAAAAGGGAAAACAATTCGTTTTTCAGGGGCAGAGGCCGAGCCTTTTGTTTTAAATCAAAGGCAGCAACGTGTGGGTAGCCTGGCTTTCCTGTCAGGGTGCTTTTGGTGGAAGCAGCTGTTTTTGCGCTCACCACCAATTTCTCCCAGTCTGCTCCGTCATCTCTCGGCTTTGAGTCCCCCACGGTTCCAGCAGCCCTCCCTGACGCCCCCCCGCCCACATTGCTCCTACCCTGACCATATCCTAACCTTTTGTCGCCGTACCTATGTCTGCCTGCCTGTGCCCTTCCCTTCCACAGCCAGTGCCGCAACTCCCGCCGTGAACGGCGGAACTGGGGGGATTGCGGAGGCAGGAGCGGGCGGTGGAGATGAGCAGGCGGTGGAGGACGACGGTGAGCCGTTGGATGCGATGAGCGAGGACGAGAGGCGCGATCTGAACTTCGCAGTGCGGGAGTATCTGGTGCAAGCGCGCTACAAGCTCACCGCCATGACTCTGCAGGACGAGGCAAGCTCGGTCTCCCTTTTCCCAGCGCCTCGCGTGCGTTACTGTGCCTCTGCATCTTATCTCCCACATTTCCCCGAGTGCCCCTGTATCACCATCTCACACCCTCTTCTCCCGTGCCCTCCCCTCTCGTTCCCTGCCCTGCCCCACCATGCCCTTCCCCGCGCCCCCCTCCGCCCTGCCCTGCCCCGCCGTGCGCTATGGTGCGCGCAGGTGGGGGATCAGGACTGGGACGACTGGGAGGACGGCCCCGCCAAGGCGGAGAGCGCGCTCAGGCGCTACCTGCGCCACTACCTGCGCCGCAGGGAGGCAAGCAAGAGCGCCGCGGCGGCTGGGCGCGCCGCTGCTGACCTGGCGGAGGTGCGGCAGGAGATGGAGCAGCGATTGGCTGGCGCTGCGCGGGAAAAGGCTGACGTGGAGAGGTCTCTGGCCGCCTCCTCTGCTGCCGTTGAAACCCTCAAAGCCAAGGTGGGGCTTATGGTGGATGTTCAGTCTTGACTGTAGCTGCTGGCTCGATCGATATTTTCTCGTCCACACTCTTGTATTTTCTTCCACACTGTCTCACTCTCACGCGTAGCCCTTCACCCACCACCTGTCCCTTTCCCCCACCACCGCTCTCTCACCACCTATCTTGCAGCTGCAAAGCATGGAGGCCGAGAGGCAAGCACAGGACAACGACTTGCAGAAACTGAGAGCAGAGCTCGAAGCAGCTTCCGAGAAGGTTCGCAGTCGTGGCGCATCCGAGGCGTCTCTCCTTGCTCGGGCAGAGGGAGCTGAGCGCCAGCTGGACGCCGCCCAGGCTGACGTCTCCTCGCTACGTGCTGACGTGGCGTCCCTGCGGGCTGAGGTGGCTTCGGCGCGCGATGAGCTGGCAGCAGCTCAGCGCGAGTCTGCATCCCTGAAAGACGAGATAAAATCAATGGAAGCAGCAGCTGAAGCAGCGCGATTGGAGCAGGACGAGGAGTGGGATAAGGCAGGGCAGGTAGCAGCAGACGCAGAGAGAACAGCAGCGCGGCTCCAACGAGAGATAGATGCAGCGAGGAAAGCAGCCGCTGACGCCGAGGCGAAGGTAGAGGAGCTGAAAGCGCAGGTGCAGCAGGCTCGGGCCGAAGCTGAGGCTCGGTTGGCTGAGGCACGGGCAGCAGCGGCGGAGGCGAGGGCGGAAGCAGAGGCGAAGGGGAAGGCGGAGGAGGTGGCACGGGGGGAGATTGCCCGCGTGCAGGAGGTGGCTAGAGGGGAGATCGCCCGCATGCAAGGGGAGGTGAAGGCGCTCAGGGACACGCAGAGGGAGCAGGGCGGGGAGAGCGGGACTGCACCTGCCATTGCTGCTGCTGTGTCTGCTGCTGGGGGAGCGGGCGAGGCGGAGGGGAGGATTGTGGAGTTGCAGCGGAAGCTTGACGAGGCGAGGAGGGAGGCGGAGGCGGCTGCAGCGCAGGTGGAGGTGGTGAGGGGCGAGATGTGGGACATGCGGGAGGCTGGTGAGAAGGCCAGGGCGGAGAGGGAGAGGGTGGAGAAGGAGGCGAGAGAGGAGGTGGGGCGGTTGCGAGAAGAAGCAGGGAAACGGGGGGAGGAGGCGAAGGAGGCGAAGGGAGAGCTGGAGAGAGCACAAAAGGAACTGGAGACTGTGCGTGGTGAGCTGGAGAGAATCAAAAGTGAGCAGAAGGTTGGCGGAGGAGGGGGAGGAGAGGGAGGAGCAGGAGCAGGTGAGGAGTCAATGGAGGTGCTGCTGGAGGCGGAGAGGAAGATCGTGGAGCTGCAGAGAGAAGTGGACGCTGCCAGGCGGGAAGCAGCAGAGGCCAGGGCGCAGGCTGACGCCTCTGCCAAGGCTGCCGCTGCTGCTGCGGCCGCCGCTGCTTCCGCTGCAGCCGCCTCTGCTGCTAGTGGTGTTTCTGGCAGTCCGGGTGGTGCTGTGGGTGGTGGTGCAGCGGTGGAAGGAGGTGTGGGGGTGGGAGGGGCGGAGGAGAAGAGAGGGGAGGCGGAGACGATGGAGGTGCGGAGGGCGGGGACGGCCAGGGAGGGGGAGGGGGCGGTGGAGGACGAGGCGGTGGTGTGCCTGCTGGCAGACTGCCTCCCTCGCATCATTCCCAACGTGCTCATCAACCACCGCGAGGTATCCCAGTGCTGCTGTGCTACCCTAGTTCCAGGGTTCTTCCTTTGCTGCGGCCGCTCCTTGGAATTGCTGCACCCCCTGCCTCTCCTTGCTGCACCCCCTGCCTCTCCTTGCTTCCCCTCCTGCACATCATCCCCAACGTCCGCATCAACCACCGCGAGGTGCAGGAGTGCTCACTTGTGTTCTCCCCTACCACACATCACATACATTGCATGTCTCACACATCACACCCACACCCATCCCCGTGGGCAGGAGCTGCTGCCGCTGATCATGTGTGCGATAGAGAAGCACCCGTTGGAAGCAGCGCGGAAGGCGCAGGTGGCGTGGCTGTTCAACCTGATCAAGAAGCCGGACGAGGAGCAGCGCTCTGCCGTGGTGGCGGCGTGCGTGCAGCTCAAGGAGCGCGTGGGGGAGAGGCGCACCGAGACTGAGATCCTCAGTCAATGCTGGGATGAGGTGAGGATGGGGGGAAGGGACGGAGCGGAGGGATTTGAAGCGTGGTTGCAGGTGCGTGCAGCTCAAGGAGCGCATAGGGGACCGGCGCACCGAGACTGAAATCCTCAGCCAATGCTGGGATGAGGTGCGATGGGAGGGAGGCCGTAGAAGAGTGGTTGGAGGTGCGTGCAGCTTAAAAAGTTCGTCCAACCACTCTTTAAGGGGGGGTGAGATGCACCGAGACAGAGATGATCCTCGCCCCGTGGGGGACTTGGGACGAGAGGGGAAAGAAGGGAAGGGATGGGATATGGCTGCAGTATGGGGCACCTCTCATTTGATTATCCTCTCACTGTGTACCCCAACCCCCCAGATGGGGCACAAGAACGAGGAGAAGCGGCTGCTGGTGGTGCAGCTGTGCCGGGAGATGGCGCCTCTCATGCCCCGCCACGTGCAGGATGGAGTGCTGCTGCCCATGCTGCTGCAGCTCGCCACTGACAGCGCTCCTGCTGTCCGGGAGGCCGTCGCTGTCAACCTCGCCCCCCTGCTGCCACTATTCGATGATACTGCTGTGCTGCCCAAGGTGAGAGGAGGTACAGTGCGGTGCTGCATGGTCCTGTGAGGATTGGTTCAGGGCGCCCTCTGCTGCCCATGCTGCTGCAGCTCGCCACTGACAGCGCTCCTGCTGTCCGGGAGGCCGTCGCTGTCAACCTCGCCCCCCTGCTGCCACTATTCGATGATACTGCTGTGCTGCCCAAGGTGAGAGGAGGTACAGTGCGGTGCTGCATGGTCCTGTGAGGATTGGTTCAGGGCGCCCTCTGCTGCCCATGCTGCTGCAGCTCGCCACTGACAGCGCTCCTGCTGTCCGGGAGGCTGTTGCTGTCAACCTCGCTCCGCTGCTGCCACTCTTTGATGACACTGCTGTGCTGCCCAAGGTGAGAGTGGTACAATGCGGTGCAGTGAGGTGCGGCGCGGTGAGGCGTGATTTGTCGACGCACCGTTGAGCCTTTTTGGGCAGACACCAGCTGTCAAGCAGGGGACTACATGTACTGTCCCTGCACAATTATCAAGCCCCTCTACTACTTAACGCCTGTCCGCATAGCACATGCTATCATATCCCACGTGCTCACATCCCACACGCTCATGTCCCACCTGTCCCCATGATCAGGTGGAGGAGGCACTGTTCCTGCTGGCGTGTGATGTGGATGGCGGCGTGGTGGAGGAGACGCTTAAGACGCTGCTGCCCGCCTGCTCTGTGCTTGTGGTGTGACTGCCTGTGTTGATGTGATGTGATTACCCCACCCCTGTCACCATCAGGTGGAGGAGGCACTGTTCCTGCTGGTGTGTGATGTGGATGGCGGCGTGGTGGAGGAGACGCTAAAGACGCTGCTACCCGCCTTTGTGGCGTGGGCCAAGTCGCGCCGCCACCCCTTCGGCCAGGTGCTGCGGGCGGTCATGCAGCGCCTCATGGGGCAGATCCAGGTACGTGCAAGAAGGGGAGAGGGGCGCAGTGGGGGGGATGAGGGCGGGTGGGATGTTTGCGCTGTCAGTCGATCGAGCCATATCCTGTGCCCTCTTTGGCCATGTGCTGCGGGCGGTCATGCAGCGCCTCATGGGGCAGATCCAGGTGCGAAGATGGGGCCGGGGGGGTGAGGGGTGTGTGTGAGGGCAAGGAAACAAGAATGCGCTGGGAAGAAGGATGAAGAGGATGGGGAAATGCGTTATCTATTTCGAAGGAGAAAGAGTCCAGTCCTCGTCATCCCTGTCCCATGCCCCCCGACCCGAACCTCCAGAAATGCCCTGCCGTGTCGGCTGTGGAAGGCTCGGCGGAGGCTCGGCTGCGCATGGTTGGGGAGAGGGAGCGGTGGAACATCGACGTGCTGCTTCGGCTGCTCACGGAGCTTCTCCCGGAGGTTCGGCACGTGGCTGTGAAGACGTGCCCCGACGCTATCCTAGCCCTTGACAAGCCTTCTCCTGCTACCGCAGCTGATACAGCTGCTTCTGGTGCTGGTGCTGGTGGTGGTGATGGGGGTGCAGGGTCAGAGGCAGGGGCAGGTGGGGAGGGGTCGGATGCGGTGGGGCAGAGGAGTGGGAGTGGGCGGCTTCCGTCGGCAGCTTCCTTGGGTGGGATAGAGTACGAGGAGACATTCTTCACTGATGCTCTTTTGAAGCGATACGGGAGGTGGGTCGTGCTATATGGGGTATAATAGGTGGGTCATGCTATGTGGGGTATATTTGGATGCCCATGGACTGTCTGCCATCTGCCATGCAGCTCTTTCCTTGCAATTATCTGAACTCACCACCTCCCACCGTTGCTTCGTGCTTCCTAACCATTGGCCTCTGGCAGTGCGGGGGTGGACTGGCCGGCGTTTGACTGGATGCCAATGGACTGCCTGCCCACACTTGTGCAGCTGGCGCTCATGCTGCCGCCCAAGGAGGAGCGCCTGCGCGTCCGCATCTGCACGGTGGGCGGGGATTTTTGTCGCTACCTGTGGTTGAATGTAGCCATGGTTCGGGCTATGCAGGGTCATGGAGGGTCAACAGGGTCAACGGGGCCATGGCAGGTGTACGAGCTTTTTCTTCTTTCAGTCAATGGAAGGACAACTGGGTTTCTTCATCTTTCTCCAGCACTCTCCTCTTTCCCTCCCCCTTCCCTCTCCCACTCCTCGGCCTCCCTGCTTTGCCTGAACAGCTGCTGTTGACAGTGAGCAAGCTATTTGGTCGTTTCTACCTCATGGCAGTGCTGCTGCCCGTCTTCCTCACTGCTGCTGGTCACTCCATCGACACCTCCCATCTCCCTCCCAAGATCGCCTCCAGTATCGAAGGTGCGCCTGCCTGCCTATGTCTCACGTCCCACCTCCCTCTCTCAAAATCGCCTTCTCCCTTGAAGGTACGAGGGTTTGTTCTGGAGTGCATGACATATATACAAGTGCAAGTGCGAATGTGAGTGCTTGATCTGGAGTGTTTGTTCAACAAGTGCATGCATGCAGCGTGCTGCTGCCGCTGCTGCCACCTCTTCTCACCCTGCCCCTGCCCATCCCTCCCCCGCCCCTTCTCATTCCCCCAATGCCAGTGCTGCGCCCAGCAGGCCCCCCTCTGGAGCGCCTGTCCCGCATGTGTGTGCTGCCGCTGCTGCTGGCGGGTGTGCTGGGATCACCCAACATGCGCGAGGGCTATCTCTTCAAGTATCTGCGCGAGTGGGTCGTCTCCACCTGCGCCCGCTCCGGTGCCTGGTCTCCTGCCTCTACTCCAGAGCTCATTGACGCTGTGCGCTTCCTCTGGTGAGAGTAACGGCAAGCATGTTCCCTCTAATGCAAGCAAGCGTGCTCCCTCTCCTGTATACATGGGCATTGCGTCGAGTTTTTTTACTCGACTCGTTCGAAATACTCGTTGGGAACGAGCTTGGTTCTGCTCGCCGTTTGCTCGCCTTGCAGACGAGATTTTTTTTTTTTGTGCTCGTCAAGTTTTTTAAACTCGCGGATTGGCGAACTCGCCAGTCAATCCGCGCGGATTGGCGATGTCTGCCACTGGTCGTGTCTATCACTACGCTCAGATCTTTCTTTTGGTCGAGCAAAACTAATGTCTTTCCCAACAAATTTGCCACTCGATTTCCCAACCACCACCACTTACCTCTGTTCACCGCATTGGATCTACAAAGCCCAACCACCAGTTCCAGATTCAGATCCCGTCACTTCAGAAAGTCACATCGCTCCTTGCGCCGCCAGCCTATGGCCCATCGCACAACCCCCCTTCCTCCCCTACTAGTCTACTCCGATATTCTCTACTTAGCTTGCTGGACGCGTCCGTGGTAACTTAGAAATCTGTTTGTTTGTCGACGTGGACTGTTAGGGGTGTTGCGGGCTTATGACGATAAGTAAATCCTTGACCATGTATACTCTCATGCAAGCAAGCAAGCAAGCATGCGAGAGGGCTATCTCTTCAAGTGTCTGGTCCCTGGTCTCCCACCTGCACTCCTGAACTCATTGACGCTGTCCGCTTCCTCTGGTAAGCTATGAGATGACTCCTAAGTTTTCCTCTGGTGAAGAGAGATTGCAATTTCGTTCCTCTAATGCAGGAGAGCAAGCTGTGAGAGGGTTATCTCTTCAACTATCTGCATGAGTGGGTGGTGTCCACCGGTGCCCGCTCCGGTGCCTGGGCACATGCCTCCACACCTGAACTCATCGATGCCGTCCGCTTCCTTTGGTGAGGGAGTTGCTGTCCTGTTCCTTCCACTCATCTCACAAGCTTTCCCTCTCCCCTCATGTCCCTTCAGTCTGTTTGAGGAGCACAGGGAGACGTTGAGCAGTGTGGGGTGGGAGCTCGTGGTCAACCAGGCGCCAGCAGTGCGCATCACAGCCGCTGTCATCTTCCAGACCCTTGTGAGCCCGCTTGCTCTCTTGCTAGCTTGCTTGCTGTGTGCGTGCACTCATTGCTTGTCACACCTTGTCACACCTTGTCACACCTTGTCACACCTTGTAATCTGAGTCTACTCAAAAGCCAGCAGTGCGCATCACTGCTGCCGTCATCTTCCAAACCCTCGTGAGCTCTCTTCCTTGCTTGCTTGCTTTCTCTCGTGCTCTCTTGTGCTCTCGCACTCTTTCTTTGTGAACTTGCAGCAGTGAGTGAGCCAGTAGGAGTTGCCAGCTCTTTGTAAACCAACCTGATCTAATCTCACCTTTGCCCATCCAGCTCTTCACTCCCTCGCTTCCCTTCACCCACCGCCCTGCACATCCCCCCACCACTCTGCACCGCAGGCGCCCTTCGTGGATGTGAAGCGGGTGAGCCAGCAGGTGCTACTGGCGCTGATCACGTTGGGATCAGACCCCGTGCCCCGTGCTCTCGACTCGACCCATTCCTTGTCCCACCTCCTCTCACCTCTCTTCATTCTTCACAGGCGCCCTTCGTGGACGTGAAGCGGGTGAGCCAGCAGGTGCTGCCGGCGCTGATCACGTTGGGGTCGGATCCCGTGCCCGAAGTCAAGCACTCCACCATCGCTGCTCTGGGTTCCGTGGCTCAGCAGTTCAAGGATGCTCCGGTGAGTGGCACACGTGGGTAGAGGGAGGCAGAGAGGGGTGGAGAGGGGTGGAGAGAGGTGGAGAAAGGACAAGATCCGCATGCAGCTAGACTTGTTAACCTTTGAGTCAATGCGCTAGTCACCCACATGCTTGCATGCGCACGTGCCCACATGCACGCATGCCCACATGCACGCATGCTCATCCCACCAGATAGTGGACAAGATTCGAGTGCAGCTGGACTCATTCCTGGAGGAGGGGTCACACGAGGCCGTGGTGGCGGTGCTCAAGACGCTCACAGCCGCCGTGCCAGTCACCTCCAGCACGCTGAGAGAGTACTCACTGCAGAAGGTTGCCAGCATGGCCACTGGCCCGCTGCTTGCCAATGGCACTGTTGCCAAGCGAAGGGAGAAGGCTGAGGCGCTCTGCTCTGCTCTGCGGGCGCTGGAGCACACAGGTAGAGTGGGGTGATGCTGTGAGCACACAGGTAGAGTGGGGTCGTGCTGTGAGCACACAGGTAGAGTGGGGTCGTGCTGTGAGCACACAGGTAGAGTGGGGTCGTGCTGTGAGCACACAGGTAGAGTGGGGTCGTGCTGTGAGCACACAGGTAGAGTGGGGTCGTGCTGTGAGCACATAGATGCAGTGGGGTCATGCTGTGAACGCATAGATGCAGTGGGGTCATGCTGTGAACACATAGATGCAGTGGGGTCATGCTGTGAACACATAGATGCAGTGGGGTCATGCTGTGAACACATAGATGCAGTGGGGTCATGCTGTGAACACATAGATGCAGTGGGGTCATGCTGTGAACACATAGATGCAGTGGGGTCATGCTGTGAACACATAGATGCAGTGGGGTCATGCTGTGAACACATAGATGCAGTGGGGTCATGCTGTGAACACATAGATGCAGTGGGGTCATGCTGTGAACACATAGATGCAGTGGGGTCATGCTGTGAACACAGGTGTTAAGTGAGCACGCGTGTGCACGTTAATTCTTGCCATTCACGCACACAAGGTACAGTTGCAGCTCCCAGGGGTCATAGGAACCTCCTCTGCCCTCCATTCATTCAATACCCATGTTCATCCCTCTCTACCTCCCGCCACCCATCCACACCCTCTCCAACCATGCGTGCTGCAGAGATGACCTCTCAGCAGACCAACATGCTGTTCCTCCCAGCAGTGCAGGCACTAAACAATGAGTCCGAGCTCCTCTTCTCTCAGCTGCCTCATAATAGGCTCGTCTGCTCCCATTCACTCATAACCCATGCCCATCCCTCTCTACCGCATCCCTCCCATCCACACCCTCCCTGTGCTGTGCTGCAGAGATGACTCCACAGCAGACCAACACGCTGTTCCTCCCGGCAGTCCAGGCGCTACTCAAGGAGCCGGAGCTCCTCTCCACCAGCAGCAAAGACGCACTAGAGGCCATTCGCCGCGACCGCTGGGTTGGGAAAATCGAGGACCTGGGGAAATACGTTGGGAAGAATTTGTTCGGGTTTGAGACCTCCGGGCAGAATAAGAATCTGTTTGGTGGTGGTTTGCTTGGCTCGGCGTCTACTGCAAGCGGGTCGGCAAAGCCTGGAGCGGCTGGGGGTGGAGGGGCGGGTGCAGGGGGAGGTGCGACTGCTGCGAGTACTTTTAGTGGTGCATTTAGTGGGGCGTTTGGCAACAAGCGGTAGGCAGGCGTGTAAGATTCTTCGTCGTACCTGATACCAGTATATGTGATGTTATCCCAGTATGAAGTAACGCCTACGCATTTTGTAACCACAAATGGCAGTCTGGTTTTCTTATTAGGTTTCTTTTGTAGAATTTAGTTTCAATTCACTCAGCTTCGGTACCGCGTGGTACTTCGACTTTCAGCTGCGGTACACTTGTTCCTGGTGTAGTTCCCTTCCCCGAGCCGCTGTTGAAAAAATGCAGGCAGGCACCCTCGCCTGATTGGTCAATCTGGGCGCGTGTGTGTCAGAGTTTCTTTTCCCGGTCAGGTTCAGTGTCAGAGCGCACTTGCGACGCGGCACAGGTTTTATTTGGGAAGGCAATAACCATTCGATTCGACCTTCGCGCCCGGCTGCAGTAAATACTGTACAGCACACCTCTCACAGATTCTCGGCCGCATCTCTCCAATTCCTGCCTCCAGCACCTTTATCGCTCTTTCACGGTCTGCCCAGTGCCCACAATTGAAAGAGATGGGTTGATTTGCAGTTTCAGGGGCCTATGGGTTGAGAGCCTATAGGTTGAGCACGGCGAAGTTTGAGTCCAAACGATTTCGAGTGGTTTCGGGCGGTACGCCATCGACCAAAGCTGACTCACAAGAACGCTTGTTGTGAAAGCCAGGCAGGGCAACTCAGACAAGCTTGAGCAGCCTATCCACCCACCCGCACTATTTTCCACTACAGTATTTTCCACTACTATTTCCCGAACACCTTCATCAGAGCTGGAAGAATCCTACCAGCCATTCAGCTGCACGGCTACTCATTCAATAGAAAGAGCTGCTATTTGCTTGCTGGCTGCGATTGCTCCTATGATTAGAGCACCTTATGAGAATTCTCGGAAGCTGCTATGTGTTTACTGACTGGTGTTGCTCTCATGGTTTGAACCTTTTTGGTGGCGCTTAGCTCCCTGCCAGCGTTGCCAGATAACACTAGATTGCGCGCTCCCAACAATACTCTAGCATTTACGGTGCAATTTAGGGCCACCCCATAGTTCCAAAGATTAAGGATCGCTTCTCTACCGCGAATGGGGAGTAATGACGGCACAGCAGCCATGAATCAGAAAGCACAGCTGACCGACCAGGAGCACCGAGCTAAAAACGACCACCACTTTAGAACCGAGCACTACCGATTTAGATCCGAGCACTACTCGAGAGCTGAACAGTCGACGAGCGGCAAGGCCCAAATCGCACCGACCTTCCACTGGCGCGTCGCGCTTCCCGCGCTCGTCGCGGCGACGATCCTCACGTTCCTATTGGCAGATCCGCTCCGCCTGAGCCCCGTGGCTCACCTCCCGTTCGACCCGGTCGTCATCGACATCGCGCCGCCGCCGCCGCGCTCCGTCAGAGACCCTCTTAATAGGCTCGCTGATGCCGAGATCATGTAAGGCCATCACCGCTCTCCTTACCGCAATGCTTGATGATGTACCTTCTGCTGGTCTGACTGCACCCATCGTTCCCCGTGACGTGGCACGTACGACGTGCGAGGCGTTCGGTCCCGAGAGAGTATGGCGTGGAACGTGGCCGGCAGGTGGGCGCACAGAATGCCTTTTCAGTCGCCCCCAAAAACTTTTAACTAAAACACAAAACCCATCGTTCTCCGTGGCATGGCAAGTTCGAAGGTGAGGCGTTCGGTCCCGAGAGACTTGTAGTCTTGCATGGGACATGGACAGCAGGGGGGCGCTGGCAATGCCGTTAACGAGACTCGTACCTATCGTTCTTCGTGACATGGCAGGTTCGAGGGCGAGGCGTTCGGGCCTGAAAGTCTGGCGTGGGATCTGGACGGCAGGGGGCCGTACGCGGGCGTGGGCGACGGACGAGTCGTGCGCCGCACGGCGGACGGCCGCGCGTGGGATACGTTTGCGTGGGCGTCGCCGCTACGGTGAGTGCTGACGCTGTTGATATGACCCCCCGTGCCGTACAGATGTTCGTTTGCTTTCTGTGGTACCTCTATTCTGCTTCTTCACACCTATCCCTATCCCCACCTCGCCCATAGCCCCAACTCGCTCTTCGCTCTTCTCCCCCCCCCGCCTCCAACCTATCCGCGCCAGGGCGTCTGAGCTGTTCTCATTCCGAGATGCCTCTGGTCTGCCTCTTCACTCCCGTTCCACGCCTCGCTCCTCTCCCAACCTCGATCTTCTCCCCTCCCCCACCTCCATCCTATCTGCTCCAGGACGCCCGATCTCTGTGACACACACGCCCCTCGGCGCTTCAGTGGCTCTGCCACGTCACAGGAGCTCGGACCAATGGAAAGGAGACACGCGGCGGCAGCAGCAGCGAAGCTGCCAGCCTCGGAGAGAGTGGCGACCGCGTTCGGCGTGTTCCCCAGCGACGTGTCTCTCGTGCAGCCCCACATCCGAACCACCGTTCAAGACTCGGTGCCAGGCTCGGTGCTAGGCTCGTTGGAAGGTCCTGCTGGGAACCACACCTCCTCAGACGTACCTTCAGAAGAGCCTCAAAGCACCGCCGCCTCTCTTGCCGCACAGGCTGCCAATGTAGAGTCATCACAACAGAACCAACTGTCCCAGCAAATCCAGCAATCTCAGCAATCCCATCAGGCCCAAAATTCCCATCAGGCTCAGAAATCCCAGCAAGCCCTCCCAAACCCCTCCACGGAGCACATATGCGGGCGGCCGCTGGGGCTGCGGTTCCATGCGGTGACGGGGGAGCTGTTCTTCGCGGATGCGTACTTTGGCGTGTTCAAGGTGGGGCGGCAGGGCGGGCTGGCGCAGCCTGTGGTGACGCGCGTGGACGGCCGCCCGCTGCTGTTCGCCAACGACCTTGATATTGCCGCCAGCGACGAGAACGGCACCCTCTATTTCACCGACACCAGCACTCGCTTCTACCGCCGGTGAGACGAACAGGGAGGAGATGGTTGGGTGAGGCGGAAGTGGGGCATGCGCTTCCAACGCTGGTGTGACAGGAGATGAGGAGTGGCTGATTGTGGAGGGGCAGGACAAGCAGTTGATACAGTTGTTCCTGCCTCTCACCATCTCATCCCATCCCATCCCATCCCAACCCATCCCATCCCATCCCACCCCATCCCATCCCATCCCATCCCATCCCATCCCATCCCATCCCATCCCATCCCATCCCATCCCATCCCATCCCATCCCATCCCATCCCATCCCATCCCATCCCTCTCCTTCCCCTGCCTCCATCACGCCAGGGCCTACTACGTGTCAATAGTGGAGGGCAGGACGGATGGGCGGCTGGTGCAGGTGGACCTCCCCCGTATCCCATCCCTCTCCTTCCCCTGCCTCCATCTCTCGCTGTCCTCGTCTCCCCATCTCACCTGCCCCAGGGACTACTACGTGTCAATAGTGGAGGGCAGGGCGGACGGGCGGCTGTTGCAGGTGGACCTGGCGACTGGCCGGGTGGCAGTGCTGGTGGACGGCCTTTCATTCGCCAACGGTGTTGCGCTCTCGAGAGACCAGTCCTTCCTTGTGTTCTGCGAAACCACCACTCTGAGGTAAGTGGATCTTCTGAGCCATCTCGACTTTTAAGGTGCCTCGAGAACCACCACCCTGGGTAACTTGTTAGTCGGAGGCATGGCAAAAGCATTGAGGTTGTGTTGTCGAGACACAAGTCCTTCCCCATGTACTGTGAAACTGAAACCTTCACCCTTGGGTAACTGTAAACCTTCACCCTAGGGTAAGAGTCCTGGCTTCATGTCAGCTCATGCATGTACCATGTAGCAACACTGTGCAAACGGCAACATGGAGTTTGATGACATCGTAATACACCTCTTTATTGTTTCTGTTTCCATGCTCCTCTCGTAGGTGCCATCGGTATTGGCTGAGGGGTCCAAAGGCAGGGATCCATGAAGTCTTTGTTGAGCTGCCCGGCATGCCCGACAATGTTCGCCTGAATCCCCGCGGCCGATTCTGGATAGCCGTCCATTCACGAAGAAAGTTCCTGCTGGGTGGGTGATGGTGTGATCTTGTGGTGTGATGATCATGTGGTGTGATGATCATGTGGTGTGATGATCATGTGGTGTGATGATCATGTGGTGTGATGATCATGTGGTGTGGTATTGATGCTTGGGAGTTTGACTCATTGATCACTTCGTGCCTGATTCATTATGTGTTTCTATAATGTGAGAAGATTTGTGGGGCAGTTTGTTGTAGAAGATTGACACGTTGGTTCAGTGTGCATTGCCTCTCCTATTCTTTTCTCTCCCGTTGTGCTTGTACCCCCCTCTACCTTGGCAGACATGGTGGCTCGTAGGCCTTGGCTGCGCTCCCTCTTCCTCTCGCTGCCAATCAGCATCAGCACAGCGCATCGACTGTCTGTGGGCCGACCAAATGGGATTATTTTGGAGGTGGATGAAAACGGCACTATTACGGATGTGCTAGAAGACCGGTTGGGAAGTGCCGTGAGGTCTGTGAGTGAAGTGGAAGAAAGAGATGGGAAGCTTTGGTTGGGATCCGTCGTGGTCCCTCATGTTGGCGTGCTGGATTATCCACGTCCAACAGGGACAAGCACAATCAATCACATAATATTTTAGCTGTAGTATATAATGTTATTATGAAGCTATAGTTTAAGCTTTAGAATCTAGTGTACCGGTGTTGTTTTTTTGCCAAGCAGTGCTGCCCAGTCAAACTACTTCCAACCTCCACGAGCCGCAACGGCACATGGCGACAGGTGATGCATCCAGCCAAGCGAAGCACTATTTGCTGTCGCAAAGCCTGAGCCAAGACGTGCGACAGACATTCTTTCTGTTGTCAGAATGGTTGTGTTGCTCTGACAATTCGTCACACGCCTTTCGCATACCCAAGGTTGCTTCTCCGTCCAGCGACACTGTTTTTACTTGGTGGAAATGTTGCCCCTAAAACTCCTCCCCCAGGTGTCGCAAGAAGCTTCGCCAGCCACTTGCTTGGGCTACGCCGTCGATCAAGGAATTTGAGCACCAGCCGACCAGGTGCGATTGGGAGGCGACGTGTTTGCGACCGAGCCGCATCCAGCTTTCAACACACTGCTCCGCGCCTCAAGAGCAGAGCGATGTGAGTTCTGAGTCGCACTGCACGTCAGCAGTCGCAACGACGGCAACCCGCGTTGCTTCCTTCCCTCACCTAAATTTACAGATGCATCCATCGTCGCACTCATCAAAATCTCGACCGACTTCTAGGTCCCGACATCATCGCTAGCCCCTCTCTTGAATTCTCTCATCCAGTTCTAGTCGTTCACCGTCGCACTCCCTGATTCACGCAGTCCTGCGAACCCCAATTCTCCAGAACGCAATCGCATTTCAGTGTGCCTGTCAGCGTCGCAGTGAGCATTGTCGCTCAGCCTTTGAATGTCCAAGTCCATCTCAGTGCCGTCGCACGCCCCTGTCAGATCAGCATCTTCACCAGTGACTAGAAAATTATGGTCGCAGCCGCAATGGCCGCCACAGCTGCGGCTGTCCAGCAGCAATCTGCTTTTCGCGTTTCCTTCTTCTCGCTCGCATTCACCTTTTTCGTCTTCCTCGTCACAGACCCGCTCCGATTTCGACCCATAGCCAATCTCCCCTTCCAAGCAGCGCCTATTCCCTTGTCACCGCGCCGACTACCCATTCCATCGGACCAAGAGAATCGTCTCGCCAATGCTCACATCAGGTGCCTTTCTCCTTCCCGCAGCAAACCTTCGGTTTCAGTTGCGCACCTGCTCATCGCCGCGACACATGTATAATCTCCAGCGTCTGTGTAGGTCAAAGGGGTAGGCTTTTGTTCAGGTTGTCTCTTCTTTGGCATGTGCGACGTTGGGTGCGCAGATACTCGGGCGAGGTGTTTGGCCCGGAAAGCCTTGCATGGGACCTTGAGGGACGAGGACCGTACGCTGGCGTCAGCGACGGGCGAATCGTCCGACGATCATTGGACGACAGTGGATGGGAAACGTTTGCACACGCGTCGCCATACTGGTAAGAGCTTGGATATTTGCCTTTCCACTGGCACGTCGCACAACTCACTTTCGCGATGAATCGATTAAGTTTTCACCACGTCACGCCCTCCTGGATCTTCTTGAAATTGATGTTTAGCCTTTGTGATTCCTCTCCCGCAGGTCGTCCGAACTGTGCGATCCTGTCGCACGAGTGGAACCGTCCCCATTCACCTCCGCCGTCGCATTTCTATCTCGAGCCGTCGAGGCGTCTGCCGACGCTTCCAACATCCATACCCGTCCGTCGCTCAACGGTTCGCTTGATCATACGAACTATAGCTTAGGCCCCATCAGCGGCCTTTTCCAGGAACTTGATAATAGAGCGGTTGGATCCAGCAGTATTTCCTCCGTCCCCTCTACCCGCAGCGCGGTTAAGGGGCGAGTCGGGCCGAAGCTGGCCACGGAGCACATCTGTGGCCGTCCGTTGGGGTTACGTTTTCATCCGGTAACTGGCGAGCTTTTCTTTGCGGATGCCTATTTCGGCATTTACAAGGTTGGGAAGAAGGGCGGGAAGGCTCGAATGGTCGTGGATCGCGTGGAGGGTCGAAAGCTGCGGTTTGCGAATGACGTGGCTATTGACGCGGATAACGAGAACGGCACAGTGTACTTTACTGATTCGAGCACACGTCACCAGCGACGAGATTTCGTCGTGGCGACCACTGAGGGCCGAGCCGACGGTCGTCTCATGAAAGTGGATCTAGCGACGCGTCAGGTTACCGTGTTACTCCGGAACCTCGTCTTCCCCAACGGGCTTGCTCTTTCTGAAGACAAATCGTTCCTCGTCTTTTGCGAAACCGTCCTTTTCAGGTACGCACACTGGTATCGGTTGTTAATAAGCTGTGCGGAACAGAAGCATCGCATTTTCGCACCCGGTTTCGTGCATGACAATGGTGCGTTCAGGTTTTCTCACTTAGTCATTCGCTCTCGAGCTTGCAGGTGCAGCCGTTATTGGTTGAAGGGACCTAAGGAGGGGACTCAGGAGGTGCTTGTTGACCTACCCGGCTCGCCAGACAACATCAGACTAAACCCGCGCGGGCGATTCTGGGTAGCCATGCATTCGCGGAGGCGCCCCCTTATTGGTAGGTGTCGCGAATCCTGAGATGCTTACATTTCCTTGCTTGCCTTAATCATTAATTAGTTTGTCCCCTATGCACATTCTCTCTTGCAGATTATTTCGCCCCACGACCATGGCTGAGGAGTTTCGTCATGTCCCTTCCTGTTGACATCAAAATTATATACGGTTTTATGATTGGGTGGCCACATGGCCTGGTGGTGGAGGTGGATGGTGATGGACGAATCACAGACGTGCTGGAGGATCACATGGGACGCGCTGTCAAGTCTGTGAGTGAAGTCGAGGAGCGGAATGGCACACTCTGGATTGGATCTGTGATGATGCCACGTGTTGCCGTGATGAAGTACCATCCAAGGGCCTAAACCAAGGGAGTGCAGCAAAACGACTTCCAACACACTTCCTGCATTTTGTGCCGAAGCACAAGGAGTGGATGTGGTTGCTGAAGCAGCTTTGAGCACAGGCAGGAGGCGCTATACTAAAACGCCATACTAACATAGAGTTAGGCTTCACGTAATTGTGTACCAATAATATAATGGGGCTAGATTAATAAGGTAGCCACTAGGAGGTGGGTAGTTGTGCAGGACAGCTTGTGCCGTGCACTGTATCTTATACACCAAGCTAACAGAATATACAATGTTAACTCCATGGTTCGTTTCCACCTGGTACATTCTGTGAGTGACATTGTTCTATTTGTCTACGGATGGGAGCTCTGCAAGGAGTATGTTATTATTGAGAACGCACTTTTGCACAAACCGTGATCCGATTGGACATGTAGCTACTTGTCTGTGAAACCTGTGTTTCGGGGGAACTAGTGGTTGCTAATAAATGGCACGTCAGCGTGCTGCATATTTTTATGGGTGCGCAACGTCATCCGTTATCATGTGGACCTCGTGAAATTGTCCACCAACAAAGTCCATCCAAGAAAGGCAGGCCCCCAGTACTTTTGGCTCCTCGTTACATCGCCCACCTTTCGCAATCCAAGCGAATCACTGGGGTAACCCCGAGGCTCGCAGTGTTAGGCCTACGATGTCGGTTGCACTCCCATTTTGCGGGATTTTTGAGGCCAAAATCTAGTCGATGCCAGCTCGCCAAGGCGCCACGTGAGAATCCGAGCGATGTCCAGCACAGACTGCAACAGAGAGCTTTGAACCAACCATTCCACACGAGCATCGAACCTCTCTGCGTGGCGGGCTTCCCGGGCAGCTTCATCATACACCTGCCCGAAACCACCTCCTCTGCTTCCTTCATCCAATCATTCGTCGAATCAGCCACCTCGGGCCCCTCCGAAACAGACTCGGAAATTCTTCCCACCCACTGCCCACCCTTTCCAACCTCCTCCGTCCAAACTTACCTATCATCCAACACAAATTCCTCTCCCAACCGATTTCTACCAGTGTAAACCGAACGGAGTCTGGGAAACGAAGAGCCTCCTGGGTGTCCTGGGGTTCATCATTCTGCTTCATAAGAAAGCGAGCAATCTACTTGTAGTTCATCTGTGATCCCTCTGGTTGTGATCGAGGAAGCAGAGTTCACTAGCGTCTGATACAGCTCAGGGATTGTAGCTGCCACTTGTAGTACTCCGTGATGGCGGCCTCAGTCTCCCTCTCGATGGCGTCTCGCGCGGCCTTCGTTGCCAAGGTGTGTGAATGGGGATTTCAAGCAGTGCATAGCGATCGGTTAGTATTGATCAGCCTGTTCTAACGAGCTCCTCGTCTCCACATGCCCCTTAATCCCCCGGGTGCAGGCCAATGACGCTCTCAAGCTGGGAAGCCCAGGTCAGTAGAATATGTCGCTGTTCTTATCCGCTTTTCCTCTATGTCGAGCGACTATCTCTTCTACTTGGCCTATGCTGACGGCTGCTTTTTTTGGTTATTGCAGTTGCTATGCAGAGCGCTCCCTTCCTGCCACTCCGATCTCGCACCCACAACCTGGTATATTCCTCTCTGACATCCCCTCAATACTTTAGTTTCTACGAGAAGAAACATTGGAGCATTAGTACTATTTTTATATGCCAGCTTAATTGACTCTTCACTTTTCTCTAAACTATCTTGTGATGCAGAGGAAGCCGTCCATTGGCTTGAAGTCTCAGGCATCCCGGCTAATGAAGACTTCAGCCGCGGTCGCCGCTCCTGTCTCCAACCCTCTCTCCGATCCTCAAGAGCGGGAGAGACTGGCGGAAGAGTATGGCTTCCGACAAATCGGCGAGCCGTTACCTGATGACATCACGCTGAAGCAAGTCATCGATACAATTCCGGCCGAGGTAAAACGCCAGGATGTCAGTCGCGAACGAGCAAATGCCTTTGTTCATGATCTTTCCGCTGTGCTTCCTCGTTCGTCGTTCACTCTCCATATTGTGGAACGTGATTGTTTAATTAACCTTTTGTGATTGTCTGCAGGCCTTCGAGATCAACGAGTGGAAGGCATGGAAGACCGTAGTCCTAACAATCGCTGCGATGGCGCTGGGAGAGGTGTTCATCTACAACTCACCGTGGTACCTTCTGCCTTTCGCATGGGCCTGGGCTGGCACTGCATTCACCGGGGTAAGTGCCAAGTGGCAGCTACCCTTTTTTATTGCGAGCTTTCTATGTTTCTGTCTCCCCATTATTTCCCGGTTTCCGACCACGTTTCAGTACTAAAAGTTGTCTGTTGCCCTGAGTTGTTTTTTTCGAGCAGTTCTTCGTGGTGGGGCATGACTGCGCGCACAAGGCCTTCTCGAAGAACAAGCTGGTGGAGGACATTGTGGGGACCGTCATGATGGCGCCGCTCATCTACCCGTACGAGCCCTGGAGATTCAAGCACGACCGCCACCACGCCAAGACCAACATGTGAGGATTCCGTCCGTGGCCAACGAATTCATCTTAGCGATCAACAAGTAACCTGCTTTTTTACTACGCTTCCACGTCTGTCTTATGGTTTTGGTTCTCCGCTGATGCTGAATCCTCTCTTGGCCGAAAAAACTCGCGACAGATTTTCTATGAGGACTCTTCGATTGCCGTTTTGATAAAAATTCCGAATGTTTTCCATCCATTCTCTTTTGGACGTTGCTTTTCCATCCATCCAGGCTGGTTGAGGATACGGCGTGGCATCCTATGATCCCTGGCATGTACAAGCGGATGAGCCCCACTGGCCGCGTGCTCATGCAGACCTTCATGGGCCCCCTCCGATTCCTCGCCTCCATCGGTCACTGGTACGCACGTGGCATGCAAGAGCATAGGCCTTGAAGCATTGCAATGAATATGACCACTGAGTTGTGCACCAGATTCCGTTCCATTGATTTTGGTGGACAGCACTAGTTCTCACGGACTACGTCGGCCATTTTCTTTATCCTGTAACTTACATAGAATAAGTACCACATGAAACATTCAAAAGTTCATTAAGGCAAATGGGATTTGTTTCTGTCGTGACTTCGTGTCCAGGCTGGTGTACCACTTCGACCTTGAGAAGTTCCGGCCGAGCGAGGTGCCACGTGTCAAGGTGTCGCTCGCTGCTGTCGGTGCCTTTGCACTGATTGGCTTCCCTCTTACCATTGCCAACTTCGGCATCGACGGCTGGTTCAAGCTCTGGCTCATGCCGTGGCTCGGCTTCCACTTCTGGGTGAGTCCTCGCCCTCTGCATTTGAACTGCACAATGGTAAAATGCGATTGTCTTCGGGGCAGGAAGTTTGATGTTTGACGGTCAAAGACCACAGCTGGATTGCAAGTGTCAGCTAGATGCTGTCACGTTTGTGTTTTCCGACTTCATTCTTGTATGCTTCTGCTGCGTGCTGTATGGAAATGCAGATGAGCACCTTCACCATGGTGCACCACACGGCTCCTCACATCCCCTTCAAGAAGCAATCCGAGTGGAACGCTGCTCAGGCTCAACTCGGTGGCACTGTGCACTGCGACTACCCGTCCTGGTATGTGAACAGTGTGGATATATTTGTAAGATACAGGGAAAGATGGAATCTGGTAGCATTCATGTTGTGCAGAGTAACAAGTCATTTGAATGTGACGAGCATCTGTGTTAGATAATGTGCATGCTGATGTGCTCGTCTGTCTCCACTCTCGCCCCCCCGGTCTGGTTTGCAGGATTGAGATTCTGTGCCACGACATCAACGTGCACATCCCTCACCACGTGTCCCAGAAGATCCCCTCCTACAACCTGCGGCTGGCTAATGATGCGCTGAGGAAGCACTGGGGCAAGGTGAGCTAGAAATGGACCCTTCAATTAAAGTGTTTCTTGCAAGAGTGTGCCTGTATCAAGCATCCCGCATCTTCACCACAGGAGTTTCATATGCACCGTCATGCCTGTTGGATTCAGCTGTTACACCTTTCCAATCCTAACTTATCATTCTATTCCTTTCCACACCTCCCCGTTCTTCTGAGTGCAGTACATGAACGAGGCATCTTGGAACTGGAGGCTGATGAAGAACATCTTCGTGGAGTGCCATGTATTCGACAGGGAGAAGAACTACATCCCCTTTGATGCTCTTGAGAAAAGCGAGTCTCCAATTCTCGGCGTTACCAGGAAAATCATGCCCAACACCTACACCAAGGGGCAGTAAATGTACTTGTGGGGAGGGACAGGATAGTAGTTTCCCACATGAAAGCAGAAGTACAGTGCACTGTCTGCTGCGCTAATGATAAAGCATGTGGGGAGTATTTCTCTGAAATCATTTTTAATGTAATTCAAAAACATTTAAACTGAAATTGAATAAGGTGGTATAAATAGGCCAGGGAGGGAACCCTTGATGGTGCTTTGCAAGGTCTTAACTGAATCAGCCAAGGCCTCTGGGCATAATATTGTAACAGGAGTCAGGACCTTGCATTGTATCAAGACTTTGCTGATCTAACATTGTAAAGGCAGAACAGCCTTCTCAAGCCAGCAACAATTCACAGATGACTTGAACAAAAACTGAGGGGAAAATATTTCAATGGTAACTTACATGGAGCACTATAACGCGTACGGTAACGATTTCAACACGTTTGGTAACTCCGCTAACGCGTTTGGTAACTCGCATAACATGTTTGGTAACTCGCTTAACGCGTATGGTAACTATACACTAGCAGCCCATCACGCGAATGGTAACTACATGAAACTCCCGCCGAAATGATCCTGACAAAAAAGGAATTTATCAATTGTGAAAGCGTTTACGCACGGTTTTATCTTTTTTGAACAAGTCCCGCCGCGACTTTGAAGGACCTCGTTTGTTATATTACCATGGACCGAAAAGTTTCAGAAGCGTTTTATATATATATGTAGCTAGTACAAAGACGGTTAAAATCATATTTTTGATAGCATCATTGCGAAATTGCAAAATGATAAAAAACATTTCCCGAAAGAACCTCGGGGCTTTACTTTTTTGTAATAACTCCAACGTTGGAGAATTTTTGCATGTGGGAAAAAATACAGCTGTTGAGAATTACATGTTTTATTTGAAAAAAAAAGAACCATAAACGTCTTGTCGTAATGAGTTTAGGGTTGATGCCCTCAAATTCATTTGCCATCTGAAAGGGTTATAGATTTCGTTTGCCCCGGCTGCACGATAGAATGAAGTACAAACAGTTTGCGGAAAGAGCGCCAGAATATCAGTTTTGTATTAACAGTTGTTTTCACAACACTTACGTTTTGCAATTAGCTTGAAAATCGGAAAGTGTGTCAGGATTTCGGAAAGTGTGTCAGAATTTCGGAAAATTGTGTCAGAATTTCGGAGAGTGTGTCAGAGATTTCTGCTTCAAGATTCGTCAATTTAGTCTGACGCGAGCGGGAAAAACCAGAATCAGGGTCATTTTGGGCGAGGGTTTCTTCTAGTTACCATTCGCGTGATGGGCTGCTAGTGTATAGTTACCATACGCGTTAAGCGAGTTACCAAACATGTTAAGCGAGTTACCAAACGCGTTAAGCGAGTTACTAAACGCGTTGAAATCGTTACCGTACGCGTTAGAGCGTATTCCTATCCTCGTATCAAGAAAACCTCATATCAAGATTGTACTTTTTGCCTGGTAAAAGTAGCGAGAGGTTTTGGGTTTAGGGGAATTTTCAGTGGGAGGTTGATATGAGGTTTTCTTGATACGAGGATAGGAATACGCTCTTATAGTTCCCCATCAGGGCTGACGATATCAGACTATTTTAGTCTGATTGTCTGAAATTTCAGACTATTTTCCTGACATTCCTGATTTTTCAGAGTTGGCTGGTTTTGAAAAATGAGTGCTTCAGACTAATGGTTTTTTCGATACATGGAATTTTTTGAAAGTGTGTACACTTTCCAAAAATATATATTGTGAACGCGCAGCTGCCTGTAACGCAGCAAGGCAAGTGCTGAACTTCATTCTGAGTACATAACGAGGGTTGGAGGCCATTAGGCCTCCACCCACGTCTTCGTTTCGGAACTTCCGTTCCACTTCATTCTCGTCCAACTACCTGCTCGTGTTCTAGTTTTCCCGTTCTCTCCTCAGCCATGCCAACTAGTTTCCACCGTGCCCAGAAAACTAGGAGGCAGAATCGCATATGCTTTTTACACATAGGATCGTGATGTTATACACATATGCTTTTTATCTTAATTTAGTTTACTTCTCTCCCTCTTTCTTACTAGATCGAGCTCCTAAAACGAAGTTCCAGCGCCATCAACGGCAAGAGGGTCGCGTCCGCGACTTCACCTCTGGGGCGCGATACAGGGCTCAGTGGGGCCCAGAGCAAGTGGCGAACGTGCCACTGGTGCGCATGGGACGAGATCGTCACTGGCGCGATTGCCGAGTGACGCGCCTGGCGACGAAATCGCCACTGGTGCGCCTGGCGACGAAATCGCCACGGGCGCGCCTAGCTACGAAATCGCCATAGGCGCGCCCGTGGCGACGGAATTGCAACATTCGCGCCTCGCGACGAGCTCGCCGATGGCGCGCCTGGTGACGAGATCGTCGTAATTGGCGGTGCCTTCCAACGAAATCGCCACAAGCTTCTCAGGCGACGTAATCGCCAGACATTACGGGCAAAAATTGTAGTGACGCGCACCTATACGAAACTGCCAAGGCACGCACACCTCTTGACTAATCTTCTACCGGTATGTGTTGTCCGTTTTTTAACACATAAGCTTATGTTTCCTTGGCTTGTTTATTTTCTTGGTCGCAGCGAATGGATTGCGAGGCAGCCAACGTGGCACGAGGGCATCACTCGTGCCAATGTGGGCAAGGTTGGCCACATTGTCAACCGTTGCATCTCCACGACCGTCCCCATGGGGGGAAGGGGACCGATTGGTCCCGTGCTGGCCATAGGGCCGTTCCCCATGGGGGGAAGGGGACCGAGGGTCCTGTGCTGGCCATAGGGCCGTTTCCCATGGGGGGAAGGGGACCGAGGGTCCCGTGCTGGCCATAGGGCCGTTCCCCATGGGGGGAAAGGGACCGAGGGTCCCGTGCTGGCCATAGGGCTGTTCCCCATGGGGGGAAGGGGACCGAGGGTCCCGTGCTGGCCATAGGGCCGTTCCCCATGGGGGGAAGGAGAGCTAGGGTCCTGTGCTGGCCATAGGGCGTTCCCTTCGGGGGGAAACAGGATTGCGGTTGGCAAAGGGCCGCTACACATGGCATGGATGATGCTTATTGCAGGCATTAGCTCTATGTGGCTTCATGTCGCCCTCGGTTGTTATGAGAACATTGTTTTGTCCCAAACAAATTCCGGATCATTGTTTTGTTTTCGTCACAAATAATGCTGGCACCTTTGCTTGGGGGACTTGTCACTGTAAGACACCTATGGTATACATTATAAAGTGCAACTATATATGCCGTATCTGCTTTTGGCGACCCAAAATCCTAAGGCACTGGTGCAACAAGCACAAACTCTTCTGGATCTATGCCGCATTGGAGAAATCTATGGTTCTCACTAAAATGCATGTCGTAGAAGCCGCTTGGAAAATATGGTTCTCACCAAAATGCATGGTTTTAGGTGAGGACATACGTATAATTTGAGCGCCAATGGCATTCGTGGAGATTGCAGCTTGGTCGTGGTGCCTGATACGCGGGAAATCTTGCCGCCATATAAGAAGACTGCTAACTTAAGGTTGTTGCATCACACCGGTAGTGTATCATTGCACTGGACACGTGGACAATCCTATACGACAAGCTACTCTGCCTCAACTGCCAATACAAGCAACCAACTTCAACCACATCCACCACAACGACGTCCAAGACGAAGCAACTTTCAGCTTCATCGACACGGTGCTACCGCCAACAACTTTCATTCTTCGACGTCACCATCGACACGACCAATACAACCCACACCACGCTCGTCTCTCCACTGGCACATGTCTCAGAAGACCCATTGAAATGAAGCACGTTGCCTTGCAAGGAACAGAAAGCAAGCTTTCTCAATATGGATTTTTTTGAAAGTGTGTACACTTTCCAAAAATATATATTGTGAACGCGCAGCTGCCTGTAACGCAGCAAGGCAAGTGCTGAACTTCATTCTGAGTACATAACGAGGGTTGGAGGCCATTAGGCCTCCACCCACGTCTTCGTTTCGGAACTTCCGTTCCACTTCCCACCCGCCCCCCCCCATCGGTACTATCACGTGTAATTGATCGTTGGACGAGAATGTTGTAATTTCTCATTGAAATGAAGCACGTTGCCTTGCACGGAACAGAAAGCAAGCTTTCTCAATTGAAAAATTCAGAGAACTTGCTTACCGGATAATGAGTTTTCATACTACAGAGTACGAACTCCCCTTCGCCATACCTGTTACTTCGAGGAAAACCCATCCCTCCGAACTTGTGCAAAAGGTTCGTTAGCAGGAAAACCTGCCTTAGTCTATGAATTAAAAAATTTTCAGAGTTATACTTCTCTGGTTCCTGAGAAATCAGAGTATTCACTTTTTGGAAAATGGGCCTCAGACTAAAAAAAATTGGGGGGCCAAAAAAATCAGAGTGGTTTTATTCGAAAAGTCAGCCGACATATTTTCCCAAAACGGAGACTTCGTCATACCACCAACCAAAGAACTAGGAAAGCTGCTAAAGAAAAAAAGTACATACAGTACAACTGGGGCTTCCAACCTGCTCCAACAGAGACTAGGGGTTTGACATAATTGACTTGTGTGATTGGCTAAGAATACTAGCAGCAAGACAAAGCTTGGAAACAAACAGTTGCATACCAAGCATGACCACAAATGACCATTAACTAGTGTAGGCCACTGACAGCCTTTACCATTTTCAAATCAGCACACTTGCAACATCCGACTGAGAGCATTTTATGTCTAAATATCCTAAGGACAAGCTGAATGTGCACAACTCACAATCCTACAGCATTGATTCACCATTACTGACCGGATTCACTTGATTTCTGAACTGCCACCCACACCTGCCTCTGTTGGAATCGCAGTAAAAGAGGGATCGACGCAGCAAGAAGCAGGGGCAATAGCAGACTTGGAACGGAATGAAGCAATGGCGGTTGGGCGAAAACAGAAGGGAGAGTAGACAGGGCAGGAAGCAAGTGAGGAGGAAGAGAGGGGCGGAGGTGGGGGGTGACGGGAGAAAGATATACTCAGGCCTGGAGAAAAGATCCGTGGGCAGCAAGGGTTTCGCCAAAATAATAAAACGAGAGAAGCAGGTGGCAGTTGGGGAAGAGGGGGGGGGAGGGAAGGGCAACGAGGGGGAGGTGGTGTAAGGGGGCCAGGCAGGTACCTGGCTTTCGTTTCCTACTGGACCTAGTCCGCCGTAGCCCTGTCCTCCTCCTCCATGTCCCCCCCGCCGCCCCCCACCTCTCCCCCTCTCACTCACTCGCCCTGCAGCAACACACACACACAGAGGCAAGGAATGGGAGGTAGGGGAGTAAAACCAAGTGTCAGAACATTGAATCTGGCATAATAAGGAGAGCAGAAGAATCAAGATGCTTGCCAATAACGAATTTGGATATACCTCTTCTGCCATAGTCACTGCCGCCCCTCCCTCTCCCTCCATAGCCTCCTGCTCCTCCACCCCCTCTGCTTGCACCAGCGCCTGCTGATGCAAAGGGAGGAGAAGGCATGGTTGCTTCGATGGCTCCTGATTGTGGCGTTGCTGCCGCCGCTGCTCCTCCTACTCCTCCTCCTCCTACTGCCCCTGCAGCTCTTGCTGCTGGCGTTGCTGAAGTCGCTGCTGCACGTGCCGATGCAGCACCTGCAGGGGCTGCAGAGGCGGAAGGAATGGATGGAGCGGAGGAGGGAGCTGCTGCAGGGGCCGCCGCAACACCAGCAGACGCAGCAGCAGCACCAGCAGTAGGAGCAGCAGCCGCAGCACCACCACCAGTACCACCTCCCCCAGACTGCCCTGCACCAGCACCGCCCCCTCCCACGTCTGGGCGTCGCCTGGGCGTCCACATTGGTCGGTCAGGCCGGTCCCGGTTCTTCAGCCTACCCCGACTGTCCCTCGCCTCCCTCGCTGCCCCTCCCCCTGCTGCTGTCCCTGCTCTTCCTCCTGCTGCTCCTGCTGCACTGCCAGCAGCAGCAGGAGTTTCGGCCTTCGTTGCAACTGCTGTTGCTTCATATGTCACGCTTCCTGCTTCTCCTTGCATCTGCCGACCCTGCTGTGCCTGCTGCTGTGCGGCCTGTATCCCTCCTCCTCGCCCATACTGCCTCTGCTGCTGCTGCTGCTGCTGCTGCTGCTGCTGCTGCTGCTGCTGCTGCTGCGACTGCTGCGGGGGCGCATGTGGCTGTGCGTGTTGCCGAGTGATGATCTTCACCCCTCCGGCCCGGCCAGTAGGCCCTGTGCGGATCGAACCAGCACCACCGTCACCACCACCACCTGCTGTGCTTCCACCTGTAGTGCCTGCTGCCGCACTGCCAGACGCACTGCCAGCTGTAGCACCCCCGGCTCTAGCAGACCCAGCTGCAGTGTTGAAAATAGCTGCACCGGCTGTAGCAGAGCCGACTGCAGCTGTAGCAGCAGGCATGAGGGGGGATGGGGAGGGAGTGGCCCGAGCGTCCCTTTGAGCGTTCCTGTGGGCGTCACTGGTGCCTCCTCTCTTGCGCCGGAGATCAGCAGCGTGACGGCGCGACGAGCGTGACTGTAACGAGGGGCATGTGGTGATCATGGCGGGGGCATGTGATCAGAATGAAGCAGAAATGTGATAAGATTGAAAAGGGCATGTGATAATATTGAAGGGGGCAGGTGATGATGATAATACATGCAAAAGGTTCCAGTGCCTCTCAGGAGTGAAGTGCTTCTCAGGTGTTGATTCAGGTGGATCATTGCACACGTGTATATGCAAAACCAGGTGCATTTGATCCTCACATGAGCTGCAGAAGTAACAGCTGCCGGATCGACCTTCTCCCTTCCACTGATAGGCTGAGACCCTCCTGCAAATCCACCTGAAGAACCACCTGCACCAGGTGTGCCCGTCTCCCCCCCCCTTCCCCCACTCCGCCCACCTCCACGTGAACCTCTTTCCCCTCTGCCTCCCCCCTTGCCCCCACCACCACTCCCCCCTCCCCCTCCCCCACGGCCTGCCCCACTGCCTGCAGCGGAGGCCGCATGCGTCCCCCCTGCGCCTCCCCCCATCCTCCCCGCAGCCCCCCTCTCTCCCCCTGCGCCCACAGGGCGAGTGGGTCTGCTGGTAACCACACGGGCCTGGGGGCCTGTCCGTGCATTGGCGCGCCTCTGACACACATACTCCACCAGGGGCGTCAGCACTAGGGGTTCCTTCACTCCTGGGAGGGGAGGGGGGGGTGAAAGAGGGGAGGAGAAGGGACGAGGAGGAGGAGGAAAGGATGGGCGCATTGGCACGCCTCTGGCACACATACTCCACCAGGGGCGTCAGCACTAGCGGCTCCTTCACTCCTGGAAGGGGTTGGGGTGGGCGGGGGGACGGGGGAGAGAGGGGGGGGAAATAGGCGCATTGGCGCGCCTCTGGCACACATACTCCACCAGGGGCGTCAGCACTAGCGGCTCCTTCACTCCTGGAAGGGGTTGGGGTGGGCGGGGGGACGGGGGAGAGAGGGGGGGGAAATAGGCGCATTGGCGCGCCTCTGGCACACATACTCCACCAGGGGCGTCAGCACTAGCGGCTCCTTCACTCCTGGAAGGGGTTGGGGTGGGCGGGGGGACGGGGGAGAGAGGGGGGGGAAATAGGCGCATTGGCGCGCCTCTGGCACACATACTCCACCAGGGGCGTCAGCACTAGCGGCTCCATCACTCCTCGGGGAGGGGGGAAGGGAAAACGGGGGGAGGGGGGAAGGATGGCTGCATTGGCATGGCACGCCTCTGACACACATACTCGACCAGGGGTGTGAGCACGAGGGAGGGAGAGGGAAAGTGGAAGGAAGGGGGGAGTAGGAGTTTGCAGATACAAGAACCTAGCATGGCACAGGCTAGTGAAAGTGAGGGCGCAGCGCAGAGCACGCACCTGCCACAGCGGCCTTGTCAACTCCACCTGCACCTCTGCACTCCAAGGCTCTCCTCGCCCTCACAGTGATTCGTTCGCCTACCCCTGGACTGATACACTCAACGAGGACAAACCTGCAGCAGCGGCTTTGGCGGAGTCTGCTTTCTCCAGCTGCACCTCAGCGCTTGGAAGGCTCTCCCTTCCTGGCGGCGATCTTTTAGTCATCACAAAGAGCACGCACCTGCAGCAGCGGCCTTGGCGGCGTCAGCTTTCTCCAGCTGCACCTCCGCACTCGGAAGGCTCTCCTCGCCCTGCTCCAGCGCTGCTAGGAACGCCACATACTCGGGGTCTGGGGAGGATTCGGCAGAAAGGGGAGGTGGGGTCGGGTGAGGTGGGGGAGGTGTGGGGGGTTGGGTAAAAGAAAGTGAATCCCCGAGTGGCGAAGGGGAGAGAACCAGGTTACAGGATTAAGGGAGGCTCTGCACGCCATGGTCTAGTGCTGCCAAGACCAAGAACTCAGGGTCTGGGGGAAATCGTGGGAGAGAGTGAGGGGGGGGGACGCGAGAGAATGGCAGAACGAGGGGATGCATCCTAGGGAGTGAAGGGGTGGGAACCCGTCATTAAAATCACCATTGTCTAGCGCATCACCTTTGTCTATAGTCCCCTGCCTGGGGTCCTTCCTCTGAGCCTCCCTCGGAACTTTCTGCCATGGCGCGTACTCCACTGTCGCCTGGAACTGCTGCCCTGCAGTGCCAGCCAGGGGGGTGCATGGGGCAGGCGGAAAGGAAAACACAATTGAGTCGCCTCATAAAGCTTTCTGCCACCCATGGAGCGCACTCTACTGTCCCCTGAAACGAAACTGCTGCCCTGCAGTGCCGGATGAGGGATAGTTGAGGCAGCCGGGAACGGAACACAGAGAAGAAAAGAAGGGGATAATAGAAGGATACTTTAGGGCTCAAATGCCAATGGTCCTTGCAGGGCCTCCGAAAGACCCTGACTGCTGCACTGCTGCTGCCATCTGAACTGCCTGTTTGTCGCCTTGACACACATTGCGTATGTTCAGACGCCTGAAACTACTTAACCAGGATTCAATTACACTTGAAAGATCCAGCCTGGAAGACTTACCTCTTGAGTCAACACTGGCAACAATATATTCATCCCTGCGCATTAGGACTTCAATTAGCGTCCTCTTCTTCTCATGGCATTTTGAGAAAATATCCTCCTTCTCACGTGTCACGTGAAATCAGACATAAGATTTTCATGGCCCTTGACGGGAGACCTACCCTTCTCGTTGACGAAGGTGTGGCCGTGAAAGTCGGAGGAGAAAGTGAGCACGTCGTCGGGCGAGAGAAAGTTGATGTACGCCCTTGAGAGTGCCGTCTTCTTGGCTCTGCGACGAGGTGATGCCAGGAGATGCGAAGCGATGCCAGGAGATGCGAAGCGATGCCAGGAGATGCGAAGCGATGCCAGGAGATGCAATGCGATGTAGTGAGATGCAAGGTTGTTTTTCGAAAATTCGTAAGCAGCTTCAATATGGTCGAGAACATGATGGGAGAAAGGCGTTAAGACGCAACCGGGGGATGGAGGCGATTAAGAGAGGATGTGGAAGGTGGTCTGGATAGCTGGGTGAAATATGGGTGTGTGAGTGTGGAAACATACGATGATTTTCCGGGGTAGAACATGATCCAGTTGTAGCGGCCCTGGTACTTCTTATTTAGCGCCTCGAGAAATGATTCCTCCTTAAGATTCGGCGGTAGTTTGCGCACCACCACTTTGGTCTTCTTCAGGGCATCTTTCATCATGGCTTCTCGATCAGAATTGTAGACCTAATTGACAAAAAAATGGCAACCGTCCCACAACGAAACGGAATCGTCGAGAAGGAAACTGACTGAGAGGGTTTAAACGAGGGCGCTCCAGCATTCACAGGGAGAGAAGGCGAAAGAACGACCTTACATAACCAGTCGTTTCAAGAGCTCCTAGCCACGGTGGCACTAATTTGCTCTCTGCGCACTGGGACTATCTCCAAGGCTGATTGTGTGCTGTGGATGAGGTGGAAAATTTTGAACATAAGGTGGAATAACTAGGTGTTCAGTGAGAAGTAATAAGCAGTTTCCGCATATTCATGCCAAGGGAAGAAACTTGATTGAAACAAGAGGTTTATCGTAGCGAGGATAAAAACCAGTCTTGAACAACTGGGCGGTGTTGTGGGGGAGGTGTTCTGGGATTGGGGGACGGCTGAGCTCAACCGTCTGAGCTAACCAATCAATGAACAAGCGTGGTTGAAATTTGGATACGGCAAGTTCGAGGTTCCATACGCGGTTCAACTGGTTAATATGAGATGGAAAAGGGTGGGATGGGATGGATATAGTCCGGAAAGCTGTCGCTCTCACCAAATTTGTTGTCGGTGAGAACAATGATGGAAATTGTGGTGAGATTCAGAAACTGGGAGAATTCGAGACCCCCGAGGAATTCCATGGTCATGATGATTGTTGGGTGGAGTGGATGAGTGGAGTGCATCAAATCCTGCTCCTGCTTGTCCATCATCTTCTAGTGATTCACTGTGACTGTTGGCTATTGCTGAAGTGATAGCCGAATTCAGCCATAATCACTGCTACTACCACTTAAAGCCGTGGGCCAACTATCAGCTTCAACTTCAGGGTATTATAGCTTGAAACTTGGTAGTCCCAAGCAGTTCAGTGGCGAGAGGTTTGTCTTGTGCGAGATTCCAAAATTTTCGTCCAATAAGGGTCCCGTTACGCACACTCCATATTTGTCCTGCAACTGTTCCTAAGAAGTTGCACCCCGCCTTTAACTGACACCTCCCTCCCTCCGTATTTTGCGTCTAAATTGTGGAGAATCTACTGAGATACTAAGTGGTTCACCTAAACCATGGTTCTTGGTTCTGTATCCCCATACCGCTGGAAAGGCCAGAGTATCAGGTTCGTACTGCAAGTTCTAGCAGTGTTAGGCGTGCAAGCCACACGGATTTCTTCGCATACTCATTGTGCCGATTAGCTATCACTGACTGAGTTGTTACGTCTGCAATCACTCGCATCACCTTCTACTGCTGTTCGACGCTCATGTCTACTTAATCTCTCAAGCCGCAAGTCAGTAATTACTAGCTGGGTTGTAACCATGGCCTGCTCCCGCTGCAGGTTCTAGTTCTAGTCGTAATAGAAAATCATTTGCAGGTGGGTCCTGCAAATCTCACGGAAATATTACAGCTGCGGATCTGCAAACGCTAGCGGGTAAACATGGCGACCGTTGTTATGCCCATCCATTCGTACACGTGGATCTTCGTGGTGACCCTGATATTCTCCCTCCTCGACGCATATGCCATCGGTAAGCATCGGTAAGCATCTTTAAGCATCTTCATGCAACGCGGCGCTGTTTAAGATCGTTCGTGACCACTTTCGGTCGCATCCTCTTCTACAAGTTTGAACGAGATTCTCATTCGTCGCAACGTCTGTCGCAGGTACAAACGACGTCGCCAACTCCTTCGCCACGTCGGTGGGATCGCGGTCGCTCACCCTCAAGCAAGCCGTGTGCATCGCCTTCTTCACTGAATTCGGAGGAGCGGTCGCTCTTGGCGCTACGACGGCCGATACAGTCAAGGACGACATTATCAATATCAACATGTTCAGCAGTCGGCCAGACCTTTTAATGTCAGGCTTCATGTGCGCGTTAATGGCGTCCTCGGCATGGGTCATGACCGCGAGTATTCTAGGCTTCCCTCTTTCTACCACACACTCCATAATCGGTGCGCTTATCGGAGTTGGCATTAGCGCGTACGGCAAGGACGCGGTGAACTGGGGATGGGAGGGTAGGGGAGTGGCACAGATCGCGACATCTTGGGTCCTAGCGCCTTGCCTAGCTGGCATCCTCGCAGCAGCGATCTACACAATAACACTCTTTGCTGTCATGAATCGGAGAAACTCTCTCCGAGCAGGAATCTGGGCCGTTCCTTTCTTCTTCACCAGCACCAGCTTCATCGTCAGTTTCTACGTCTTCGCCAGAAACAGCCGGTGGGGATTTTTGAATGAAGAGGGTGTTCATAGCAGCAACATTGGCCTGACGTTTGCCATCACAGGAGCGATCACAGGCGCGACTCTTATCTTCTCAGTGGGGTTCCTTGTCCCGTTCTTCATCCGACGGCTGGAGAAGGAAGAGAGCCTAAGATGGTACCACGTGTTCTGCATCCACTGGCTGCCGGAGCAGCCGCACGACACTAAGATTGACACATACTTGAAACGAACCTTCACCCCGCAGCTGCTGAACGATGACGAAAAATCAGACCTCGGAATGCCTGTAGAGGACGAGGAGGAAGAGCACAAAGAGGAGCGGTGGGAGCAGCAAAAGCTCAAGCACAGAAGCCTTGTCCTGCGGCTCGCCCACCACATCAAATGGCTGCTCATGCGCACACTATACATCGATGTTGCGTCGGTGCAGCGGCGGAACAAGGGTGCAGTGCGCGCGCACGAGGTGGCAGTCCTGTATGACAACAAGACAGAATACCTGTACTCGCTGCTGCAGGTGGTCACAGCGTCCTTCGCCAGCTTCTCCCATGGCTCCAATGATGTTGCCGGCTCGCTGGGGCCCCTGGCAGGGGTGTACCAGCTGTGGGAGACTGGCACCTTCTCAACCTATGCCAGCATTCCCTACTGGATGCTGGTCAATGCCGGGTTGATGATCAACCTCGGCCTTGCCCTTTGTAAGCCATACTGCTGTATAGACCCCTGCACGTCCTGCTGCATATCCCCCTGTATGCCCTGCTGCATTTCCCCCTGCCTGTCCTGCTTACCCACTGTAACTGTTGCTTCCTTGTCTCCATCTGCCACTGCCTCATGGCCACACACTCCTCCTCGTTACACTTCCTCCTCATTGCATTTCCCTCTCCATGGTCCACTCTCTCTTTCCCTGCCCCCCAACTTCCTCCCGACTTCCACCTATCCCCTCCCCCACCCATCCAGACGGGTACAACATAATGCGCAACCTGGGCAACAACATCACATACCACTCGCCCTCGCGTGGCTTCTCCATGGAGCTAGGCACAGCCCTCGCAGTCCTCACCGCCTCCTTCCTCGCACTGCCAGTCTCCACCACTCAGTGCATTGTGGGCGCCACAGTGGCCGTGGGGCTGTGCAACGGCAAGTGGAGAGCCATCAACTGGGGCATGGTGGCCATTGCTGGGTTCGGCTGGGTGATCACTCTCCCTGTCGCCGGTACGGCCGCTGGGCTGCTCTATGCGGTTCTCACTCGTGGCCCCAGCTTCACCTTGCCGCCCTCGCAGTGATCACCGCCTCCCTCCTCGCTCAACCTGTCTCCACCACTCAGTGCATTGTGGGTGCCACAGTGGCTGTGGGGCTGTGCAACGGCAAGTGGAGAGCCATTAACTGGGGCATGGTGGCCATTGCTGGGTTCGGCTGGGTGATCACTCTCCCTGTCGCTGGTACGGCTGCTGGGAGGCTCTATGCGTTGCTGACCCGTGGACCCAGCTTCACCTTTCCGGTCGAAGTTTAGGTTTGGACCAGAGCTGCTTTTCTCTGGCATATGTTTTGAGTCTGGCCTTGCTGGCCATGTATCATATTACGATCTTAGCACGCCACTACTAAATGTACAGTCCTTTTCATAGATAACTAACTACTAACATAGTTCAGCATCACAAGGTATTGCTGTCCGTACAGAAGGAATTACCGTCAGTTGCAACATTGGCAGGGCCTCCATGACCAAGACTTGCGGCCCCAGGAGACTGGTATCGATCTACCAGCACCTGTCTCCTACCACCAGCCAGCCAGGGCTAGACCTGAGGTCACCACCACCACCTCCCACTGCACTGCTATAGAAACACTCAACTCTTCACTCCTGCCGCCAACTCTACGAGAGTCAGAGGCACCTTGTGGGCGTGCCTCGCCGTCTGAGCTCCGCCGACTCCCCACTAACTACCAGTACTCTCATTCCTGCAGCACGCTCAGGAAAGTCAAAACGCCTCTAGTGGGCATACCCCCCTCCCAGTCAGTGCCACGCGGCCACAAACACAGTGGGTGTGCCTCGCCACCTGAGCTCCGCCGATGCTCCAAACCACCGCTCGTCCACCTTCAGTTCAAACCGCCGATCCCGCCCCTCCGTCACAGCCCTCATCGCACTCACCGTCTCCGCATGCAGCGGCTTCGGCCGGAACCCTGCGGCTTCCATTCTCTTCCTCCACTGCTCCAGCCGCTCGGTCCTCAGCCACCGGTGCGTGCCCTCGCAGGCAATGCTGTTCACCATGTCGTGCGCTAGAAACGCCTCGCAGGCCTGCCGCGGTGCAGCGGAGTGCGGGAGGTTTGTGTCCAGCGACTCGACGATCGCTGCGAAGTTGCGCGCGGCGTTCTGGAAGCGCGGGAGGAAGAAGGGCCCGTTGGCATCGGCATCGAGATCGACGCGCAGGAAGAGGAGCGGAGAGAGGTCGAAAATCCACTTGAGTATGGCGTTTCTGGGGTTCGATCGGAGGACCGAGTCGTCCGGAAAGAGGTGGAGGGACCATTTGCCTAGGACTACTACCTCCTCCCCTTCCTCCACTTCCACCATTGAGGGGTGGAAATCCTCTGGCGCGGTTTCGACACCCTGGAAGGTGAAAGGGAGGTCTAGCATCCTGTGTTAAAATATATATTGTGTAGCATGCCAACACATGTGACTGTACACCAATTGTGGTGTACAGTTGGGTTGGGACTACACCCAACTTTGGGTGTAGTCTTGCACTTTGGGGTGCCAATCCACCCAATTGTGGTGGAGCCCCCAAATGCAACCCTCTTGACTTGTGGGTACCTCACTTCCCACAATTGAGGTTACCCCAAGCCAAGTGGGCCTAGGGTTGCCTCACTTCTACAAAGTGTGGGCAACCCAACCCACTTGACCTATGGTTCCCTCACTTCCCCAAGTGAGGTCAACCCAACCTATGGTCACTTTCATCCTTCCCTTCCAACTATGTATGCTAGGTTGTTCCTCTAATCTGATCACTTGTTCAATTTGCTACTTTCACATGGTATAGAGCTACTTGTTCCTAGGCCTTACCTCTCCCTCCCTTCAATTTTTTTTTTTCCCATGGGCCCACCCCACAGCTACAAACCCTTTCCTACGCGTGGCTCAACTAGCCATCACTAGCATACTCTCGCCGCGACCTACGCCGTCGCCGCCATTCCCCCCCCCTCCCGCCGCGATTACGCCTTCCTCGCCTGCGGATTCCACCGCCGCGAGCGCAACGCCGCTGTCCCCTCCTCCCCCCCGCCGCGACCCCCTGTCGCCGCCTCCCCTTCTCGCCGCCGCGCCTGATTCGGCGCCGCCTGCGCATCCTGCCGCCGCGACGCCTCGTCGCCGCCTGCCCGCTGCCCGTTCCTCCGCCGCGACGTCACGTCGCCGCGTTCCTGCCGCCGCGCCTGCTACGGCGCCGCCTGCGCACCCTGCCGCCGCGACGCCTCGTCGCCGCCTGCCCGTCCCTCCGCCGCGACGTCTCGTCGCCGCGTTCCCGCCGCCGCGCCTGCTTCGGCGCCGCCTGCGCATCCTGCCGCCGCGACGCCTCGTCGCCGCCTGCCCGTCCCTCCGCCGCGACGTCTCGTCGCCGCGTTCCCGCCGCCGCGCCTGCTACGGCGCCGCGTGCGCATCCTGCCGCCGCGACACCTCGTCGCCGCCTGCCCGTCCCTCCGCCGCGACGTCTCGTCGCCGCGTTCCCGCCGCCGCGCCTGCTTCGGCGCCGCCTGCGCATCCCGCCGCCGCGACGCCTCGTCGCCGCCTGCCCGTCCCTCCGCCGCGACGTCACGTCGCCGCCTCCCCTTCCCGCCGCCGCGCCTGCTTCGGCGCCGTCTGCCCGTCCCGCCGCCGCGACAGCTCGTCGCCCCCTGCCCGTCCCGCCGCCGCGACCTAACATCGCCGCCTGCGCATTCCGCCGCCGCGACTGCTCGTCGTCACCTCCCCGCCCCCACCCCCCCCCCCCCCCCCCCCCCCCCCCCGCCGCGATTTCCCATTGCCGCCTCCCCTCCCACCGCCGCACCTGCTTCCGCGTCACCCACGCATCTCGCTGCCCCTTCTGCATCGCCACCCTCCCGCAATTTCCCCCGCCGCAACTGCAACATCGTCGCCCCGCGGTTCCCGTTAACGCCACTGCGCCGCCGCCGCCCTACCGCCGCGACTGCTTCGGCGCCGTCTGCCCATCCTCCACCGCGACCGCGCCATCCCCGCCCACACTCCCTGCCGCCGTGACTGCCCCGTCGCCGCCTGCAGATTCAGCCGCAACTGCACCCTCCCTTCCTCCTCTCCCTACTCCTCTCCCCCCCCCTCCCCCTCCCCCTGCGCCCCTCGTTGCCGCGGCCTGCCTGCCGCCGCCGTCCCTCGTTTCGCCGCCGCGGCCCTTCCGCCGTCGCCTGCGCCCCTCGTCGTCGCGGCCTGCTCGCCGCCGCCGCCCCCGACTTTGCCACCGCCTCCCCTTCCCGCCGCCGCACGTTCGCACAGCCGCCTGCGCCCTTGTCACCGTCGCTCCCTGCACCTTGAACGCCTCTGCCCTCCACCGCTGTCTCCCTCCTTTACCCCCCCCCCCCCCCCCCCCCCCTCCCTCCTCCTGCCAGCGGCAGCAGCAGCGGCAGCAGGGGAAGTGCAGCAGCCTCCGCAGCAGCAACTTCACCCTTGGCCGCCGCGGGTCCACCCGCCGTCGCCCATCATGACTGCTACCCCCCCTGCCCCTCTCCCCCCTCCTCACTGGAGCAGTGTTACTCCTCGCCCCTCCCTTCTCAACACTCCGACCCTCCACTCCTCCCCCCCCCCTTATCTCCGCCTGCTCACCCCCTCCCCCCCTCCCCATCTGCGGCGTTTCCAGCAGCTCCAGCATCAGCAGCAGCAGAACTTCCAGCAGCGGCAGCAACCACAATTTCTCCAGCCGCACCCCCCACATCTCCTCCAGCCGCGGCAATCGCAGCAGCAGCAGTTCTTCCAACACCAACAGCAGCCGCAATCTCTCCAGCCTCACCCGCCACAGTTTCTCCATCCCCAGCAGCAGCAGTCCTTCCAGCCGCAGCAGCGGCAGTCCTTCCAGCAGCAGCAGCTGCCACAGTTCCTTCCACCGCAGCAGCAGCAGTCCTTCCTGCAGCAGCAGCAGCCACAGTCTCTTCAGCCGCAGCAGCAGCAGTGCTTCCAGCAGCAGCAGCTGCCACAGTTCCTTCCGCCGCAGCAGCAGCAGTCCTTCCAGCAGCAGCGGCAGCCACAGTTTCTTCAGCCGCAGCAGCAGCAGTGCTTCCAGCAGCAGCACCAGCCACAGTTCTCTCCATCCGCAGCAGCAGCAGTGCTTCCAGCAGCAGCAGCCACCACAATCTCTCCAGCCGCAGCAACCGCGGCAGCATCGGCGGTGCTTCCAGCAGCAGCAGCAGCAGCCCAATCTCTCCAGCCGCAACCGTCACAGTCTCTCCCACCGCAGCAGCCGCAGCAGCAACAGTACTTACAGCAGCAGCACCCACCGCTCTCTCCCTCTTCTATCCATGAAACAACTCTCCAGTACTCTGTGTTCCCTCCCTCTCCTTCCCCCCCCACCCTGGACTTTGTCCTTGACAGTGGGGCCACCGAAACCGCACTAAAAGACGCTGGCACCCTCACCCCCCTTCCACTTCCCACCCAGGTTCATGGTGCCGACTCCAGCTTTTCCATCCCCTGCACTCACCTCTCCACCCTTCCTCGCACCGCCTTCCCATCCGGTACAGTCACCGGTCTCCACATCCCTACCCTTCGCAATAACCTCCTCTCCCACCGTGAACTCCAAGGCGTTGGCATTACCGCCATATACCCTGGCTTTGCTTCCTACTGCGATCTCTACCACACCGCCTCTGGTCGTTTCCTCCTGCGCATTCCCCTTTGCCCTCGCACTCGCCTTTACACGCTCCGCACACCCCGTCCCTCCTTTTGTCACGTCACCACTCGTGCTGGTACTTCCACCGGTCCCTTTCTCCCTCCCCCTCACCCTCCCCCTCCCCCTCCTCCGATATCCTCCTCCTCTACTCCATCCGCCTCCTCCTCCCCCCCCAACTTTTCCCCCACCCCATCCCCCTCCTCCTCTACTGCCCTCTCCCATCCTGCAGTGCTCCTACATCACAGACTCGGCCATCCCAACTTCGCCGCACTTTGCTCCACCGTCACCTCTCGCCTCCTTAACAGCCTTCCTCCCACCTTACCTCCCCTCCCCTCCTCCCCTGCTCCCCCATGCCCATCATGCATTCATGGCAAGCTCAAACAGTCCCCCCATCACAGTCATCCCACCTTCGCTCCCGCCCCCATTGACCTTGTTCACATGGATCTCTGGGGCCCTTATCCCATCCGCTCCCGTCAGGGGCACAGGTACATGCTCGTGCTCGTCGACGACCACAGTCGGTACTCCACCGTCTTCTTTCTTCACACGAAAGACCAGGTGCCGGCTGTGGTCATCAACTGGGCTGAGCAGTGCCGCAACCACTTCAAACGTCCCATAGGCCCGCCTTCACTCTGACGGTGGGGGTGAGTTCATCAATCATACTCTCTCCACTTACTGCAAAACATACGGCATTCAGCAGACCACCACCCTTCCCCACTCCCCTCAGCAAAACGGCATCGCTGAGAGTCGCATCCGTGAGATCACCAAGACTGCGCGCTGCCTCATTGCTCACGCCTCCACCCCTCCCTCCCTCTGGAGCTATGCCCTCATTCATGCCGCCCTCCTCCTCAATCTCCGCTCCCACCCTCAGCATCCCTCCTCCTCCCCCACAGAACTCTGGTCCAAGGCCAAGCCTGACGCCGCAGGCCTTCGTGTTTGGGGCTGCAAGGCGTTCGTCCTCATTCCACCGGCCGACCGCTCCCGCGCTGCTGGCAAGCTCGCTCCTCGCGCTCTGGAGTGCGTCTACCTTGGGCACAATCGTGATTCCCCAGGCTACCTATTCCTCCACCCTCCCACCAATCGCCTCATCCGCAGCATTGACGTCGTCTTCGACGAGTCCACTCCCTACTACTCCACCCCTCCTCCTGACCCCCTCCCTCCTCCCACTCGCCCCCTCGCTTGGACCGACACCATCCTCCCGCCTCTTATCCCTCCAGCGCCTCTCCTCCCACCTGTCGCCGCCCCACTCCCGCCTTCCTCCTCTGCCGACGTCTACGACCCTGCCGCACCCGCCTCCCCCGCTCACTCAGCTGCACCCCCTCCCCCCTCTCCCTCCTCCTCTCATTCTCCTCCTTTCCAGCAGCCGGATCAGCAACAGCAGGGGCAGCAGCAGCAGCAGCAGCCGGATCAGCAACAGCAGGGGCAGCAGCAGCAGCAGCGGGAGCAACACCAGCAACGGCAGCAGGGGCAGCAGCAGCAGCAGCCGGGGCAGCAGCAGCAGCAGCAGCAGCATCAGCAGCAGCAGCAGCAGCCGGAGCAGCAGCAGCAGCAGCAGCAGCAGCCGGGGCAGCCGCATCAGCAGCAGCCGGGACAGCAGCAGCAGCAGCAGCATCCGCAGCAGCAGCACCAGCAGCAGTTGCGGCGCCGTGCCACTTCCCGCTCCTCCCCCTTCCTCCTCCCTTACATCCATACCCGCTCGGTGGACAAAATCCTTGGGGCTCCTCCTCCTGCCTCCATTCAGCTCCTTGAGGACTCCCATGAGGAGTTCCTCAACATTCGGGAGCACACTCCATTCCTTGCCGCCCTCTACCTTGACTTCCTGGGCTTTCCTGTCCTTGGCGCCACTACTACCCCCACCATCTTCACTCCCTCCACCTTCCAGGAAGCCATCACCTGCCCTGATGCGGATAAATGGATAGCAGCGATCTTCCTGGAGTGTGAGGCCTTCATTCGCAACGACTCCTTTGTCGATGTCCCCCTCCCTGCTGGCGCTAATCTCGTTGACGGCAAATGGGTCTTTCGGGTGAAGCAGCTGCCGGGCGAGGAACCAGTGTACAAGGCCCGCTACTGCGCCAAGGGGTTCACGCAGACTTGGGCTGAGGACTACTGGTTCACCTACGCCCCCACCGCCAAACCACCCACCCTTCGCGCCGCCATGGACATTGGTGCACGTGACGACATGGAAATCGACTCCATGGACGTCTCCAATGCGTTCCTGCAGGGCGACCTGCATGAGCGCATTTTCCTCCGGCGACCCCCCGGGTTCCACGCAGCCTTTCCTGAGAACACTGTCTGGCAGCTGCGTCGCCCCGTCTACGGCTTGAAGCAGGCACCACGTGAGTGGCATGCGAAGCTGGCTGCCACCTTGGGGTCCCTCGGCTTCTCTGCTTCCCACTCCGACGCCAGCCTCTTCATCCGCTCCTCCCCCCGCCGCTTCTTCATTCTGGTATATGTCGACGACATGATCCTGCTCTCTGACACCAAGGCCGACATGGAGCAGGTGAAGCTGTCCCTGCAGCAGCGGCTCAAGTGCAAGGACCTTGGCGCCCTCACTCACTACCTCGGCATGACCATCACGCGCAACCGCCCTGCTCGCACAATCACCCTCTCCCAGTCCCATTACATCGGCCAGGTCTTGGAGAAGTTCGACATGGCGCAAGCCAAGCCTGTTTCCACCCCGCTCCCCTTCGGTCACCAACTCGCTCCACCCACCTCCCCCACCTCCTCCCCCCACCCCTATGCCGAGCTCGTTGGGTCCTTGATGTACGCAATGATGTGCACCCGCCCCGACCTCGCCTACCCCATCAGCGTGCTCGCTCGCTTTGTCGGCACCGGTCGTCACTCTGAGGAGCACTGGAAAGCTGCCAAGCGGGTCCTCCGCTACCTTCGCGGGACCAGGGACCTTGCCCTCACCCTCGGCGGCCCTTCCCGTCCCCTTCTCTCGGGCTTGAGTGACTCCTCATGGGCTGACACGCAGCCGGACCGCCGCTCCTCCCAGGGCTACGGCTTCACCCTTGGCAGCGGCCTCATCAGCTGGCGCTCCACCCGCTCCTCCGCCATCTCTCTCTCCACCTGCGAAGCCGAGCTCTACGCTGGCACCATGGCCGCCCAGGAGTCGCGCTGGCTCTGCTTCCTTCTTGCGGAGCTTGGCGCCCCCCAGACGTGCCCCACTCTCTGGTGCGACAACGCCAGCACCATCCATCTCACTCAGGACCCCGTCTATCACGCCCGCTCCAAGCACATCGAACTCCGCTACTTCTTCGTTCGCGAGCTCGTCCAGAAGGGCCTCATTGCCGTTCGCAAGATTGCAACCGAGGCCAACTTGGCCGACATCTTCACTAAGGCCCTCCTTCGCCCCGCGCACTCTGCCTTCCTCCGCCTCATTGGCCTTGCTCGCCCGGGCGCCCCTTGATTCAGGGGTTGTTCTCTTCTTGTGTTAGCATGCTAAGGGGTTGTGTTAAAATATATATTGTGTAGCATGCCAACACATGTGACTGTACACCAATTGTGGTGTACAGTTGGGTTGGGACTACACCCAACTTTGGGTGTAGTCTTGCACTTTGGGGTGCCAATCCACCCAATTGTGGTGGAGCCCCCAAATGCAACCCTCTTGACTTGTGGGTACCTCACTTCCCACAATTGAGGTTACCCCAAGCCAAGTGGGCCTAGGGTTGCCTCACTTCTACAAAGTGTGGGCAACCCAACCCACTTGACCTATGGTTCCCTCACTTCCCCAAGTGAGGTCAACCCAACCTATGGTCACTTTCATCCTTCCCTTCCAACCTTCCCTTCCAACTATGTATGCTAGGTTGTTCCTCTAATCTGATCACTTGTTCAATTTGCTACTTTCACATCCTGGCCACTTGCTCCAGGTACCGCCCGCCCAGATGGACCATTCCTGACCGTTGAGATGCGAGCTTCACTGTGGAGAAATCGACAGCTATGATCTTGAGCAGCGGGGTGGGGGGCGATGGGTATGGTCTCTCCCACCCCCGGGCGCTGGTGCCTGTGTTGGCGTCTCCTGGAGGGGAGGGAGCCGCAGGGGGGCTAGCTGCAGTGCCTCTTGGTGCAGGCGAGAAGGGCGGTGCTGCAGGGGATGCAAGAGGAGTGGGAGATGCAGTGGTAGGAGTAGATATTCTGGTGGAGGTTGGTGGGGATCCCAAGGGAGTGGCGGTCGAGGCAGGGGAGGGAGAGGAGGAGGGAGCAGCAGCAGCAGCAGCAGGGGAAGCTAACGTAGAGCCCACTGCACTGATCCCCTGCTTGCAGAACATGCTCGCACCCGCTCTCTGCTCATTCTCACTCCTGCCTTGGCTGCTGCTCCCAGCCTTCCCACTGCTGGTGCTGGCTGGGCCCGACGCAGTGCCAGCTTCACTGCCGGCTGTCGTGTCAGTTTTGGAATTGGGCATGGCCTCAGCTGCACCAGCTTCAGCCGCATCAGCAGCAGCAGCAGCAGCAGCAGCAGAAGCAGCCAGATCAGCACCAGCAGCAGCACCAGCAACAGTAGCAGCAGCATGGGCAGGGGGCAGGGCAGTGAGTTGGGAGAAGTGGGCGGAGAGGCGCATGAGGATGTTAACCCACTGGGGCCCGGGGTAGAACCCCAGTGATATGATGTGCAGCCGCCGCCGCCGCACCCGACTCTTCCTGCTCGCCCCTGCACTCCCTGCCTCCTCTGCTGCTGCTGCCTCCCCTACTGCATCCCTTGCTGCTGCTGCGGAAGTTCCTGTAGCTGCTGCTTCTGGTGCTGTTGCTGGTGATGCAGCGGCATTACCGGGAGACTCAATGAAGGCTCGGGTAATCTCTTGCACCTGTGCCGCATAGTTGTACTCCATAAAGGATGGCACGCTATAAGCACTGTCGTGGCCCATCAGCTCCATGATACTCTGGTAACAGCGAGAAAAGGCAAAAAGAAGAAAAAAGAGCTCCATGATACTCTGATTCAGAGCCGAACACAGCTGCCAGTGCCAACAGAGCTCACCGCTCACACGTGCGCATATCAGCAAACAGCAAGTCTTACCCTAAGCTGTGACGTGACGTGCAGAAGGCATTGCAGTGGTGGAAAGACAAACCATTATCCCTGAGGAGGGTTACACTCACTTTCGGCGGAGCAAGCGCGGCGACTTTTGAACTGCTGGATGGCCGTGCCGTCGCCAAAACACGCGTGGGCAGACACCTCGGCAGAGAGCTGAGCAATGAATACTACCCACCTCGGCAGAGAGCTGAGCAATGAATACTACCCACCTCGGCAGAGAGCTGAGCAATGAATACTACCCACCTCGGCAGAGAGCTGAGCAATGAATACTACCCACCTCGGCAGAGAGCTGAGCAATGAATACTACCCACCTCGGCAGAGAGCTGAGCAATGAATACTACCCACCTCGGCAGAGAGCTGAGCAATGAATACTACCCACCTCGGCAGAGAGCTGAGCAATGAATACTACCCACCTCGGCAGAGAGCTGAGCAATGAATACTACCCACCTCGGCAGAGAGCTGAGCAATGAATACTACCCACCTCGGCAGAGAGCTGAGCAATGAATACTACCCACCTCGGCAGAGAGCTGAGCAATGAATACTACCCACCTCGGCAGAGAGCTGAGCAATGAATACTACCCACCTCGGCAGAGAGCTGAGCAATGAATACTACCCACCTCGGCAGAGAGCTGAGCAATGAATACTACCCACCTCGGCAGAGAGCTGAGCAATGAATACTACCCACCTCGGCAGAGAGCTGAGCAATGAATACTACCCACCTCGGCAGAGCAAGCGCGGGCACAATTGAACTGCTGGATGGCGAGCGCGACATTTGAGTTGACTCAGGAGTCCTCTACAGAGAGTGATACTGACCTCGGCAGAGCAAGCGCGGGCGCAACTGAACTGCTGGATGGCGGTGCCGTCGGTGCGAGCCCGCAGAGCCTGGAGCGCGTGGAAGGCGATGCGCTGCAGCGTGTCCCCCCCCGCTGCCGCCTCCCTCCGTACCTGTCGCATGAAGTGCCGCCACCTCACCTGGTGGGCGCAGGGGTTTGGTTGAGAGTGATCCGGGATGAATCTACCAGTGGCAGTGATGCATGAAGTAGTGCGAGCACACCCAGTGGGCTTGTGTTGGTGCGACTTTTGAGAATTCTCAAAAGTCGCACCAGGGGTCTGGTTGAGAGTGATCCGGGATGAATCTACCAGTGGCAGTGAGTGATGCAAGAAGTAGCGCGAGCACGCCCAGTGGGCTTGTGGCACGTAGCGAATCATCGGTGGTGCGTATTGAGGCGCCTCAAGAATGTGTCATCACGTACCGAATCGTCGGTGGTGAGAGCTTCAGCCAGCGCTGACAGCTGCGACCACAGGTGCCTCTCCTTCCCACCGTCCACCATGCCGGGAAGCAGCCCAGAAACATCCGGTTTCAGCGACCGGCTGGGGTTTGCAATGGCGTTTGAAGGTGCTTCGAGGGCACTACTGCCATTCCTACCGCGCCTGCCATTGCTGTTGAGTGCATTGCTGCTGCTGGGAGTACAGCTGCCGCTCTGCTTCAGCAGCTGCTGTCGCAGCGGAAGCTGTTGCAGCAACAGCCGTTGGTGCGCCTGCCTCTTTGGCAGAGCCTGCAGCATTTTCTGAAGAAGCTTCCTCTCCTGCCTCCTCTCCTCCTCCTGCTGCCGCTCCACGCTCATCGCCCCCCGTTTACGCCTCTGCTTCGGCCGATTCGACTGCTCCTGCTGGCCCCACTGCTGCTCCTGCTGCTGCTTCCCTCCGTTCCTCCCACTTCCTTCCAGCAGCACCCCCAACTGCTCCCTCCATCGCTCATACCCAGAGTCTCTCTGAAAGCCAAGGCTGGCACTCGCACCACCAAAGAACCCGCCTCCGATCATCCCTCCTGCAGCCACGCTGCTAGCAACGCTTGCGCCCCCTCCTACAGTCACATTTCCGCCTCCCACCCCGCCCTCCTCCATAGAAGCATCTTCGCCTCCCTCTGCTGTGCTCCCAGCTTCGGCTGCCTGACCCGCACCGTGCTTACCTGCTGCTGCATCCACTGCCAAACCTATTGCCGAACCTATTCCCGAACCTGCTCGCAAGCCTGTTCCCAAGGCCACACCTGCTGCATTTGAATCTGCAGGGTCACCTGAAACCATACAACCTGGCACACGCTCCCTCACAGCATCTGCCATTCCTCCTGCTGCTGCTGGTGCCACTGACGCCGAATGTGCTGCTGACGTGGCAGCGCGGTATTGGCTGCTGGGAGAAGAGGAGGTGGTAATCACTCCAAGGAGCCCTTTCAGTCGTGCTGACAGGTCAGAGGTGCGGCGAGCTTGCGTAGGGAGGGACGCCTGCACCTGGGAATTCACCTGAGAATGCACCTGGGAGTGCACTCGCACTTGCTTGAAGGGCGAAGAGGGTGCACCCGAGTGGTCCCAGTCCCTTCCTCTCACTCCGCCCACCTGGTCTATGGGCAGTGGTACCGGGGTTGGAAGCGGGTTGTATGGCCTCTCTTTGGCACTTGTCTGAGTGACTGCCTGGCTGGATGCCAGGTGCTGCTGCTGCTGCTGCTGCTGATGATGATGATGATAAACTTGTTGCTTTAAATAACGCAGTAAGAGCTGCTCCTGCTGCTTGGATTCTTGCACTTGCTCTTGCTGGTTCTGCTGCTGGTTCTGCTGCTGCTCCTCCTCCTCCCTCTGTGCCTCCAGCAGCCTCCGCACCTGCTGCACCACTCCGCTGCTGCTCTCCTCCACGCCCAGCGCGCTCAGAGCCCTCGTTACTGTCACACTCGTCAACCCCCCCAGCGACGCCGCGACCCCCCCCTTCTCCTGCTGCTGTTGCCGATGCTCTTGCTGCTGCGTTTCGTGCTCTTGGTCGTACTGTGCCCCATGCTCTTGTTGCTGCTGCTGTTGCTGCTGCTCCATATCCTCGATCATCTGTAGCAACGCGTGTCCACGGTGATTGCCCTCGCCTGGCCCATTGCTACTCTCCATATTCCGCTCCTTCCCTCGTTGCTCCTCCTCTCCTTCCACCGCAGCAACACAAACCGTGCAATCCACAATATCACCAACACCAAAATCAACTCCGTCAGCAGCAACATCAGCATCGGCAGCAGCAGCACCGCCATCATCAGCATCACCAGCAGCAGTTTCCTGCAAGAGAGACAGAGAAACACAGGGCAACGCTCCTTCTCCAACCCCTGATGCTCTCGCCGCAGCTGCAACCCCCTCGTCCGCCCACCCTCCACGCCTCCCTCCCAGCGCAACAGACGCAGTGGCGAGGAACAGCTGCTGCGCCGCTGACTCAAACGTCATCGCTCTCCTGCCCCCGCTGACACCACACCCGCCCCTCCTGACGTCCCCGCACCCATGGTCGCTGCAGCAGAGCTTCCGCCAGCAATCTCGCCACTACAGGCCCCGCCAGCACTCCCGCCAGTACCCGCTCCGCCAGCACTCCCGCCAGTACCCGTTCCGCCAGAAATGACGTGGGGCGCAGGCGGCGGAGCGGGGAGGGGAATGCGCGGGGAGCCTCGTGGAAGAACAGTGGCAGGAGTGGGCGGCGCGGGGGCCGGGGGAAGGGATGGGGAAAAAGGGGCGGAAGGATTTCTGATGATATTTTGGGGCAGAGGGTGGTGCGAGAGGCGGTGGGGGAACTGCAAGGGGGGCCCTCCAGGGCCTGTGCCCGTCGCATTCATGTCTTGCATCGCTATCCACTCCAATAGAAGCCTCGTTACTGCAGCATCCGATACAGTGCCATCCTCTTGAGCTGCTCCGGTTGTCATGTCTGCTGCTGCTGTTGCGGCTGCTGGCGACGCTGCTGCTGGTGCCCCTGCCCTTGCTGCTCCTCCTGCTCCTGCTCCTCCCGAGAGATCCTGCCCGTCCATCCCCAGCATGACATCGAACGGATGCAGGGCGACGCTGCCGTTGCTGCCACCACCACCACCACCACCACCACCACCACCACCACCACCACCACCACCACCACCACCACCACCACCACCACCACCACCACCACCACCACCACCACCACCACCACCACCACCACCACCACCACCACCACCACCACCACCACCACCACCACCACCACCACCACCACCACCACCAGTGCCTCCGCCACCACCACCGCCATGCAAAGCAGCAGCAGGACGATTGTAGGTAACGTCGTTGTTCGCTGGAAGCACAGCTGCCTGCGCGCCACTGACACCGCCACCGCCACCGCCATCACCGCCACCACCACTGCCGCCATGCAGACCGGCAGTATCACGACCGTTAGCACCGCCGATTGTCGCTGTGGGGAGAACAATTGCCTGCGCGAGACTGCTACCTTCCGTCCCCGCAAGGTTATTAGTGCGCTGCTGCTGCAGCAGCAGCATCGTCAGAAGCAACTCCGCATTGATATACTCCGCTGATGGCGGCGCCATGACCGCTTCAGACCCTAGACTGCTGTTATCGCTAATTCCTGTGCTTGCAGTGCCTGGCGTGGCCGTGTGGGGAGTGGCGGCTTCCGCCAGCGCGGCTGTTGGTTCCGCCGTTTGCGTCACGCCCGCCGCGCCCGCAGCTGCCAGCGCAAAAGCTTCCGCCACGGTTGCGCCGGGCTTCGGCGGAAGAACCGCACTCGGTGCTGCGGCGGGGACCGCTGCGGGCGCGCGCCATCCAGTTGCCGGAGACGCGCCCGCGCCGGGCGCGGAGACTTGCGCGGAGCAGGGGATTCTCACCGCGGGTTCCGCCAACAGCGCAGCCATTGCAGCGTCGGACTCCAAATCCATCTCGCAGGACTGCTGCGGACCGTCCAGATTGTTCCCAGGCCACGGCCAGCCGTCGATTCTTTGAAAAGATGGGTCGAATTCGTCAAGCGACGTTTGCGGAAGCAGGGGCGGCTGCAGCAGGTCCATTAGACTCGCACTAAGCTGGTCGCACGGCTGCTGCAAAAAATCGTCGCACGGCTGCTGCGAAAAGTCGTCGCACAACGCTGCGAAGCTAAGGTCGTCCATGGTTCAGTGCGGCTTACATGTGTGACAAGGGCGAAAGAACGACCATGTACAGCGTAGCGTAGGAGCAGAAGAGGACGAGGGGTAGCCTACCACGCTATGATATCGAAGCTAAGCAATGTATCGCACGGCTCGCAAGGACAAGAAGACTGTGGTAGGTACAGAGAGAAATGAGGTGACGGTGAACAGCACTTAGAAAGAGCCTCTGGTTCCAAGATTTGCGAGCGAGCGGAGATGGGGGCAAGAACGGTCTGCAAGGACTGTGTGACACCACCACAAAACAAGACCGCCTCACATCCCCTCACACGCTAGTTGCGAGTTGTGAGAGTAGAGGTGTGTGGGTGGGTCGGTGGGAGGAAGGACGACATGAGTGTCGGTGCGAGGGCGCGTTCCGTATGCTCGTATCGGATTTCCGGGCGGAAGGCAAGACACTAAGCTGAAGGACCAGAGAGGGTGTGGGTGGAGTGTGAGTCCAGATTTCCACAAGAGAAATGAGAAACGCACAATACAGGTTCAAAAGTTCACAAATGTGAAGAAACGCATCCTCACCTGTGGACTGTTGCTCAGGAATTGTCCTCACTACAGGGCTCCCGGTTCTCGGATGAAGATACGGATCTGGTGATACCGTTTCTTTGCCAGAGAGATTGGCTAGTGTACATTCCGGCGCTGTGCAGCGCACTCTGCCCCGCGCAGCACAGGGCAGCCATGTATGCCTTGTCTGTTAGTGCTGAGAGTGACTGTTACCTGTGTGTGCCGCCCGACCCAGGTATAAAAGCTGTTGTTCTAGATGCTAGTGAGTCTGCTCTCTCTGGTACTGTCCCCGATAAGGCCTCGCACACTTTCATACTTGACTCTGGTGCTTCCCGCTGTTTCTTTCACGACAGTAACACTCTCACTCCACTCCCTGCACCTGTTCCAGTCAGACTGGCTGACCCCTCAGGGAGCCCAGTTTTTGCACGTTCCTCCACTGTTCTCCCGTGTCTGGCAGTTCCGTCCGACTCACTCTCAGGTCTTCACCTCGCCTCGTTCTCTACAAACTTGGTGAGTACCGCTGCCCTCCAGGATTCGATGGTCACTACCACCACTCCTTGGGGTCAGCGTGTGTCGATCTGCACGTGTACACGGACGGGCCGTCACCTGGCCACGTTCACCCGTCGGCCTGGGTCGAGTCTGTACATACTGACTACTGAGCCTCTTCAGGTAGCTGCGTCTGCCCATGTGTTCGTGTCAGGTCCGGTAGCACCCCCCTGCTCGTGTCACCTCTTGTCGCACCAGGCTCTCCTTTGGCACCACCGACTTGGTCACCCCTCCCTGCCACGCCTTCGTGGCATGCACTCGCGCCTCCTTGTTTCTGGTCTTCTCAGGTCTCTGCTTCCCCTCCTGCCCTCGCCTGCCCCGCCCTGCCTTCCTTGCGTCGAGGGGCGGCAGCGCGCCGCTCCTCACTCCTCCTCGTTTCCCCCGACAACTGCTCCCCTGCAGACTCTCCACACGGACGCGTGGGGCCCAGCCCGCGTCAGTGGACAGGACCGCGAGCGCCTACTTTCTGCTGGTTGTTGACGACTACATGCGTTACACCACGGTCTTCCCCTTGCGCAGCACTGTAGCTAGAGTTGGAGGCGCTGGAGCTGGAGGTGCTGGCGCTGGGGGTGCTAGAGCTGGCGGTACTGGTGTTGGAGGTACTGTGCAGCGGCGCCCGTTTTTCGTTCTGCCGCCGCCGTCGTCTCTGCCGCCACCTAATTCGGTCCTTCGTCAGGTTCTTAGTCTCCCGTCTTCCACTGGCCTTACTCCTAGCTTGCTGTGTCCACCGCCTCACCAGTCGCAGCCACAGTTACACTCGGACTCTCCACTGTCTGCTCCTTCTCCTTACGCTGAGCAGACAGACTCTCTTACAGAGCGTCGTGAGCCTGAGTCTCGTCCGGCCTCGTCTGTTGGTGCTGTTCGCACTGGTTGTCGTGTTCCTCGTCCGTGTCCTCCTCCTGTCCCTGGCACTCGCATTATGATACTTCGTCCTTCCTTTGTTCCACTGCGAGTTCCTCTGCCGTCTCCTTCGCGTCCTCTCTTGGTGACGGTCCGGACACTCAGTCTGACTTAGCTCGTGCTGCCAGTCATACTGTCCCTCGTATTCTAGCCACTGTCGTTTCCAGACGCGGTGGTGAATGTATTTTCAGAGTGAACCGGCCGCCGGGTTCTCTGCACGTCTTCAAGGCTCGTTACGTTGCACGAGGCTTCAGTCAGCGACAGACACACAGACGCTTCTTGGGTTGATGACTTGGCTACGCAGCGGTCGTCACAGGGTTACACTTTCAGCCTTGGCTCCGGCTCTGTTTCTTGGCGGTCCACCCACTCGTCTTCTGTTCTCAGTTCCAGTTGTGAAGCTGAGATCTACGTAGGGGCCATGGCTACATAGGAGTTACGATGGCTCACCTACCTGCTGACCGACTTGGGAGAGCGGCCTCGTTCTTCTCCAATTCTGTACGTAGACAGCAAGGCCATGATTGCCTTGTGTCAGGAGCACAGACTGGAGCACAGAACGACGCACATCGCTCTGCGTTACTTCCTTGCTCGAGAGTTGCAGCATCGTGGTCAGCTTCGTCTTGCTTACGTGGCCACTAGGGTCAACATTGCTGATATATTCACCAAGGCACTTCCGCCTGGTGATCATCAGCGCTTCTCTACTGTGTTAGGCCTTGTGCCTACTTTGCCTCACTTGCTCACTGCGTGACTTTGCTTGTACTGTGATCTATATATATACCTCCATGCTTACACTTGCTATGGCATGATCACTGTACTGTTTGTTCTGTTTTATAGAACTCTGCATGTGAACTGGCCTTGTGGTCATTTGCTTGTGCTCGGAATGTGTGGTGACTTCATGATCCACCTTGAGCTTGCTTTGCTTTTCTTGACTGGTCTTGTGACCACTTTTTGTCTCCCACTTTGCCTATGTTTTGTCTCAAAATGTTATAGTGCTTACATTGTGTAGGCTGTAGTGGGGTAGCCCATAAGAGGTACAACCCAATTATGGTTAGTACTTGTACCAACTTTCTGCTCAATGCATTCATTCTCGTTCAGTATTCTGATAATGAACCCCATTCCAGCTTGAAACTGAAGTTGGCGAGGCGACTCGGTCCATCACTTTACAATGTTCGTGCGAGTGCAGCACATAGACGTGCGACGAATGACATCATTTTTGGTGATAGCCAATCACATCAATTCGATCTGAAAAGTTTGGATGATTGAAACAGTGCTTTTTCGCTTTGAGAAACTCCTCGCAACACTCTTTCAAGCTGGGTCGGGGTTCACTATTTTAGCTGCTGGCTTTAAGACCCTAAACAGAAGTATCCACCTTGTACCCGCCAATGTAATGTGGACTTTATGCCAGACTTGCCTCTCAGCTGACCATCACACTTCCTTTCTGTTGGTTGCACCAATCGTTTTGCACGACTGACTTCGACGGTAAAAACATTATTTTATGTACGGAGCAAAGTGGAGTAATGGCTGAATGTGATGGGCAGATGATAATTACTTAGGGCAATATTGTTTCAAATTAGCATCAACTTTGTTTATTCCTCCTCTCTGCATCCATGGCTGCCTCATACAGCTTAGCTGCCACCACAGGCCCAGCATTTTCCACCATACTAGCAAACACCGAACCCCCTTTTCCCCTTCTAACACCACGCTCGTTCAACCCCTGTCGTAACAAGTTCGCCGGGGTATCAAACTCTGCAACCCTACCTCCAGGCGCAAGCACCAACACCCTGTCTGCATCAATAACTGTATCGATGCGATGCGCTATAGTCAGAACTGTAGCTCGCATGCCTGCAGCACCAAACTGCTCGCGCACTGTGGCTTGGACTAGCGCGTCGGTCTCCCCATCAACGGCAGCAGTTGCTTCATCCAGCACCACCACTCGGGACTGCCGCAGCAGCGCACGTGCGAGACAGAGAAGCTGCCTCTGCCCCACACTGAAATTTTCCCCGTTTTCAGACACATCCATGTCAAGAGTCACAGGGCGAAGCCTCGTGGTGGCAGCCGAGGCAGCAGCGTGAGATGGGGATCCCTCAAGTATCCTGGATGAATCACACTCAACGCCGTTCCCGTGCCTTCCACCGTTGCTGTTTCGGTCCTCCACATCAGCTTCGCCGTTGCTGAGAGTAAGAGGAGGAGTTGGTGGCGGTGCTGAGGGGTTGGAATGCGAGGTGGGAGGAGAGAGATGGGCGCGCCTGAGGGCGTCCTGCATGTCGGCATCGGAGTAGCGGCCAAATGGATCCAGGTTCTGCCGCACACTGCCCCGGAAGAGCACTGGGTCCTGGGAGTGACGGGAGGGAGGAAAGATGGAGGGTGCGATTGTGAGGCACGGAGGGAGGAGACATAAGAATCACATTGCCCTGGAAAAGGAGAGGGACCTGTGGGAAGCCTGAGGGAAGAGAGATGGAAGCTGAACGAGCAGAGAGGCTCCCTATGGAAGCTGAACAAGCAAAGAGGCTGAGAAGTCTGGGGAGCTACTCAAATTCCTCAGAAACTGATGGAAGTTGACAAGAGAAGCATGGTGTAGCATGGTGAAGCATGGTGTAGCGCGGGCCGAAATGACCTCTGCTTGAGAGAGAGCTGGTTTACCTGGGGGATGATGGAGGCGCTGCCTGAGGTCGTCCAGCCCCACGCCTGTGAGATCCAAGCCGTCGACGCTGACGTGGCCTCGGCTGCGGCTGTTCTCCACCAATCGGAAGAGCACCGCTGCCAGGCTGGACTTGCCCGACCCGGTTCGCCCTAAGATGCCGACCATCTCGCCGCCCGCCACCTGGCGGTGGACAGAGGTTGGCAGGATGTGACAGGGGGAGAGGGTATGGTGTAAGGTTATTGAAGGGAAGAGGAAGGAGAGAGCACAGAATGATGAGATCACTCGGTAAGTATGTTAGGCCCTAATTTGAGAATTCTGACAAGGGGCTGGGATAAAGCAAACACTCACCGTGAAGGTGAGATCATTCGGTGCATCTTGCAGGTCCTCTTTTGAGAACTCGGAGTATTCTTGCTTGAAAGAATTCCCACAAGAGGCTGGGATTAAACAAGCACTCACAGTGAAGGTGAGATCGTTCAGTGCGTAAGGCAGGTCCTCCCGATATGCCATGTACACGTGGCAGAACTCCACTCGCCCCGTGTCCGGCCACGCGGGCGGCAGCGTGCCAGGTGCCGAGACGTGATTGGCCTCGGAGGGCAGGTGCATGAAGGCATGGATGCGCTCCACCGAGGTGAAGTAGTTCTCACTCTCTGCTGCTTGTCTGATCGCATACTGAAACAGGCCGGTAAGTTGCAGGCTCTGCACCAGAATCACACCTGGGGGGGGGAGGGAGGGAGTGGATGGTGGAGGGGCAGGAGGGGGTTGGTGGTGAGGAGACCCGTCAGCTGAAGGCTGTGCACCGGAATCACACCTGAGACGACGGGGGAGTTGTGGTGAGGAGGGGATGGGGGGGTTGTGGTGAGGAGACCCGTCAGCTGAAGGCTGTGCACCGGAATCACACCTGAGACGACGGGGGGGTTGTGGTGAGGAGGGGATGGGGGGGTTTCAAATCTCTCTGCTGCCTGCTGTAAGGCGTACTGTAAGAGGCCTGTCAGCTGCAGGCTGAGGAGGGGGTGGTGTCGAGGAGATTAGGGAGTGGTTGATGAGGAGGGGGTGGTGGGAGGAGGGAGTGGTTGATGAGGAGGGGGTGGTGGGAGGAGGGAGTGGTTGATGAGGAGGGGGTGGTGGGAGGAGGGAGTGGTTGAAGCCTGAGAGCTGCAGGCGCTGCACCAGAATCACCCTTGCATGTGCGACGATGAAGAGAGGAGGCTGTGAAACAAGTCTCACTTGGCTCTGCAAGTCAAAGCTCTGTGCCACCCTTGCATGTGCCACATGCCTTGCATGCCTCTTCCTCTCTGCACTTCTCGAAATACATGACTGAGCCTCCATAACCCTCTTTGTATAAGCACACCCCACTGGCCACTGTCTGCTCCACCATTCACTGCCTACCCCACGTTATAAGCATTGCAGTTCAAAACCATCACTCACCAGCATACCCGGCCGGCAGGGAGCCGTGCAGCACGACCACTAGGATGGCGACAAGTGTCACGAGCGCAGAGGCGCAGAGGTCTAGCCGAATCCCGAGCCACCGGCCGGCGTGCACGAACTGTATGTAAGCGCGGTGATTGGCGTCGATCAGTGCTATGAAGTGCTGCAGGAAGGCGGGGGCGGCTCCGTATGCTCGCACTGACACCACTCCCTGTGTACGTGTGGGGTTACGATGGGGGAAGAAAGATAGGTCTAGGTAAGAGAGAGACGAGGAACGTGCACGAACTGTATGTAGGCGCGGTGGTTGGCGTCTATTAGTGCGATGAAGTGATGGAGGAAGGCGGGGTCGGCGCCGTATGCTCGCACTGACACCACTCCCTGTGTACGTGTGGGTGGGGTACAGGGGAAAAAGGGTTGGCGTCTATCCGTGCGATGAAGTGATGGAGGAAGGCGGGGCTGCTCCATACGCTCGCACTGACACCACTCCCTGTGAGGGGTTCACACAGGAGGGTACAGAGAGTTATATATAGGCAAGACAGAGAGTGCGAGAGTGAGTGTGACCACCACATGCATGCTCGTTGCACAAGAGGTGAGTTGAGTCACAGGGGCCATGCGACAGGTGAGTGATCGTGAGTGTCAACTCACCTCCACCCGACTAACCGTCACCTGCAGGTTTTGAGAAAAACACGCACACATGGGCGAGCGCAATAGGTGGCAATCACACCAATGGCCACTTTGCAGACTAGCTGACTTGTTTTTGAGAGGCCGTTACAACACACCTGCAGGCTCTGTGCAAAGTGCGCGTAGATGGGCGAGCGCGAGAGGCCGTCGATGCGCTTTAGCTCACGGGAGACCCGCAGATAGCGGCGCTGCAGCAACGCGAAGACCACCAGCAACGGCGGCAGCGCTAGGAGGAATCATGGCACCAGCACTGCCGTGACTGCTATCGCTCCCGCACACCCCAGAAAGAGCTCCATGGTTTTCTGGATACGGGGGTAGTTGGGAAGCGGAGAGGGGAGGGGAGAGAGGAGGGAAAGGCGGAGAAGAGGAAGGGGAGAAGGACGAGGGGTGAGGGGAGAGCGGCAAAAATGGCATGAAGCAAGCATCATTTTGTTACAGCCATGGAAAAAAAGTCGATATTTCTTGGGGAGAAAATCGGATAGGAGAGGAGTGGTTGGGAGAGGGTAAACAGTGGGTGGTAGTGGCACAGCGCGTGGTGAATACCTGAACGGTGGTTGGGAGGAGGTCATCCACAAGAGACTGGTCCTTGCTGAATCGGTTGAGGATTCGACCGACTGGGTTCTGCCAGGATGAGAGACAAAAAAAAGGACGGGGAGTGATGGATCAGTGCCATGTGTGATGAGGCGATTTTTTAGTCGACTCAAAGGACGATTTTTGAGTCGACTCAAAGGACGATTTTTGAGTCGACTCAAAGGACGGGGAGTGATGGATCAGTGCCATATCAATGGATTACTCGATAGAGGGATCTGTTTTTGAGGCGCCTCAAAAATATAGATTTATCAACCAGACACCATATTGCGTCGCGCCTGCTTTGTCTAACCGCCACATTGCCTTTCACTCATTCCTCCTCACCTGGTCAAAGAAGAGCAGTGGGGAGCGCAGCACGTGCACGGCCATGAGGTGGTGCATGTGGCGCGCGGCAGCGAGGGCAGCATGGGTGAACCAGAAGGCCCGCAGGAGTGATAGCACGATGGCTCCCGCTGTCAGCACCGCGTATATGCCCACGTAAAGGCCTGGTAGTGGGGAGAGAGAGGGAGGGTGGTGTTTCCAAGGGAAACAGTGGAGTGTGAGTTGGTTGAAACAGCACAATGGTGCCTGCAGTCGGCACAGCACTGCATAGAATCCCACGTGGAGGCCTGGTGGGGAGCAGTGGTGAGTTGAGGGCGGGTGGCTTGTGAGTGGGTCTCAAACAGTACTATGGTGCAGGAGACGCACCTGAGGAGAGGGAGTATTTGTGGTCGACCCAGACGCCCAGCCAGAAGTCCACGAGGGTGCGCACTGTCTGTGCCACCATGAATGCCAGCAACAGCCCGGCAAAGAGCAGGAAGCTGAGAGGGGCGACAGGCAAGGCAGGTGGATAAAGATTGGGCAGGAGTTGCAGAGGGAGTTTCAATGGAGGTGGAGGGAGAAAGGAGACGCAATGGAAGATAAAATTGTTGCTTGCACAGACAAGTTTTGAGACGTCTCCAAAGAAGATAACATTGTTGCTTGCACAGACAAGTTTTGAGACGTCTCCAAAGAAGATAACATTGTTGCTTGCAGAGACAAGTTTTGAGACGTCTCCAAAGAAGATAACATTGTTGCTTGCAGAGACAAGTTTTGAGACGTCTCCAAAGAAGATAACATTGTTGCTTGCACAGACAAGTTTTGAGACGTCTCCAAAGAAGATAACATTGTTGCTTGCAGAGACAAGTTTTGAGGCGTCTCCAAAGAAGACAACATTGTTGCTTGCACAGACAAGTTTTGAGACGTCTCCAAAGAAGATAACATTGTTGCTTGCAGAGACAAGTTTTGAGACGTCTCCAAAGAAGATAACATTGTTGCTTGCAGAGACAAGTTTTGAGACGTCTCCAAAGAAGATAACATTGTTGCTTGCACAGACAAGTTTTGAGACGTCTCCAAAGAAGATAACATTGTTGCTTGCACAGACAAGTTTTGAGACGTCTCCAAAGAAGATAACATTGTTGCTTGCAGAGACAAGTTTTGAGACGTCTCCAAAGAAGATAACATTGTTGCTTGCACAGACAAGTTCTGAGACGTCTCCAAAGAAGATAACATTGTTGCTTGCACAGACAAGTTTTGAGACGTCTCCAAAGAAGATAACATTGTTGCTTGCAGAGACAAGTGCTCGCGGCCAGCAAGCAGCAGCGGTGACAATGCGCATCATGAGGGGTCTAGTTTTGAGGCGCCTCAAAATTAGACCTTTGAGGCACCTCAAAACTAGACTCTTGAGGCGCCTCGAAACTAGACTTTTGAGGCGCCTTGAAACTACTAGACTTTTGAGGCGCCTCAAAACTAGGCAAGCAGCAGCGGTGACAAAGCGCATCATGAGGGGAAGAAGGACCGATTAAGAACGGGAGAGGTAAAGAGCTCACCCTCCCCCAGCTTTGATGTAAGCACAGTAGGTGGCGCGAGTGACCTGCCCCTCCACTCGGTCCTCCTTTATAGTCACACGACCCATGCTCCTCTGCCCCCACTGCGCCCGCTTCTCCCTCTGCCCATCTGTCAACTTCACTGACTGCTCCTTCCCATCTTTCGCCCCAGGCACTGGGCCGTTCTCTCCCTCACACGCCCCGTCAGTCATCCCATTATGCCCATTATCCACCCCATCAGCCACCCCATCAACCTCCCCATCAGCCATCCCATTGGCAACCCCATCCTCTGCATTCTCCCCTTCCCTCACGGCACCATCCTGCACCACCGTCTCCTCTCCTCGTGTCTCCGACTCCTCTCCCTGCCTCGCATCCACCGCCTCCTCTCCTCGTGTCTCCGACTCCTCTCCCTGCCTCGCATCCACCGCCTCCTCTCCTCGTGTCTCCGACTCCTCTCCCTGCCTCGCATCCACCGCCTCTGCCTCTTGCCCTTCACGTGCTCCGCCTTCCCTGCCCTCGCCTGCACCTCCTGCTCCACCCCCCCCTCCATTCCCCCCTCCCCCGTGAACCATCTCCCTGCCTCCCACCTCCCCCAAAACCTCCCCGCCTCCTGCCCCTTCCCCAACTCGTTCCTCCACCATGCTTTTCCCATCCAAACCCCCCAACCCCTCCCCACTCTCCCACCCTCCCCGCCCCTCATATCTTGCAGAAGGCACCGCTTCCACAGCGGCAGCAGCAGCAGCCGCCATGGCCTCAACACTCATCACTCTCTTCATCTCCCTCCCGCTAATCGCCCCCACCTCTGCTAGCTCCTCCACGCTCCCGGCCAATCCCAGCCGTCCATGTGTCATCAGCAGCACCTGAGAGCACGCGTCCAGCGACCGTCGGTTGTGCGTTACAAGCACGACCGTGCGGTTACCGTGTTGCATGACCCCTCCTTGAAGCACGTTCTCTATAAGGTGCTTCGCAGTAGGCACATCCACTGCGGCTAGAGGGTCGTCTAGGAGCACAAGGGGGGCGCTGCTGTAGCAGGCCCTGGCGAGGGAGATTCGTGCCTTCTGGCCCCCACTCAGGTTGATGCCCCTCTCTCCCTGCAAGGGCAATTGGAGACCAGGAAGGAAGGGACGAAGAGAACAAATAGTTTGATCTGAAAATCCAGTAGCAATGGAAATGAAATGAGAGGGTCGTCTAGGATCACAAGGGGTGCACTGCAGTAGCAGGCGGTAGCGAGGGATTCCAGGCAGGATACTGGGCTGAGCTAGAACCACTCACGATTTCTGTCTGGTGCCCGGCGGCCAGGGCAGCGATGTCGCGGTCAAGCGCACAGGCACGCACCACCTCCTGGTACCTGCCCGCATTAAAGGGCTGCCCGAAAAGAATGTTTTCCATGACCGTTGCATTCAGAATCCACGGCTGCTGCGCTGCATACGCCACGTTCCCAAGACTGCTCACGTACATAGCGCCGCCCACATACTGCATCTCCTCTAGAATTGCCTGCAAGAGAGAGGACTTGCCGCTGCCTACAGCCCCTGTGACTGCTACTACCGTGCCTCGCTCCACTTGTAGAGTTACTCGCTCCAGGTGGAACCCTCCTCCTGCAGCAGCAGCATCTGTTGTCGTACCCACAGCATTGCCAGCAGAAGGAGCAGCGGTATCGTTGTAGTTTCCCGCAGCAGCAGAAGTATCCGCAGCGAGAGAGGAACCACCTACCTCTCCCTCCTGCTGCTGCCCCTTATCCACTTCATTCTGTCTACCCTCTTGCAAGCCTTTCTGTACACCCCCGTCGCCATCACCTTCCTTGCCCTCTCCCTGTGTGCAATCTGACTGAACGCCCCCAACAGCCCCATTCCCCTCCACCTGCACTTTCCGGGCACCGAGCCTTCTTCTCCACAGCCCTCTGGCCCCCTTCCCCCTGCCCCCCCCTGCTGCCTGCTGTTTCCCGCTGCTGGTTGGTACTTGTTGGGCTGAGCTGAGTGGCATCTGCCAGGAGAATGAGGCGTCTTGAAGCGCCACTACCACACCCGTGCTCTCCGCCTCTGCTTTCAGCTGCACACAGTGTTCCATTCGGGGAATGTGGGATGGATTCGGATACGAGGATGATTGGGGAGAGGATGGCTGAGGATGGTTGAGGATGGTTGAGGTTGAGGATGATTGAGGATGATTGGCGAGACATGTGAGACAGGGAAAAGAGCCCCGGATGACCCAAACGAGGAAACGACAAGGCTCTCCCTTTCCAACCGCCCCCGTCCGTCCCTCCCACTGTGACCCACCTCCGCCCTCTTCTCTTCCGGGCAGCCGCCCTGCCCGTCGGGCAGCGCGAGAAACGTCTCGAGGCGGTCAACGGCGACGACGGCTTCCCCGGCGAACTGGAGGCCGGTGGGGGCGATGAAGAAGATGCGCACCATGATGCTGAACAGCGCCAGCACCGCAAAGGCCGTCTGGGGAGGCAAGTCGCCGTGAAGGGCAACGTAGATGCCGAAGGTTGCGAGGGAGGCTAGTGGAGTGACGGAGTCCTGGTGGAGTGAGAGGGCAGAGAGGAGGGGCGGGGCAGAGGAGAGGAAGGGGCGATGAGGAAGATGCGCACTGCAAAGGCCGTCTCGGGAGGCAGGTGCAGAGCCACGTAGATTCCGAAATGTTGCCAGGGACGCCAGGGACCAGGGGCGTGACAGAATCCTGGGGGAGTAATGGGGGGATGACGGAGATGTGTGAGTTCGGAGAGTTGACGAAGATGCAGAGCCATAAAGATGTCAAAAGTGGCCAGGGATGACATGGGCGTGATGGGAGGGAAGCGAGGGATGGTTGGGAAGGAAGAGGCATTGCACCCCACTACACTACTCACCAACCAGACCAGGCCAAACGAGACCAACCTTGAGTGTGGAGTTAACCGATCGCACGTATGCCGCCCGGCGCAGCCACTGTAGCTCGTTGTCTCGTAGTGCACGAATGCGGTCCAGAAAGGCGGCGGTCCACCCGTTGACCTTCACCACGCGCATGCCGGATAGCACCTCCCCCAGCAGCCGCACGCGCGCATCTGTGAACTTGAGCGCCTTGGGCCTCAATGCTGCTACCCTCTTCGCCATCCACACCTGGTGCATGGAGAACGAAGGGGGAATTCCTTCTTGATGCATTGACAAAGCTCATTGGTAGAGCCATCGCCAACACACGGCACACCAGCCATGCAAGCAAGCAACTCTGAAGCACAGCCATATTCCCAAGCAAGACTTAATGGAAAAGCATGTCCGAGATGACTACAGAGTCATGTTTTTCTCGAGCACCCGTGACTGACAATGAGCGGCTGGATGAGGAAGACGACTGCCACGCCCCCCAGGGCCGCCACTCCCGCCTCCACTATGACCAACGCACAGATGACTGTCAGGTCCAACACTGCCAGCCACACTGCACAATGGGAAGGGAGGAAGAGAGCGGGGGCAGGAGGGCTTCTGAGATGTCTCACAAAACGCACAGATGAGTGTCAGGTCGCGCATTGCCAGCCACACTGGCACAGGGGAGAAGAACGGAGGGAGAAGGGTGGAGGAAAGCAATGCAGCTAACTTCTAGAGAGGAAACACAGAGATAGGAGCTGGTAGTAAGGAGATGACTGTCAGATCAAGACTGTGAGCCACAGTGGTGTGGGGAAGAATCGGAGGGGGAGCATGAGAGCATACCATAATGGAAATATGTGATGGCATCCAGGAGCTTCTGAGTGTCGTTGGTTATGAGGTTCAGCATACGCCCAGATGTCGCCTCCCCCAGAGCCACCTGCCTCATACCCAACGCCTGCACGGACCGGCCATCCAAGCACCATCACAGCAGAGAAAACAAGGTTGGACTTTGCACAAGGTTGTTTTTATATGCGGGTACACATGACATGGCGCACATCCTACCAACCCCGCCCCAACCCAACTACACCACTGTATTAACCAACGCACCTTGTGGTACACCACCGTGCACAGGCATGCGCGCACGCGCATGTCAGCCTTCTGAGAGCGAGTGAAGCAGTGGTGCATGCACACGCTCTGCAGCGTGGACGTCACTGCCATGCCCACCACCAGCAGCACCACCCCGCTCCACGCTCCTACCAGAACCGACGCACCTTGTGGTATACCACCGTGCACACGCATGCACGAACGCGCATGCCGGCCTTCTGGGAGCGAGTAAAGCAGTGGTGCATGCACACGCTCTGCAGCGTGGACGTCACCGCCATGCCCACCACCAGCAGCGCCGCCCTCCACACTGCTGGCGGCTCTGGCGCTGCCGCTCCTGCCACCAGCTGCTTTAGCACGTACACCTGTGAGGAGAGGAACAGGAGTGCGGCAAAAGACGAGGAAGGTGACGCTGAGCCTTGAGGAAGAGCGCCTGGGCGCGCTGAGTCGCTTTTGAGATGTTTTATAAGTGGCAACCAGATGGCCGTCGGTGACTCAGCGCCATCTGTGGCAACCTGTGTGACATAAATGGCAAGCAGGTGTTTGAGGGAGGTTGCGCTGAGACTGGAGCACACACACCTGGGTGCAGACGGCGGCGAGCCAGATGGGCTTCCACACGGCCGCCACGAAGTAGTACCGCCCAAACGCACGAGCCAGCACCCTCCACACTCTCCCCACCCTCTGCCTCCCGCGCTTCCTACCCTCCTCAACCCCCTGAGACAGGCGCATCTTTTCCGCGCGCGCCTGCTCGAGGGCGAGCTCTGTCTGCCATGCGCGGTTCCAGCAGTCCACGCTCTGCTGCGTTGACTCCACCGGCTTTAACTCGTATAGGTCGTCTTCCTGTCAGGTTGGGATTCGGCGGGATGGCAGATGGGCACAACGACATATTCTGAGCCGCCTCAAAAGTCACCTCGTGCTCGAGATAGAGCTCTGTCTGCCATGCTCGGTTCCAGCAGTCCACGCTCTGCGCGTTGACTCCACCGGGTTTAGCTCGTACAAGTCGTCCTCCTGTCAGGTTCGGGTGCAGCATGATGAAAGATTGAGCGCGACGACAGGTTCGGTCCAGATACTACCGAACGGCAAGTTCGGATTCAGATAGACGACAGGTTTGGATTCAGCAGGACGAGCTACGGCGTACTCCGCAAAGAATTAGAACGGGGCTTGGGACATACGGACGCGAGGACGAAATCTACCATGATTCACGCCATTGCGCGGCCGTCTCGGGATTTAACCGCGAATCATGCGACCTATATCTGTTTCTATCACGGTTAGTAACGTGACTGATCGATATCCTGGAGGTTGTGAACCGGGAACGCGAGGGGGACGAGCTACCTGGACGACTTTGCGGTAGCCGTAGTGCATAAACGGCGCGATCCAGGACCAAAAAAGAAAGCTCGGCCATGACGCCGATAGCTCGGGAGAAGGTCCTGCTGTGGGGAATCCCTTTCCTTCCCTGTTGAAGAAGCTGTCGCCCGCTGCTGTCGCGTCGGATTCGACATCACTGTTTTTCATTGCTAGCGGTCTCTCAGAGAAGAATGCTTTTCAGAGGGATTTATGCTTTTAGGCCGAATGAGCGGTTTTAGAAGGCTCTGCATGAAGCCAAAACTCGCATCGAACTGTCAACGACTATTCAGCGCGTTCTCAGACATGAATCATCCGCCAGTGGTGAGCCTGAGACCCAAAGCTGGCCATCGAAAACGGACGAGGCGAGGCGAGCCTTTGACGATCGATCCACGCCATTCTACCTCCTCCAAGCTAATCCGTAAAAAATCTAAGCAGAAATGGTTCTGTGAAGGTGAGATGGCCTTTCATGCAATGCTCCAGCACGTATGGCTCTCTTCCAAACTTCACCTTGAAGTTGGTGCGAAAAGGAGGTGTGGAAGGAAAAGAATGGCTGGTTGGAGGATGGATTTGCGGCTGCGATGGATGATGAGGGGGGTGAAGGGGGGAAGCACAGCCAATCCCGAGGCCGATCATCCCAAGGCGCGAATGACGGAAACTGCCAGCGAAAGTGGCGACAAGCAGGAAAGATTCGTCTTGCAGCAGAATTTCCCTGCCTTGTCGTTTCAGAATTTGAGTGGCTAGCTGTGCTACGTGGCATGGTGGCCGAGTCTGGCGAGAGTATTGTTACCAAAACATCCTATTTGCGACATTCGCGAGCCACCCCCTCGCACCAGCGTAACGCGGCAGTACAAGTCCCGTTGCAAACACAAAACTCGTCTCCAGCCATTGCAATAAACGCTGTAATTTCGTAAGCGTAGTTGATTTCTATGTTCCATTTTCACCTGGAAGACATGTGAATCAAGCTCACCAGCTCTTCCATTTGCACGTCGATCTTCCATCCATCCCATCAGCTGCAGAGCAGAACCTAGAAATTGACATTCCATTGATGGTGTGCTTGTGACTCTGAACCAAGACAGCAACCAGCTGACCGCTCGATATGACCAGCCGCGGCTGATGCGAACGGGAGCTTCGTCTTGAAAAACTTTGACTGTATCGACTAAGTTTCGTCATCTTTTTGGTTCCAAGTATCGTCAACCGTTCCACAAACACTCCGCTTTCGCTCTTCGCCATGTCGTTAAAGGCATGTCTTGAAAGTCATGCGGTGGGCGAGCTCGTACGCGCTAAAGGCATCATGGTGGACGTGCCGCATAGTGCACCAGGTATCTTATGCTCATATGCGGACTGGTTTGCGTTTGCAGAAAGTGACCGTTCTTTTTTCTTCCTCCCCGGTTGTTTTCACATCTCGCTTAATCGCGTGACATTACTGTATCTTTGTTTATCGTGCAAATCTTCTTCACTTCGCTCCGCCATTCCCTCCTTCCGCACCGTCACCCGTCTTCCCACAACTCCCAGTCATCCCTTTGCGCTCCCCGCGCCCCGCGACCCCCTCCCCCCCTTCCCCTCTCCCCCGCGCGACAGTGCGCGATGCGCTGCAGCTGATGCGCATGCACGGCATCTCCGCGCTGCCCGTGTGGGCTCCGCCCAACGAGTGGGTGGGCGCGGGGGGCTCCTCCATCATGGTCACCGACGGCAGCACCAGCGGAATCAGAAGCGGAAGCGGAAGCGGAAGCGGGGGCGCAGGGTCAGGGACCGGCGGGTCGGAGGTGGTAGAGGCGAGCGAGGAGCGCGGGGGAGCAGGGGAGAAGGGCGCGGGGGCGGGGGCGAGCGGGGGAGCGGGCGCGGGGAGGGCGCGGAGGCAGTACATCGGGATGGTGAGCGTGCTGGACGTGCTGATGCACTTTGCGCAGTCGTCCGCGCGCGACGACCCCACGTGGGCGCTCGACGTGCCCATCTCCACGCTCATTGGCCACTGCCTTGAAGGCCTCTCCTGCTGGACCCTCCCCTTCCACCTCTCGTAAGCGCCCCGTCCCCCTTCTCCTGCACCCACCTCTCCCTTCCTTCGCCCTTTTGCCCTCTTCTGCTCCCTCCTGCCCACTCCACTCGTGCCCAATCCTGGCCACTCCTGACCATCTGTCATTCCCCTTTCCCCGTTCCTCCTCCCCTCCCCCAGAGTGCTGGACTCCTTGGAGCCAATGAGCAAGGGCGTGCACCGGGTGCTGCTGCCGCTGCCATCCGCAGACCGCCCCCCCTCGGGCCCCATCGTGCCGCTCTCCGTTGCCACTCACGGAGGCTTTTCCCGCGGCCTCCTCACCACCGGCTGCGCCCCCGCCTACACCATCCTTAACCAGGTGCATTGTCAACCTCCTGCCTCTTCTCACCTGGTAACCATCAAGGGTCTCTGGCATGAGAGGTTTTGTGCATGCCTACTCATACCTGTTTCTGCCTGTTACGTATCAAGGAAGTTTACACATGAGTTTTTTTTTTTTTTTTCTGTTCCTCTGCCCGTTGTGTTCTTTTAAGGAGTGCTGCCGTGGTGATTGAAACGATACCCTGTATCCGTCTTACAATAATCCCGTTCTCTCGCAGGTGGATCTGATCAAGTTCATGATAGCTGAAGCACAGGCAGAGACAGGCGGCCAGCACCACCACTTCAAGTCCAGCAGCAGCAACGGCACCAGCACCGCCACTGCTGCACCCTCCTCCTCCTCTTCCGCTCCTCCTGCTGCCACGGGCAGTGGCAAGTCTATAGCAGAGCTGCTGCAGCTGTCAGTGAAGGAGGCGGGGGCGGTGCATGGGACGGTGTTTGCCGTGCCAGCGAGCATGAAGGTGCTGGACGCCATTCGCTGCATGCAACAGGCGGCTGTGGCTGCTGTCGCCGTGCTGGAGCCCACGCCCGATGACAAGCTCGACGACCCCATGCTTACTTTCGTACGTGCTGTGCTGCTTGCTTTTGAGTCGTCTTAAAACTTGCTGGATGCCATTAGCTGCACTGCATGCAGCAGGCGTCTGTGGCTGCTGTGGCCGTGCTCGAGGCCACGCCTGACGACAAGCTCGACGATCCCATGCTTACTTTCGTACGTGTTCGTGCCGGCTCATGGTATCAGGCTACCTGCAGAGCACGTGTTTTTTAGACGTCTCAAAAATCGAGGCCACGCTGGATGACAAGCTCAGTGACCACATGCTCACCTTTGTGTGTGTTGCTGCCTGCCCCCTCGTGATGCCAGGCTAGCTGCACAGGACTGCACTGCCTCCTCTTCCTTGTGCATGCCTCCACGCATTGTTGACCCTTTCCCTTCTGCCCCACTGCTCCCACTGCCCCTTCTGCCCCTACTTCCCCGTTTCCATGCTGCCCTTGTACGCTGCCCACAACACCCATCTGCCCTACCTTCCCCCACCACCCCTCCCCATCTCATCATGTCACCCGGGCCAAGGGTGGGCGTTGCCTGGTGGGCACGTTGTCAGCCACCGACCTGCAAGCCTGCAGTGAGGTGGCAGCGCTCAGCACTATGTGCGCCTACCCTCCCTTTCCCCCTCTCCTCCCCCCTCATCATGCCACCAGGGCCAAGGGCGTTGCCTGGTGGGCACACTGTCTGCCAGCGACCTGCGTGCCTGCAGTGAGGAGGCAGCGCTCACAGCCCTCCCCCGCTTGACCGTTGGCAACTTCCTAGCCACTCTCTCTGTCGCTCAAGACGTTGGAATCTCCGCCGCTTTCAGCCCTTACGCCCCTCCTCCCGCCCTCGCCACTCTTGCGTCAAACTCCCCGGCGTCGTCTCCCGCTCGCATGTGTGAGGCGCGATCCATGGTTCCGATTACTTGCCGAGAGCATTCCCGGCTAGGCGTGGTGATGTCTCAGGCGATTGCTGGGCGTGTGCATCGGGTGTGGGTGGTTGCGGATGACTCATCGGGGATTCTTGTAGGCGTGGTAACCTTGTCGGACATTCTGCGCTGCATAAGAGAGCACGCTGAAGGGGAGCGATAAGGTTTGCCATGGGGATTAGGATGGCGTGCTATGCTTCGAGGTGTAGGAAAATGAGATTGGCAAAATTCTGTATTTTACTTTCTGTAATTGCGAAAGTTGAGTCGCAAAATTGAATTGGTGATCGAAGCCGAAGCCGCTCTAAGCGAGGAACGTTCAGCCACCAACTCTAGAAGGAGGTCTTGGAAGTCTCGAGAATCTCGTGGCCAAATTCTGAGGCTTCAAACAGCCTGTCCTGTGCATGGCTCGCCTCGGCCAATAGCCAGCTGTGCTGACGGCATGGCGCAAATCCGCCTGGAATTCTCCACTTGGCGTGGAGTCCGTGGACTCACTCGCCATACATTTTGGCGGGCTGAAGAATGTGTCGGTGACAGATTTGGCTGAGCTGCCTTTGACAGGAATTCTAGCATTCTCCCAGTTCTCGACGCAGCGCCACGCGTCTGACGAATGAGAGGCCTCCAGTGACCAGTTGCAGCGTGGGTTGACGCGCCGCAGGGCAGCCAAAATCGGTGCAGGTCCGAAGAGTCGGCGAAGGCGTCTTTCCGACGGAAGGTGCGAGACAGATCTAGGCAGAAGGGAGGTTGGCCATTCTGGTCCATCGAAGCCAGGCCAAGCGAAATGAAAACAGGGTTCGCGAAATATGCGAAGTGAGCAGTCAGGTGATGTCACGACGACCGTGGTGGTGGTTTCCGCCGGCCCTTCCAGTCGACGTCATCTCCACGCTTTCGTCCTTCCCGCAGCAAAACATTTCGCCTGGGGCAGAATGCCATTGCGTGAGGCGGAAGCGAAGAAAGTGACCGCGACTCGGCACTGTGGGCGCATGAAATCGAATTGGCGCACAATGGGAATGGGAAGCAGGGAGGGCACGCCACGAATTGGGGCAAGAGGTGAAAAGACATGTGCGTGAATGGCGAAGTGTATGCGTGCATGGGGCACAGCGAAAGGGTGAGACAAGGGACCTGCGAGAAGGTTAGAAGCGCAGGGCCCCAAACATCACGTGCATTGTGCTGGATCCTACGTCTTTCTCATTCCTCTTGCTTCCTCAAGTGTCAAACCCTACTAGTGTGTGCTGCTAGATAAAGCAACTGTTGCAGGGTTTGGTTCTTCATCTGCGAATTCTTGAAACAGCTTCACTCATTACCGCATTACCTCGCATTCAGCTCCTAGTTTCTTTTAGCACTCACCTCGAAATTAACCGCATTCTTCCGCATTTCGCTCGTTCATCCGTTCTAACTTAGCGCCAATGGCGGAATTAAAATCATCGAGTAGGTGCCCCACCTGGGTTCCAGAGCTTCTCAGCGGCCGTTACTTCTCTTCGTGTCGCCAGCACGCCGCGGCGCACAAATCCGAGCGGAACTTTTTCTGCATCAAATGCCGCGGCGACCCTCTCTGCTCGCTATGCGTGCAGAAACACCACGCCGGTCCAGAGCACGACATTCTGCAAATCCGCCGCTCGTCGTACCACGACGTCGTGCGAGTCGGCGAGCTCTCGCGACTTCTAGACCTGCACCACATTCAGGTGTACGTGATAAACAGCGCGAAAGTGGTGTTTATCAATCCGCGCCCGCAGTCTCGCGTGGTGAAGGGCGCGCCGTTCTTCTGCCGGACGTGCCACCGCACATTGCTCGACGCCAGCCGATACTGCTCCATCGGATGCAAGCTCTCCGCATTGCGCCACGACCCCGCGCTCACATTGCGCCCGCGGGGGGGAGGTTCCGCGGAGCACGCAGCGCGGCCGGCTGCGGGACATGCGCATTTCGGGGTCAACGCGAGCGTTGACCGGCCGGCGCGGTCTGGGGACGGGTTATCGGACGACGACTCAGGCACGTGGTCGGCGGGGCACCAGCGGAAGGAAGGGGGAAACGATTGGCGGAACGAGTGGCGCAAGCGCACATTGCCCCCTCTGTTGGTGGAAGATAACGACGCGGCGAGCTCGGGGGAGAGCGACGAGGGGCGCGCGGAGGAGGACGGGGACGAGGGGGTGTCCGCGGACTGGCGGAGGGGCGGCGGAGAGAGGGAGAGGGAGAGGAAGCGCGCGCGCTACGGCAAAGTGAATGGCGCGGAGTCCCTGCGGTATCCGGAGCTGGTTGGCGCGTCGTCCCCGGTGTTCTCCCCTGTGACTCCGCCGCTGGCGTATCAACATGAAGGCAGCACCGGCTCCCCCTGGCGCGCACACAGGCGGAAGGGCGTTCCGCACCGTTCCCCCTTGTCTTGAATTCAAATCTGGAGCAGCAAGGTGACAAAGGAATGCCTGGAATGCCTGACTTGGAGGCGCGCGCGACATTGGGCTTCTGAGTCACCGAGAACAAACGCTGGGACTTGCTTGCATGCCCGTATACAGGGCTTTGCGATTCTGTTTCGTGAACGGTTTATGTTTACACAGGGCTGCTTTTACTCCGTGCCAGGGTGTTCCCTGTGTGTGGCTGTGCATAGTAGAGCTTGTAGTAGTTTACCTAGACACATACTGACTAGTTCTGAGGTTAGGATACAGCTATAGGACATGTGTACATATGTTCTTTTGTTACCATACCACCTCTGTAACGAGTTGTTTCCAAGACACTCTGACTTGTCCTGTTTGCGTTGCATTGTATGAGCTTGAGGGAGCCACCCTATTGAAGCATTGCATGAGCATTGTTACCTGAATGTACTCTTCATATGGGAAGAGTCTGGAGCAAGGTGGAAAGAGGTGGGAGGATTGGAAAGGGGAGGCGAGGAGCTCTATGATGAGGGGGGTGGGATAGGTGAGGAGCAAAAATGATACCGTAAGTTGTCCACAGGAGGTTTGCACATTTGGTCTGCTTCTACAGAAGTTTTTACGACCCAAGGTCCTAAGGGGTAATGCAGTGTCCATTGGTTGCTTATGGTGCAAATGTGCTCAAGTGTGGTATAATGCGGTACCACCAGGGTAGACCTAGACCTTGGCTGTCAAACTCACTCAAGTAACATGGCACAACATGATGATTCTTTTTCTTTTTCACTCCCTCGTGCTAATCCTGGAATGTGCTGGGGGTTGAAACAAGCTTGTCACAGCATATTCCTTTTTAACTACGCTCACGTTGATTCTCCTGTCCTGTTTTCATTTGACTGCCGAGACTGCTGCCTTGCCAGAATCTCAGAAATCTCCCCACCCACTTCTGCATCCTTCTCCCCTCTATCTCTCCACGTCCCACCCCTCTCCCCTTCTCTCCCTACCAAGCCCCTCATCTTGAGCGCATTGGCTCTCAAAATTGCCACGTAAGCCTCCTCCCTGACACGTGGCAGCGTCTCATTGGCCAGGGCCATCCCCTCCCCGCCTTCAGCCGCTACCCGGATGAAGGGTTCGAGGGCTTTAAGCACCAGCAGCTGCACGTCCTCATCGGACAAATCAGAGGGCGACATCTGGCGCAGTGCAGCGCAAGCAGCCTCTTCGTCCTCTGCTGTTATGGCCGTTCGGAAAAGGCTGGAGGGGGAAAGGGTGCGTGGGAATCATGTGTGGGTTGCAGATGCTTAGAATGAGAAATGATAGGGCGACATTTGAGAGCAAAAGCGCCAATGTCCCAACGTCCCAATGCAACGATTTGAAGGCGGGGGGGAGGTGGGCGCACTGCATTTCCACATCGATGTTCACAAGAGCCTTAAAAAGCACCAGAGCGCACCGGAAGAGAGTGAAGACGGTGGGGGGGAGGTCGTTGCGATGCATCTCGTCCATGACGTGGAGGGCGCGGGGCAGGTCCCCCATGGCTGCACACGAATCCAGCAGCGCCTCCAGCACCATGCGGGACGCGTGCACACCCACCTGTGCGGAGAGGAAGGGGAGTCATGAATGGGGGAAGGGGATGGGGGGGGAGGTCGTTGCGGTGCATATCACCCATTACATGGAGGGCACGAGGCGAGGCAGCTCCCCCATGGCTGCACAAGAGTCCAACAATGCCTCCAGCACCATGCAGGACGCGTGCACACCCACCTGTGCGGGGTGTGGAGGGATGGAAGGCGGAGTGGGCAAGAAAGGAGGGAAGGCATGCAAGATCTTTTAAGACACAATGCATAATGCGTGCACGCCCACCCGCGCGGGGTGGGGGGGAAGTCATGAATGGGGGAAGGGATGGTGAGCAGGTTTAGAGTATCTGTGGCAGACAGGGAGGAAGGGGACGAGGGAAGGAGGAACATTTGCAAAGTGCAGGGAGGAGGCGGAGGAGAGAAGGAAGGACATTCACAGATTGCAGAGAGAAAGAGAGAGAGAGAGAGAGAGAGAGAGAGAGAGAGAGAGAGAGAGAGAGAGAGAGAGAGAGAGAGAGAGAGAGAGAGAGAGAGGGACGAGGCGAGCTCAGTGGCGACTCACAGTGCGCAGGGCTTGGAACATGCGAAGAGCCTCTCTCACCCCGATCAGGCACACCCCCCTCTCATCCGGTAGGCCCCTCGCCACTGGCAACAGCACCTGCCGGGATGGTGAAGTGAACGAGAAGAGGCAGGGCGGGAGAGTGTGAGTAGAAGCATGAGAAGGTTCAAGAGCAGCACGTGGGATCAGTAGTGTGAAGAATCGTGTGACCAGCCGTGGTAGGCACCTACCTGGTCAAAGATCTGCTGGCGGTTGAGTTGAGGGTCGTCTTTGATCTCCTCTGCTACCTCCAGAATGCGCCTGCTTGCACGCAGGGAGAGCAGAGAGGCACATGGGGAGCGGGGAGCAGAGGGGCAGAGGGGCACATGGCGTCGCATGGAGCAGAGGGGCAGAGGGGCACATGGCGTCGCATGGAGCAGAGGGGCAGAGGGGCACATGGCATCGCATGGAGCAGAGGGGCAGAGGGGCACATGGCGTCGCATGGAGCAGAGGGGCAGAGGGGCACATGGCGTCGCATGGAGCAGAGGGGCAGAGGGGCACATGGCGTCGCATGGAGCAGAGGGGCAGAGGGGCACATGGCGTCCCATGGAGCAGAGGGGCAGAGGGGCACATGGCGTCGCATGGGAGAACAGTTACGATGATAGGCCAGGGTACACTGCGACACTCCTCCTAAAGCCAGAGACTCACAGCGCTGCTTATGGCGTTTTGCAGTGGCCACAGTAAGAATGCACAGAGGTGAGACGGAAGAGGTTGAGAGGGAGGGCAAGAGGTAGGGAGGGCAAGAGGTAGGGTGGGAGGGCAAGAGGTAGGGAGGGAGGGAAAGAGGTAGGGTGGGAGGGCAAGAGGTAGGGAGGGAAAGGAAGGAGGGAGAGGAGAGCAGGGGCCGTACTGCACGTCATGGAGTTGCACAAGACACGCCAGCGTCTGCACCACCAGCGCATGCCCACTCCGCATCTCCTGCTGCCACGTCACGCCCTCCCACTGCCTTCCACCCTCACCGCCCTCGCCCTTCCCTCCATCCCCCCCATCCTCCCCTTCCCCCCCACTCCCCCGTGTCCACCTGTCCCCCTTCTGGAAACACCCCTGCACCCTCCGCGCCCCTCTTGCCCCTCGGCGTGACTCTCGAAACAGCGCCATCATCTCCTCCACCTTGCCTGCCCGTCCAAGGGCCATGATCATGGTCCCCACGGCGTACGGCAGCGGCTGCACGCCCTGTGCTCGCCCCCTGTGGAACGCTGCAAGGGCTGCCTCTGTGCGCCCTGCTGCCGCCAGGGCCTCGACTAAAGCGCTCACTGCGTTGGCACCTACTTTGTGCCCTGCTGCCTCTGCTGCTGCCAGGTACTGGTAGGGTGGGGGCGGTGGGAAGGGGGCGGGAGGTGGGGTGGGAGGGGGTTGGGAGGAAGTTGGGAGGGGGGTTGGGAGGGGGATTGAGGATGCTGGGTCAACGAGAAAGGAGATTCAACCTCGGGCCATGATCATGGTCCCCACAGTGTACGGCAGGGGCTGCACGCCCTGCTCTCGCCACACCACACCACACCTACCCATGCCACCCTCCACCCCTCTCCCAGGTGTACCATACCTCCATGGCCCCATTCACGTCCCCCGTCTTGTGGTACAACTCCACCATAGCGGCATGCAGGTAGTCATTGGGCGGCAACCTACACAACCCAAACACCCTACCAGGCTACCCCACAACCCAAACACCCTACCAGGCTACCCCACAACCCAAACACCCTACCAGGCTACCCCACAACCCAAACACCCTACCAGGCTACCCCACAACCCAAACACCCTACCAGGCTACCCCACAACCCAAACACCCTACCAGGCTACCCCACAACCCACAAATGCTAGTTTTGAGACGTCTCAAAACTAGATTACTTTCACGCGGATTTTATACGGAGAAATTGTTTGTTGCTTGGAAGGCTGGGTGTAACTTGCAAAAGTTACTTGTTCGCGCGAGGCTCCTGAAGCTACAGTTGGCGAAGATTGAGAATTCCACGTTACGCCTCGAGGAATGAAGACCCGAGCCCCTCGGTTTTTCCAGGGTGCTCTGGATTGGCTGCCCAGACTTCAGCCACGGTTATTTCGCGCCTAGATTTCTGGTTTTCTCGAAGCGTAGCTCTTACTTAAGGGCTTCGTTCCCACTCTTGTTTTTCATTCTGCTAGCGCTGATGAAGGTTTGACTTGGGGCCTGTCCCAGTCGACCGAAACATGTTCGCGTTTTAATCCTATAGTGGAATAAGAGTTCAGATTTCAGATTCTTGGTTGTTTACAGGGCCAAACTTTTACTACTGTCTATCACTTGCTAAAGTTTTCTACCAGACTGCAGCTCGCCTAAACAAAGCTTCTATGGCTCAAACGCCTTCCCCTATCCATACCTCCATGGCCCCATTCACATCGCCTGTCTTGTGATGCAGCTCCACCATAGCAGCATGCAGGTAGTCATTGGGATGAGCACTGTCAACCACACCACTCCACACCCACCCATGCCACCCTCCACCCCTCCCCTATCCATACCTCCATGGCGCCATTCACATCCCCCGTCTTGTGATGCAGCTCCACCATAGCGGCATGCAGGTAGTCATTGGGCGGCACGCCGTGCTGCTGCATCATCTCATTCACGCGCATGCCCATGGCTCGGTTGCGGGCGAGGGCACAGCCGTGCAGCAGCTGCGTGAACACCACCACGTTGGGGCGAATGCCGTCTGCCATCATCTCACGGAGCACTCCCATTGCTGCTGAAAGCTTCCCCTGGGCTGCCGTAACAGGGGGATGGTGGGGCAGTGGCACAGAAATTGTGAACAGTAACTGAAGGTGTGTGTGCCCTGGGCTGCAAGTCATGGCTGTTAACAGATGCTGTAAATGCAAGATGTGCCGAAAGAACACAACCTGCCTGTTTGCACAAGGCGTGGATGATGGGCGCAGCTGCTTACAGATCGAGTGGATTGCAAGATGTGGCCTTTTTGCAGAGAGGTTGGATGGCAGGACGTGTCTTTTTTTGCAGAGAATGTGGTGTGCTCGTGGTGACAACACGTGCCTGTTTACGAACGCTATGGATTGCAAGTGCCTGTTGACATGCATAGGGATAGATTCAATAGGGAGTGCCTGTGGTCACAACACGTGCCTGTTTACAGAAGGCGTGGATGATGGGTGTGTAGATGTAGCTGTTCCTCTGCACGCCCGTGCTCCTCATCTCTGCTACTAGCTCCAGTGCCATAGGGATCTGCCACAGGCGATGGGGATGTGGATAAAAATAAAGAGTAGCACGCTCAACTCACACGACAGCCAAGCCAACCAATCAAGGCCCTCCAGCACAGCATACACCAACCCACCAAACACACACGCGCGCGCACACACAGGCACACGCCTACCATGTACTGTAGCGGATCACATTATCGACCTGCAGGCATGCCTCGATCAGGCTGCTAAAGGAGGCGACTGTCAGTCCCCCGTCCATGCGGCGTATAACATCTGCGAGAGCAAGGGCCTCTTTGAAGAGCTTGGAGCGCGCGAGCATCCACTCGCACATTCACACATGTAGCGACACCTGCCCTGTGCTAAGATTTTTGAGGCGCCTCAAAAACCTGCCCTGTGCTAAGATTTGAGACGTCTCAAAACCACATGTAGCGACACCTGCCCTGTGCTAAGACTCAACTCACGTTGTCGATCTGCAAGCACGCCTCAATCAAGCTGCTAAATGAGGCCACAGTGAGTCCCCCGTCCATGCGGCGCATGACATCCGCCAGGGCGAGCGCCTCCTTGAAGAGCTTGGAGCGTGCGAGCTGCAGCAGTAGTGGGTCGAAGACACGCGGGGTGAGGGCGAATCCCATCTGCTGCATCTCCTCCAACACGTCCATCGCCCTGTCGAGCTGTGGGGGCGGGGGCAGGAGCGGAGAAGGGGGAAAAGGAGTGGGGGGTTTGAGGTTGAAGAGCTTCGGAATGGATCCACAGCTGCTGCATCTCCCCCAACACGTCCATCGCCCTGTCGAGCTGTGAAGAGAGTGGGGAGGGAAACGGGGGCAGGGATGAAGAGGGGAAGTGTGTATGGTAGGTGGATAAGTAGAACTGGAAGAGTCAACCAGGAGAGAATGCAAGTGAAAAGTACAAGGAGAGACAGCGCACCAGCCCATTTACAAAGAGATGGCACACGGGGCAGAAGAGAGAGCCCACCTGCCCCTTCCCACAGAGCCCACCTGGCCATTGACACAGAGGCCGGAGATGAGGAGGGAGGAAATGCCCTCGTGGGGGTGCAGCCCCGTGGCCGCCACCGCCTGCCTCACCAGCCCCCACGTGCGCTCAAACTCGCCCCCTGACACCCCCTGCCGCCCCTGCCTTTCCACGAGCGGCCGGAAGCCCTTCCAGTAGTTGGCCCCCAGGAACTGCCTTCGTGTGAGTTGTGTGCCATCCGGGAGAGAGAACGGCGCTGCAGCAGAGGAAGGGAAACGGGGGAGGGGAGGGGAGAGGAGAGGAGCACAGGGAGTTGCCATCCCTGCCTCTCCACCAGCGGCCGGAAGAGAAAGAAGGGAGCTGAGAAGTATATAGCAGATGGGCTTCTAAAGTGCATCACTAGCCTACTCGCTCACTCTCACTCGTGCTCACTCACCATCAGCCAGCCCCGTGGCTTCAGCAGCGTCCACCATGCTCTTGAGCACGTCGGGGCGGCACGCCTGGCCGACAGCAGCGAGGGCGGAGCTCCAGAGGGTGATGCGCTCCCACCCGTGCGACTCAAAGTAGAATGTGAGCGCGTGGGGGAACAGCAGCAGCATGTCATCCCACTGGTGCTGTAAGGCTAGCTTTTGGATGGTGATGTCTGATTAGAGGGGGTGAGAGGGAGTGGGGGAGCGGACGGGGGAAGGGGTTGGCAAAAGCGGCCGTAGCAGCAGCAACAGCGGCGGCGGAGGCGGCGGCAGAAGCAGCAGCAGCAGCAGCAGCAGCAGCAGCAGCAGCAGCAGCAGCAGCAGCAGCAGCAGCAGCAGCAGCAGCAGCAGCAGCAGCAGCAGCAGCAGCAGCAGCAGCAGCAGCAGCAGCAGCAGCAGCAGCAACAGCAACAGCAACAGCAGCGAATGTAACACTGACTCACCAGGGCTGCTGGTGAGCACTGAGAGCAGAGGCACATGGGACGCAGCAGGGGGCGTCGAATGGCCCAGGTGGCTGAGGCGCGTGAGCAAGGTAGGGAAGCAGGGTGCTTCTGCCACTCCGTCCTGCTCCATCCATGCCCGCACCTGCTGGGGGCAGTGGTAGGTAGGGGTGGGTTTGGCGGAGAGGAGATAAATGCAGGTTGGCAGTGGCAGTGGCGCTTGGCAGGTTGGCAGTGGCAGTGGCGCTTGGCAGATGCAGTAGCAGTTGTGAGGAGTCCTGCTCCATCCATGGGGCAATGGTGAAGAGAAGACAGTTGCAGGGTGGCGGAGACAGTTGCAGAGTGGCGGAGACAGTTGCAGAGTGGCGGAGACAGTTGCAGAGTGGCGGAGACAGTTGCAGAGTGGCGGAGACAGTTGCAGAGTGGCGGAGACAGTTGCAGAGTGGCGGAGACAGTTGCAGAGTGGCGGAGACAGTTGCAGAGTGGCGGAGACAGTTGCAGAGTGGCGGAGACAGTTGCAGAGTGGCGGAGACAGTTGCAGAGTGGCGGAGACAGTTGCAGAGTGGCGGAGACAGTTGCAGAGTGGCGGAGACAGTTGCAGAGTGGCGGAGACAGTTGCAGGGCGTGAGTGAGGGTTGTGAGCTGAGCATAAGGGTGAGTCGCGCGAATCACTATCCTCCACGCATCAGGCAAATTAGCAGGCACCAAGTAACTCTCCCAACTCTGCAAAATGCACCCCTGCAGAATTTGCCTGAGCAGGCACAAAGTTACTTCAATCTCATCGTCCCATCCTCTCAGAGCCAGAGCCATCAGCACCCGGTGGTACGACCAACGTTTGAGGCGCCTCAAAGCCACCTCAGACAAACGCACCAGGCATTTCTCTCTCACCTGAGCAATCTCATCGTCCCATCCTCTCAGAGCCAGAGCCATCAGCACCCGGTGGTACGACCAACGTTTGAGGCGCCTCAAAGCCACCTCAGACAAACGCACCAGGCATTTCTCTCTCACCTGAGCAATCTCATCGTCCCATCCTCTCAGAGCCAGAGCCATCAGCACCCTGTGGTACGGCCGAGCCATCTCCCCTCCGAACCTCTGCAACTTGCCCCGGGACTCGGCCAGAATCTCCAAAGCTGCTCTCTCCCACAGCCCCAGCGCCCGAACCTCCTCCCACGCGCTCGAGCCTATGCCGAACCTCTCCTCGAACCTAATCAGCGCGGACAGCACGGGTAAGCGTGCTTCCATGGCTGGCCAGTCGGCTGGGGAGGCTTGAGATCTACATGATGCTTGGGAGTGAGGGGAGGGGCCAGGGAGAGTGGTGGCTTGATGAGAGAGCAAGAGAGCAGCAGCAGCAGCACCATCTGCTTCCACCAGACCAACGTCTCCCAGTCCACTCTCTAGAACGTTCGCCTCGCCCCTGGCCCCTTGTTTCACTTCCCCCTCACCCATGCGCCCTGTCACAAGCCCCTGTCCAGGCAGCATGTGCAGCGCTGGCATTTGAGCGGAATCCAACTCTCCCTGCCCTGTGGAGAGGCCTTGCGCGGCCAGCATGTGCAGGGCGGGGGCAGGAGCGTGGGTGCCCAGAGCTGCCTGGACGGTGGGACTCGTGAGCACCCACGGCGGGGCCATGCCCCTGCTGCGCCAGTTGATGCTCGGCCAGCCTTCGCTGTGCCACACATTGCTATGCCTGTCATTGCCATTCCTGCTGCTGCTGCTGCTGCTGCTGCTGCTGCTGGTAGTGCTGCTGCTGCCACCCGTCTCCCAATCCCCCTCGCCTCCCTCGCCCCCCCCCTCCCCTTCCATTCCCTCCTCCATCGCTCCAACTTCACTTCCTCCCTCCCCTTCCTCCTCCTCTACTTCCTCTTCTCCCCCCTCCTCTCCCTCCTCCCCCCCCAGCAACCCATCTCCTTCAGAGCTCCCCAGAAACCCCATCTCCTCCGCTCCCCCTTTCCCCTCCGCACCTCCCCCGCCCCACCCTCCCCCCTGCCGCCTCTCCGCCCTCTCATACTCCGCCAGTCTATAATCCGTCTCCACGCCACAGCACGCGGCGAGTGCCACGTCATTGCAGTGAAACGACAGCTGTCCAGCCGCCCTCAGCCTCCAGTACACATGGAGGGCCACGGTTGGTGCGTGCTGCTTGCGCAGGGTATGCAGCACTGCAGCGACGCTCCGTGCTGGCAGCAGATACGGCTGATGTGGCAGCAGATGCGGATGACGTGGCACGCTACTGTCAAGTGAAACGTTCCCAGCCGTTGATTCTGAGTCTGGCGATGGCTTTATTGAGTTTTCATGTACAACGTTCGCAGGTGGAAGGTTCTCAGGTGAAACAGCAGGTGATGCTTCAGGTGGTGATACTTGAGGTGGTAACGCTTCAGGTGGTGTGGCTTCCGTGCTGCTTATGCTGCTGCTGCTGCTACTGTCGCTGCTGCCACATGTCTCATCCCTTTCACTGCCTTCATGCCCCATAATCCTCTCGTCTTGGCTTCCCATTCCGCTGCTGCTCATCCGCTCAACTCTCCCCCGCCAATTCCTTTCCTTCTCGCTCACTGGCTTTCCAGCTAGCGATAGCAGAAGCTCATAGTTACCCGCCCCTGCTGCTTGGCTCATTCGCCACAGGAGTTCGCGAGCTCGCGCTCTGACTTGGCTTCGTTCGAATCGCCCATCTTGCTGAGTCAGGGAACTTTGATCCGGGAAACCCTGTCCCGGAAAACCCTGTCTCGAGTCACCCTGTCTTGGGTAAACCTGTCTCGGGTAACCCTGCCTAGGGTAACCCTGTCCCGGGTAACCCTGCCTAGGGTAACCCTGTCCCGGGTAACCCTGTCCCGAGTAACCCTGTCTCGGATCACCCTGTCCTGGGTAACCCTGACCCGTCCGTTGGGGAATCCGCGGGCCAGTGTGACTTGTGCTGTCACGTGTCTCGGGGTTTCTAGGAGCACCATTGCCAGGACCGATTGATCCTTGCTCAATGCCGACGCCATTGTTGCTGCCTCTGCTGCTGTTGCTGCTGCTGTTGCTGCTGCTACTGTCACTGGTGTAGGGTCGAGCGGAGCTTACTACCGGCAACGACCGACACGCAACTGCTTGGCTTCTCCACGCGTGAAACGGAATCTGATGGGTCCTTGAGTAAACGCCGAGAGGTTCGGCCTGCCGAACCAGATTTCGAACCAGACTCTGAGCCTGACCATCTGCACCGAAGCTGTTAGTTTCCTGTTCAAGCCACCTACGAATGAGATACCGATTCGCTTCGCCCGATCGCCACGTGGATGCTGAATGCGAAGTACAGGCGATCGACCGATGCAGGCTGACGTGGCAGTCTATCAAATTCGATCTGGCGGTGACGAACGAGCGGATCTCGCAACCAGCGTGCTTCCCGGGCGATCTCGCAGCGGCGCGCGACGCAGCGCGGAAGCAAGACCACATGACCTCACACACACTATTAACTCAAACCTAAAAGGCGCTCATCCATCTGGTGTCATCCACCCAGACTGCGTCGTGTGCTTCTTCCTTCCAACAATGACCGCCAGCAAGGGGGCTGAAACCATGCGGGAGAATCGTCGTTGTCAGTGAGAATGCTTCGTTTCGCGATGATTCTTTGCCTCGCTAATTTTGATGTATTTCCACAATCCACCTGAATGTTCCACTACACGGCCCATCAATACGACATTGTCAAGAATAGAAAATGTCAGGTGTCTTTTGGAAGCGTCTGTAAACAATAGGCTTTCACTGCTGCATTTGAAGTGAGCATGGTCATTACCATAACATTAATCACTACTACTTGGCAGCAATCTCCACTTCAACCAGCTTTGACAGCAACCATGCCAGAAAAAAAATCCTGTCCCTGGTCAGCCTCCCATGCGCATGCTCCCAACCTCATTGGACCCTTTGCCTTCACATGACCCTTGGTCCTCCGATCCAATCACCCTTGGCGTTGGCGGTCACATCACCCTCGGCCTTCACATGAGAGAGCTTGACAGCATCACAGAGCACTTCTACCCAGCCGGAGAGCATCACCCACCTTCCGCCCTGCTTCCATGCCACTAGCCACAGCACCTTCCACCAACCCTCTCGTTGGACCCCCCACACAGAAATCCCCACACGCGGCCACCCGGCCCCCCTCGCTCCACAGGCACTTGTCACCTGCTGGTGCCACCCCCGCTACAGGAAACGCCCCTCCCCACCTGTGCACCTTCCTCAAAACCGGCTCCAACCCTTCTTCCCCCTCCACTCCTCTCACACTCTGACCACCTCCTCTCCCACGGCCACTGCCCAGGATCGGCTTCACAGCGCGCCACATGTCGTCTGCCACGCGTGCAAGGAGGTCCGGGGAGGGGCGGCCGGGGGGAGCAGACGCGAGGAGGGAGGAGGCGTAGTGAGCAGTGGAGTGAACCACCCAACACTCTGCATACTGCTCCTCTTGGTACCCTACTTCTGCCTTGCTCTGGTTTGCTCTGTCTTGCCCTCCGTCTCTCCTTGCTCTGCCCGGCTTGCTGCTGTCCCTCCCAATCCACCCCACCACGTCACTCCCTACCACATCCACGCCATCAAACGCCACGTGGCTAAGAGGCTCGGCGAACGCCAGCATCATCGCAAACCTGGGCGACGCCCGGACCTCCGCCAGGCCCTGCCGAACCTGAGCTAGGCTCGGCAGGTCAGGGAGGACCACAGGCATGGTTCGGTATGCCGCAGCAATAACCAGGCCGTGGAAACAACCTAGGGAATCTCCGAAAGACGAGAACAGCTCCCAAGACGGAAGGAGAGGGGTGCCCTCGTCTACCTCAGACACTCCCGCAGAGCTTTTGTGCTCTAGCCAATCTGCTCGTGCCACCTGGACGCCGAATCTAGCATTGATGTTTACCGCGGAAGCCATGGGTGAGGGGAGGAGCAGCGTCTGACAGAGGGCGTTCATTCCAGGTACGCCCACAAACCGCTTCTTAATCCCGAAGTTACCCTCTTCTTGCACTTTTCCCGCGTCCTCTCCCCCCTCCGGTATAATTTTTCCTTTCTCCGCGTCCCACACTCCAAACCGTCCCTTCCACTCCGCCAGCGCCCCCGTTCCCGCTCCCCCGAACCGCTGCTCCAGGAACGTCAGCACGTTCGGATCGCTGATGGTGAAGTACTGCGCGCCGTGGTCGAACCTGGCCTCTAGGTTCGGCAGGTCGACGGCTGGCTTGGCAGAACTGACACGTGGCGAAACGGCGATGCTTTCCCTCCGCTGCGACATGCGGCCCCCTGGACCCCTCCCCAAATCAAACACCGCCACGTGTGCCCCGCGCTCCGCGAGTATCGACGCGGCGACAAGCCCCGAGATTCCCGCGCCTACCACCGCGATTCGCGCTGCCGTGGCAGGTGCGGACGAGTGTCCATCGAGCGCAGGTGCGGCCTCCATTGAGGTTGCAGAGACGAACGAATGTGTGCAACGTGTCAGTCGTTGAAGGGGTGAGCGCGTTGAGGGCACCTCGGCAGTATGACGTGGAAGGTGCGAATGAAGATTCCTGGAAGCTCTCCGGTACGTCGGGAGGCTAGCGGGTGTGAGACAACGCGGTGCGACAGTAGGCGGCGAAGAATTTTGAGGCGCCTCAAAAGTCGAGAGACAACGCGGTGTGATAGTAGGCGGCGAGGGCGCGCGACTACCAGGACTGCATGCAATGCCGGTGAGTGTGACTACTAAATGGAAGTCACTACGCAAAGTCGCAGGGGAAACAGTCGGCGCGCGGCGGATGTTCGATTGAGGGATGCCGTGCGCGAAGACGCGGAGGGAAGAGCGAGGAAAGGATCTAATGACGAGCTGGGCCGACATTCACGGTCGAACTCGTTAATAGGTTGCTGCTCCTCCGGCACCGGGCAGTCCGTTCCCGAGTCAGCTAATAACGGGTCCCACCTCGGCCCGCTTCTCCGAGTAGCGCTATCGTCGGCTTGCGCGCGAGGAGCAGATAAGCGGAGAGCGCGTCGCCGTTGCGGAACGGCTGGGCGCGCAGCTAGGGTGAAATCGACGGTTGGATGTGAAGGAACGGGGAGAAGCGTGCGGTGGGACAGGGAGGCGGACACGTGACAAAGGCGTGACGAGGCCATGACCACGGGATGCGAAGGAGCGGTTTCCGACGCGCGGAATCCGATGCTCTTAGCAGCAGAGGGAGTAAGGGAAACTAACGGTTGCAGACAAAAGAGACGGCTTGCCGTCGGCGGACCGTCATAGATGCTTCACTGCGGCCTAGACGAACCAATACGAACCCCTCAAATATTTAGGGAAGCTGGGGCCTGACGGTAGGGAATCGCTTCAGGAGAAGAGAGCACGAGCGGCGCGAGAGGCGCGAGACGCGGGAGAGAGGGAGAGAGGCAGGCAAAAGGGCCTCCCTACTCGTACTGTCAATGCGCGATTCGTACTGTGTTCCGTAGAGCACGCAGTGACAGTGAGGGCGCGGAAAAGGGCGAATCTGTGTGGCACAGCGAACTTGAGACAGGCGAGTGGCTTCACCCATCAGGTAGGGAAGGGCTAGATGCATGCGCGGTGGTCAGGAAGTCGCCACGTGGTCAGCAACCACTAATAGCGAGGCACGTAGCTGAAGCCATGGGAATCATACATACAACCTTTATGAGCCTCCTGCGATATCAACCTTGGAGCTTGGGTCAGTATAGCTATAAGAAAAAATATAAGATAATGATCCAGTTATACTTTCATCTCAAACCATCTTTGCATGATGATTTTGTTTTGCACATCCTATCAGCCATCAATGAGTGACTCCTTCCTAACCCCTGGTAAAAGCTCACCTCTATGTGCTTGTTGGCAGCTTGAACCCCAACTTACCCAACCCTCGCCGCTCAACAAAAAACACTCGGTGCGGCCCATGATACCGAAACACTACCACCCCGCTATAAGCCGTGCGCGGCACCCCCGCCTTCCACTCCTGAAACACCCCAAACTCCCCCGCAAGCTCCGCGAAACTGCTCTCATCTCGATACTCCACCATGACATCGTAACCAAGCTCCGACGGGGTTACCACCTCGGTGTTGACTGCTGCGAGGGGGATGAGGCGAGCTGAGCGCAGCTGCGAGAGCATGTAGGAGGGGTAGCTGACGTCTAGCAGATAGCTGAGGTCCTTCAGAGCCCAGTTGATGGGCTCGGTGTTGAGCCTGATTGGTGCCAGGTACTGGCTGAAGTATTGACCCATGCTGGAACCCTGGAAGAGTGGAGATGAGCATTGGCAGAGAAAGGGGGAGGCAACAAGGATGGGGATGGACAAAATAGGTTTAGCAGGCGGCACGGGCTGCAAGAAAGAGGCTGAAACACTTGCATTCAGATTCAAGTTCACATCCACTATGGCCGAGGGCAATGGAGAAAAGAACCGACGCGTCTGCTAAGTGTTTCCCCAAGTCTCTGAAGTCTCTGAAGCCTCTGAAGCCTCTGTGAAGTGTCCCCCCAAGTCTCTGAAGGCCTCTGTGAAGTGTTCCCCCAAGTCTCTGAAGCCTCTGTGAAGTGTTCCCCCAAGTCTCTGAAGCCTCTGAAGCCTCTGTGAAGTGTTCCCTAACCTGTACGTCCAGACTGGTAGATCCACTCACATGCTCTCCGAAGTTGTAGGTTCGGCAGACCTCCGGGCGGATGGTCTGGCGGCCCTTGCGCTGCTCTGGGAGGCGCAGCCAGTCGTCCCAGTAGGCTCGGGCCCACTTGGGCTTGAGCTCCGCCCACAGCTCTCTCCTCAGCATCCAGCCCAGCCCCGGGAAGAAGTCCGAGCGGTACAGCTGGTGTGAGTCGTGCACGAATTGCTTCTGGCCGTTGTCATTCCACGAGGATACCGCCAGGATGGATCTGAGAGGGAGGGATGGGGAACATGGAGGTACGTGAGTTGTTGTCGGGGTCAACACAGCCAGTCGTCCCAGTAGGCCCTGGCCCACTTGGGCTTGATCTCCGCCCACAGCTCTCTCCTCAGGATCCAGCCCAGCCCCGGAAAGAAGTCCGAGCGGTAGAGCTGGTGCGCGTCGTGCACAAACTGCTTTTGGCCGTTGTCGCTCCACGAGGAGACTGCCAAGATGGATCTGAGAGGGAGGGAGGGGGAAGTAGGAGGTACGTGAGTTGTTGTCGGTGTCAACACAGCCAGTCGTCCCAGTAGGCGCGCGCCCACTTGGGCTTGAGCTCCGCCCACAGCTCTCGCCTCAGCATCCAGCCCAGCCCCGGGAAGAAGTCCGAGCGGTAGAGCTGGTGCGAGTCGTGCACGAATTGCCTCAGCCCGTTGTCGTTCCACGAGGATACCACCAGGATGGACCTGGGGATGATGGGATTTGGAAATTTTTTTGCTCGACTCAGGGTTTAGGGTTTAAGGTTTAGGGGCAAGGGGGGGAGGGTGGGGGGGCAGGAGGGGGGGGATAACTAAACCCTAAACCCTAAACCCTCAAAAGTCGTGCACAAACTGCTTCTACCTTGTGTCGTTCCTGGAGGATACTGCCAGGATGGACCTGGGGATGATGGGATGGGGAAGATGGAAGATGGAGATATTGTCGTCCAGGTCACAGAGCATTGTACCGCACCACACTGTAATAGAGGATGACACAGCACATCATGGCATGTGACATCATACTGCACCGAACTGTATGGCACTGGAGCGCACTGCAGCACACTGCATCCCACCACATCACACCACAATGCAACCCACCACACCGCACCGCACTGCATGCCTCCACTCACTCGTCCACATCCAGCAGGTTGGAGGCGGCTTCAAAGAAATCAAAGAAATCAGGAGCTAGCTCCATGTCGTCTGGAGAAACAGATGAGAAAGTGGGGGTTGGAGAAACAAGGCAACTGTTGAGTGCAACTGTTAGGTGCAAAGAAGTCAGGAGCTAGCCCCATGCCGTTAAGTGCAACTGTTACGTGCAAACCAGTTGCCGGCTAAGCGCCACAAATACGGGCACCTTATAAACAGCAAGAAGGGTACCTTGTAAAGCATACCTTCGAGAATGATGACTCGTGGAAACTGCCGTCGGTCAAAAAGCTCTGTGAGGGCAAATTTGTAGTGCTCTGTTCTTGTCGGGAAGCACCGAGGGGGGGGGAGGGGGGAAGAGGGGGAGGGGGGAAGCAGGGCGGACGTGGACAGGGGGTGAAGGGCAGGGGGGCAGGTTATGTGAGCAGAATATGTGTGCTCTGAGGGCACTGGAGTGGCACAGCGGGAAGCACATGGGATAATGATAGCCAGGAGGGCATCAGACATGCGCCGTGTTAGAACTGAGCATACAGACAAAAGAGGAGCCGTTGGCAACCATTCTCACCTGCTATTCTGTAATATGCAATGTTCTCTCCTGGGTTGTTCATTCTGGGTGGTGCTGTCTCGATGTGCTGAGTCGGACAGGCAGACAACAAGAGGGGTAGGGGGGTGAAGGGGACAGAAATGTATGAGCTGCATTTGAGGGCCTCATCAGTGCTGCACCTCATCAGTGCTGCACTAGGGTTATGAGTCGACACAGCACTCCCTCCCCTGGGGTTGCACCTCATCAGTGCTGCACTAGGGTTATGAGTCGACACAGCACTCCCTCCCCTGGGGTTGCACCTGCAAATACGTTCCTTGCCACAGTCACCTGCAAATTGGTACCTTGCAACACTCTTCTGTTGGAATATCCTGCAAGAATAAGCTCACCTGCAGGTAGGTGAATTGGTGGGCTTGCTTGGCCCTATCCTTGACTCCTGGATTCGTGCCGTCCTGACTCCACAGAGAGACACAGACAAAATGGCAGGCAGCATACACATGGGGAGGTTGACTGTGCGAGAAACGAAAAGAAAGGGTATGGGCGAATGGGATAGGACGTCACTGTATGCCATGCCATGCCATGTCAAGTCACGTCATGCCATGTCACGTCACGTCATGCCATGTCACGTCATACTGTGCCACGTCATGTCATACCCTGCCATCTCATGTCATTTCACGCCATGCCAAGCCATGCCGAGCCATGCAAGAAGCGTGTGTGCAAGGGGCATGTGGCACCTGGGAGATGAAGAGGGGGAACTTGCTGTCAGCGCCCTTGTGGTGCCTGCAGGGAGGGTGAGTAGTGCGGACAGGACAGAGAAAGCAGGATGGTGAGGATGGGTGGTGGAGCAAGCAGGATGGGTGTGGAATGCGGTGAGTGGACGGGCATGATGGAGCAAGCAGGATGGGTGTGGAATGCAGTGAGTGGACTTCTATGAATCAAATCCAATGCACGCATGGCAGCACCCCATACAGCTTACAGCACCAACTTCAATGGCGGAGCACTCACAGCAGCATTTCCAAGGGCAGGGCACACTCACAGCAGCACGGATTGGATGGTGCGGTCGAGATAGTCCACGCGGTTGCACGCCATGATCACCACCGCTGCCACTGCATCCTTTGCATCGCCTCCTCCTCGCATCCTCCCTGCTCTCCCTGCTCCCCCTGCCTGCACCACTCCCCCATCCTGCAGTTTCCCTCCTCGTATGCTACCCCCCGCTCCCCCGGCTCCTGTCTGCCCTTCCGACGCTGCCTTTACATGTGCTGCTTCTTGTTTCTGCTGTCCCTGTTGTTGTGCGCTCTGCTCTTGCGCCTTGTGCTGCTGCTGTCTGCTCAGTGCAGATTCCTGCAGACGGACATGGATATGCATGCTTCTCACTCGTTGGTTCAACGTTAGGGCGAAACGAGGGCACTAGCATTACAATACGACCTCCCAGAAGAAGAGACATGAAGGCAACTCACCAGCTCTGCAGTGAGTAGACGGGCATCAGCAGGCCAGGCGGTGAGCAGGTGCGCAGCAGGCGGGCAGCAGGCGGGCAGCAGGAGGACATGACAGCATAAACGCCGAATCCAGAGGCGCATATGGAACATATCCAAGGCAGCATGGTGCAGGAACAGTGAGTCGTTAGTGGGAGTTGGCCGTGCAGACAGCGAAGAGGGTGGGAGGCGAGGAGGGAGGGGTAAGGCAGGGGGAGGAACAGGTATGAGGACACAGGGAGGGGGATAGATAAGCCATCGATAGAGGTGCAAAGTGGAGTGAGCAAGGAAGCAGAGAGCAATTACTGCACAAATTACAAGCAAGCAGGACACAGACCAGCATCCCAGGCATTACAGGCATCCCAGGCATCCTAGGCTCCACCCTACCTGCACCTAACGCTGCAGCGCCCGCACGCTATGGCCATGGCACAACCCTTCTCTCATCCATTCACCATACCTCACCCACGCGTGCGTGCAATACCCAGCCCCTGCCCTCACATAACACCGACCACCCATACCACTCACCTTGCCGCGTCTGCTTGTAAGCTGTTTGCGCCTTCTCCAGCTCCTCCTCCAGCCCCATCGCGTCCCCTGCACGGAGTGCGTGGGAGAAGAGACGTGTGCCATTACGTTCATTTATTGGCGTGAACTGTCTCGAATGTCAGCATGTGCAGCAGCAGGTTCGGTTAGAGAACACTGATCAGCAACTCCTACTCTACAAGCATTGGCAAGCGAAGTGTTGGCCAAAAACGCAGTGAAGGTCGACAGGAAAAGTGCAGAATTGCTACCCATGGAGATTGGCGCCCTATATTATACCTGTGAGGGAAAAGCGTGGTCATACCGTGCAGTGTGCAGGGGAAATGGTGAGTGATAGTCAACGCACGTCACAATGGCACTCATGGGTTACCGCAAATCACGGTTACACTCACGGGTGACATCTGTCAGGTTCTTCCGCAGCGCGCGAGCCTCGTTGGCCCACTTGCGCTGCGCCTCCATGAGCACCTTCACGCGGTCCGAGCACTCCGTTCCAACCATCAACATCCGAATCTGCACGCAAACATGATACGAGATATCTTTTTGATTTCTAGAAAAACAGTAAGTTCCATGAGCACCTTCACGCGGTCCGAGCACTCCGTTCCTATCACGAGCATCCGAACCTGCCCGTTTAAATCAGATTTTGATGGAATACAAGACGGATAAAGACGGCAATATGCAGAAAATAAGGTGAATTTACGCTGGTGCAGAGAGGCCGGGACGACGACGGGTTGCATACATACATGCTCTAGGACAAAGCGATCGCTGGAGTGACATCGATTGATTGAGGCACTTCGGCTGTGCTATGATCGGATTCACAAGAACGAGTGCAATGCGAGCCGACCTGGACGAGCACGAAGGAGAACGCGCAGGCGATGAGCAGCCATCGCACGATGGGAAACGACGACCTGCGCTTCGCCATCCCTTCCCTTACAACCGAAGCGCGCTACAGAGGCGAATCAGATGGGTGCGCAGACGTTATATCGCATAGCTGAGGACTGGCTATGCTCCGCACAGATTAGTGAGAAATCTAGAAGAGATGGTCTGCGGGAAAAAAACGGTCAAATAAAAACGATGATCGCGGGCGCACCGCGCAGTGTATCTGGTATTGCAGGAGTAGAAGGGAGGGTGTGTGATGTATGCAGGGAAGAGGAGATTAAGGGACAGGTGCTCAGGCAATTTGCCTGGGCACAAAAAACTCGACAGGAATCGGCGGGATCTAAGAAAAGGCACCCTTAAGGGATACAGAATCCCGATACTGGTAAAATAAATTGGTGTGCACCGTTCTATTCATAATAATGACCCACTAGTCTCTCATACAAGCATAGCTAGCAGCCTAGCACCATACACAAACCAAACATGTCCAGTCTTTTTGTAATGTGAGATTTCGAAAAACAGGTTTGCAGGGGGGGTGCATATATCTACACATCTGAGTACTAGCAGCAGCACCTTAATCAGTATTGCAAATCATCAGCCCATAGCCGAAACACACATCACTACAGAAAGAAGTTTCACTTCGCCACAGATCAAGGTACGCTTCATGACAGCCACACAACAAGGTGGCTTCATGACAGCCACATAACAAGGTGGCTTCATGACACAACACTGGTGGGCTTCTCTTGCCTCCTACCCTCCACTGGTCAGCAAGTGCCACTGGCAATCACCACCACCACTGCACATGCCATGCCATCTCATCCGCATGACCCCATCGTTCCAGGCACTATAGCCACTCTCCACCATCACTGAGGAGGGGAGGTGAGTGAGGAGAGAGGGAGGCGGTGGAGGGGAGGGGGTGAGGCCACTGGAGCGAGGCGACAGCAGGACAGGGAGGGAGGTTGAATACCCCAGAGTAAGGAGGTCGAGAGGCAGGTGAGAGGGTTGAAACACCCTGGCTAAAGCGGGCAAGAGGCAGAGGAGGGAATTTCCCTGCCCCTTGCTTGCTTCAGCCTGGGGGTTTCAACCCCTTCCTCCCCCCCTCCCCTGCCCCTCAACAGCCTTACTCTGAGGAATTCAGCCCCCTTCCCTGCCCCTCAACTTCCCGTGTTGAGGGCGGTGTGAGCAACATGCTCCTGCAGTTGGGGAACACAGCAACGTTTCTGCAAGGAAAAACAAAGTCAGAAGGGAGGGAAGCTGCACACGAAAATGACAACATCAAGTGCAAGAGTTCTGTAAAATGGGGCGTGAAGGGTGAAAATTCAGGGCAACGGGGGTCACAAGGGGCATAAAGTGAAGCCTACCCTGATTTGATAAAACCTGTCGTCCTGGCGATGCTGCCCTTGCCATTGCCCAGCCAACATGGAGATCAGGGTGGCCCTACAATCGGTCCCAGGGTCATCACCAGCCGCCACAGATAATCAGGACGCCAATACTTGTGAGATGCCTCAAAGCTCATCGCCACGCGGCCAGAACAATCATTAGGGATGCAGCGGCTCTTGAGACTGTTTCAAATATCATCTCCAGGCGGCCACAAAAAGCATGGGCACACCGCGCCAGCTGAGCTGTAGGGCACCCGTCTCAGCATGCACTTCCAGCCTGAACCGCCCATCCTTCCCCTCCGTGATCTCCCTCCCAGCCGCCACTGTATCAGGCCCTAAAGGTACGGGTTCCAGCCCCACCACCTTCATCCGATGCACCCATTTCTCGAGCCGCTCCGACCGCAGCCACCGATTCATGCCCTCGCATGCCACCCCATTTATAAAGTCGTGTGCAAGGATGCTTTCTACCGCGAAGCGTGGCGTGGCGGTCTTGGTACTTGGCTCATGTGGCAGTAGCGGTTCGCGCTCTTGTTGTGTGTTTCTGCATATACATCGCATCATTCACATGCATGCTTCGTCTGGAACTTCCAGTGTTGCTTTTACTCACTCCCCCTTCTCTGTCCTTGTACTGGCAGAGGCTCGTTCGTCAACACCATCAACCACGTGGGAGCATCAAGGCGCTTAATGCTTCAAGTCAACGTTCAAGTCGTCCAGCCATTGCTTGGAGCCAACATGGGAGCTTTTTCAGCTCAAGTCTGAGCCCGAAGGCCAACTCTCCTCAACCAAGACTTCAGAAATAGCTAAGTAGCGCTCTCCTTGACTCCTCTTTTGCTCTTGCTGTCCATGTTTCTGTTATTTCGGACCATCATTTCCGCCTTTCATTGCATGGCGTTTATGCTTGAGCGCTCACTAGTACAACCACCTGAGTCATTCCCCCTCTCGTAAGGTTTTCAGGTCTCTTCAGGTATTTTTTGGTATAGACTCATGTGGCTGTAATGGTGAGCGCTCTTGCATTCATGCTACTGCACTTCTCATCCATCATGCACATGCATATGAATTGCACCTCTGGACCTTCCAGTTCTGTTTTTAATCACTCCTCTCTTTTTGGACTGGCAGAGGCTCTTTCGTCACCGCCATCAACCACGTGGGAGCAGCAAGGCGCTTAACACTTCGAGTCAACTTTAAGTCGTCCAGCCAACGCCTGGAGCCTACATCAAGGCTTTTTAAGCTCATGCCTGAGCGGCGAAGCAAACACTGCTCAACCGTCAAGACTTCATAAAAAGCTAAGTACAGCTCTTTCCTTAGCTCCTCTTCTGCTGTTTCTGTTCATGTATCTGCTATTTCGAGCCATCATATTCATATTTCCGCCTTTCATTGCATGGCGTTTATGCTTGAGCACTCACTAGTACTACCACCTGAGTCATTCCCCCTCTGGTAAGGTTTTCAGGTCTCTTCAGGTTTTTTTTTGTAAATGACTCTTGTGGCTGTCATGGAGAGCGCTCTTGCATTCATGCTACTGCATATCATCCATCATGCTCACGCACATAACTTGCACATCTGAACAATCTTGTGACAGTTGTACTCATTCACTTCCTCTTTCCTCCTTTGATTTGCTTTGCAGGTTCTCCATCATTCAATGGCTTCAACGTACACTCAAGGTGCTCAACAGCCACTTACGTTCAGCAGTCAAGCATCTGAAGTCCCTCAAGGTAAATAATTTATCATTTTAGCATTTGAATTTGATGCTGCATTCTTGCATATTTTGGCTGAAAATTGACCTTCGTTTTGTTCTCTTGCAGTTAACCTGCAAGAGGAATCTGGCATGAAGTGATGCGCTAGGGCATGAGGCGGATCAAGGCCCTTAAGGTAAGACTTCAATCTTATGGCAACTTTCGTTTTGACACATTGACTAACATTTCCGTTTTCATCCTGCAGGTTCTTGAAGATAGTAGAGTGTCAACGGACATCACCACTGAGGGTGCTCAACTATTACTGACGTTCAGTACTCCACGATCTGAAGTCTTTAAGGTATGGTTTTTATCCTTTTAGCACTTGAATTCATGATTCCTTTGTTCTTGCATGCTCTGGCTGAGGACTGACTATCTTTTTGTCCTCCTGCAGGTAACCTGGAGGATGAAGGCATGAGGCAAAGAATGGTGCTGAGGGAACCTTGGGGTTGTCTAAACACTCGGATCCGGGCCATACAGACTGATTCTGTTGGTACAGAGCTGACTGCAGCAGCTCTGTATCGGCAGACCCAGTCCATGAGAATGGGCTCCCGCATGCCTTTGGGTTCAGCGACTCTAAGGGTTGGCCAGTCCTCCCTGTGGTGGGGGAGGATGGTCATGACTCAGCAGCCAGTCGCCATGCCTCAGCAGTCAAGCATCTGAAGTCCCTCAAGGTAAACAATCTATCATTTTAGCCTTTGAATTTAATACTTGCATATTCTGGCTGAAAACTGACCTTCGTTTTGTCATCTTGCAGGTAACCAGGAGGCGGATGCAAGAGGAATCTGGCATGAAGTGATGGCCTAGGGCATGAGGCGGATCAAGGCCCTTAAGGTAAGACTTCAATATTTGGCAACTTTCGTTTGTGACACATTGACTTACATTTCCGTTTTCATCCTGCAGGTTCTTCAACATGGGAGAGTTTCAACGGACATCACCACTCAAGATGCTCAACGATTACTGACGTTCAATACTCCAGGATCTGAAGTCTTTCAAGGTATTATTTTTATCCTTTAAGCAGCTTAAGTTTGTGACACATTGGCTAACATTTCCGTTTTCATCCTGCAGGTTCTTCAACGTGGGAAAGTTTCAATGGACATCACCACTCAAGATGGTTAATGATGACTGACATCCAGTACACCAGGATCTGAAGTCTTTGAAGGTATTATTTTTATCCTTTAAGCACTTAAGTTCATTGCTTCCTTTTTTCTTGCATGCTCTGGCTGAGGACTGACTATCTTTCTGTCCTCCTGCAGGTAACCTGGAGGATGAAGGCATGAGGCTAAGAATGGTGCTGAGGGACCCTTGGGGTTGTCTAAACACTCGGATCCGGGCCATACAGGCTGATTCTGTCGGTACAGAGCTGACTGCAGCAGCTCTGTATCGGCAGATTCAGTCTATGAGAATGGGCTCCCGCATGCCTTGGGTTTAGCGACTCGAAGGGTTGGCCAGTCCTCCCTGTGGTGGGGGAGGATGGTCATGACTCAGCAGCCAGTCACCATGCCTCAGCAACCAGTCC